ATTAAAGTTTAAAAAAATAAATTTAAAATAATAATGAAATTATTTCCCAAAATTTTGTTAATTTCGTAATTTAAAAAATATAACTTTTATAAATATTTTAACACCTTTCCATCAAAGTTTAAAAAATAAATTTAAAATATTAAATGATCAATAATATTGATTCAATATATTTTAATACGGCCCAGTGCAACAATTTTCGTCGATCACGTGAATAGAGCATGGACAACGCATGATTGTGTTTATGTCGAGTTCGGCTTGGATTTGACTTGACTTTAGAAGATCAGACCGTTTTTTGTAGTAAATCTATAAATACTTAGAAAATCGCATTTTGTGTTTGTTTTTAATTTTTTTTTAATTTAACTTCTTTAAGACTGTCTACAATATGTCTTTAATTTTTTTTGAAGACTGTTTAAACTTGGTAAGATATGTATACATTTTTTAAATTATTATTATTTTTAAATAATTAATATTAATTATTGTTATTATTGATGATATAATTATATTATTACCAAATTTTGCCTTTAGAACGGCAGTATTATACTATTAATAGTATAATACTGCCGTTCTAAAGGCAAAATTTGGTAATAAGAACAGAAAATGTTTAGGTAATTATTATTTAAATATTTTTTTAAAAAAATCTTAATAAGATATTATATATTATAGAATTACGAAAATGATCCTGCATATAAAAAGGTATATAGAATAAGATATTATAAACCAAAATTAATTAAATATTTTATGTTTTAATACCAAAAATTGCAGATACAGCAATTTTTCTTACCTAATCCTTTTTATTTGCTTATCGTATGTCTGTGTATCGTATACACTCTATACCTACCTGTAAAAATTTTAATTTAAAAAATATTATGTATTTAATGTAGGTTTAAAAGTACTATGATAAACTATTTTAAAAATTACCTATTAAATAAACTTTTTAATTATTGTAAAGAGGGCCCATTAAAATCGTTTGCGGGGGGGCCCACTCAGAATTTGTTACGCCACTGGTCACAAAAAATATAAAAAACTTCTAATGCATATTTTTCGTTTCAGTATTTTAATATAATAGGTACATTAATTACACCCTGTATAGAGAGGTTTTAATTTGTAAATACTTCGTTAATTAGATCCTTTTTGTGGGGAAATCTCACAGACCGTCTGTACTACGTAAAAGTAACAGTCGACAATCAACGGAAACCGCCCCTTATTAAACAATCGCCTTACGCAAGTGCATCATGTGAGCGTATTTTTTTAATGTAGGTACACACTACTTGTAGAGACTTGTTGAGATTCAATGTTTATGCGTTTTAAAGCTTTGATAACATAGGTCAAGAATTATTTTAAATTGTATTTTATGTTACACAATATACCTACCACACTTCTTTATTATAATAATTATTGAAGCCACAAAGTCGGTTGTTTAAAATTTAAACTTTAAATATCCAAATTTCATCATTTTAATCAGAAGATTTTGTAGCGCCATTGTCGTACCTACTTTTTGATTTAAGTGTTAGAACAAAACCTCTAAAACTTAAATTTCCATTAAGGAACGTTCTGCCCTTACTAAGAGGACCATCAATTTTATTTCAAAATATTCTCGTTGCCTAATTTGACGAAGTTCCTGTGATCTCATTTATTTATACCATTTTTATGTTTCCATGCATCCCAAAAAACAAGAAATATTTTCTAGTCTTATTCACCACTTCCTCTCGTTAAGGATGTGACGTCACTTCAACTATTAAATTAAATTATGAAGTATTTTTAAAATAAACGCAAGGTGCAGCTAATAAATCTTTCCAGTCATCAAAAATTAGGGGATTCTTTAGCAAATAGTTGGAAGTAAACAATTTGGCCTGCTTTTTACTGTGAAAAACTGCTTCTATATCGATTGTTAGTCTATTTTCAAGGGATAAACTTTGGTTTACACAGTTTACCAGTTAGAAATTCAAACGGGAATTCCAATAAATACAACTTTTTGTACCTTTAACATTTTCCGTGTAAGAATTTTTAATGCTTTATGATAATATTTTGCAATTATAGTAATAAAAAAAATCAAAGGATAAAATATTTTCTTAATATAGGTAATCATATTTTGAAGTTATTTTAATATTTTTAAGTATCAATAATTGTTAAGTTTAATTAAAATAATAACGGACAATGTTAATGGTGAAAATTTCTAGTATTTGTCGTGGAAAAAGTAAGCACTGATTTAATTGCCTAAATTAAATTCGTGACTAAAATACATAATATACTGCTATAGGTAAATATAAATAATATCACAAACATTTCACTTCCAGTATTTAATCTTATTAGCCTTTTTGACAGATTTTGTATTGTTTTTAATTTCCAAGGAATACCTACCTATACGCTAAAGAAGTATCGGCTGTTATCATCGTAACAAAAGTATAACTTTTAATAATCAGCTGCAGCTAACATGTTAAACGCTTATGTTACAAACGAGTGTTTTTGAGAATAAAGCCGGAAAATGTTAAAAAATATCGAAAAACAAACCTTGGCTCGATTTGTTGTGTTGTTGGGTGTATTTCGAGAGTAAATCCTGGGTTGAGTTTTTACCGGTTTTCCATTAAACAGTGTTAATCTGAATGAAGAAATAAATTGCATACAGTCTCTGTAAATATAAATTGTACCTATTAGATACAATAAATGCAAATTTTAGTAGTGATTAACGTAAAAAGTGTAAATATTTCAATTCAGTAAAAATCGTCAAACAAATAAGTCGATGACAGAATAAACACTCGTGGCGACATCTCTGATTTTAATATCTAACATATTTTAGACCGATCCAACCTCACTTTCTTCCAATTAAATTATTTTTCTGTTATTTTTTGGAAACGTAGAAAAAGTATAGTCTGAAACACGTTTGGAATTGCATATTCCGCTCTCGTGAAACCGTCAAACTCGCCTTCGGCTCGTGTGACAAACTCTTCACTCGAGCGGAATATGCTGTATTTCAAACTTGTTACAGAATATACTATTATATTTAAGTTTGAAATTAGTAAAAAATAATTTTTGCACAAACATAACCTTAAAATCAACCATTTTTATATTTGAGTTCTCTAAAAAACGCTGACAACTGCATTTTAAACAATAAAATTTTCGTAGGTATATTAATATACCTATTTATATTTACAGAGACTGTATGCAATTTATTTCTTCTTTTAGATTAACCCTGTTTATTGGAAAACCGGTAAAAACTAAACCCAGGATTTACTCTAGAAATACACCCAACAACTCACGGTTTTTTTTCCGATATTTTTTAACATTTTTCGGCTTTATTCTCAAAAACACTCGTTTGTAACATAAGCGTTGACAGCTGATTATTAAAAGTCGTACTTTTGTTACGATGATAAAAGCCGAGTGGTGGCGCTACTAGCGATACCTACTTCTTAAGCGTATTGTTTTAAATGAGATTTCCCTCATAATATGAACCAATCAAAAGCCTTGAATTTTCGAATAAATTTCGTTTAAATAAGCGATTAAATCACTAGAACTATTTAACAGCGATTAAATTTTAGCCTCCATATTGGATTTTTGTTTACGATTTTATGGTGTTATTTACAAGTTTTAACAAACATTTTTTAAAAAACAATAAAAAATAAGTTATCTAGTTTACGAAATATCAATTATTACTTATTACATACCTTAAATTAATGGAATTTTCTTTAAAAAAATACCTATTTATAAACTTTGACACATACCTATCACTCAACCTATAAATTTAATCTGTCAAACTATGCTCAGTAAGTTTTTTATTTGATTTTTCTTTTTGGAAATAGTCGTGATTTTATTAAATTATTTTGCATTCAACATTTTCCAACAAAAACCAAACAAAAAACTACTGAGCCTAGTTTACCCGATTAAATTCATAGTTCTCGTGATATAATATATGAATAAAATCTGAAATGTTACCTACCTACAGTAAATAAAAGCAATTTACATCACAAAGGGAATAAACAATTTTATTGTGACTTCTCGGAAATAAAATGATTAAAATAAATAAAAAACGACACCAGCCAGTTTACATGTTCGACTGTACAGTGTACACTGTCCAGTGAATCATACAACATTTTTGTATTGTAATTTATAACGCACAATTGACGTTAATTTATTATTTAAAACGCTTAATTGGTTTCGATAGTTTGATGCACCACATTTTATAATTAATTGACGTACAAGTTTAAATGACTTATTTTACATTATTTATGACATAAACTAGGTATTACTTTACCTATGGTAGGTAGGTAGACAAAAGCAAATAATGCAATTTATATTTAAAATCCAACTTATACTATATGCTATGCGTTTATTGTAACAAAGTTATAAAGATTTAAACTTTTAGTTTTTTGACTCAAACTGTCATAAAATACATCTGTCAACCAATATATCCACAGCTGCCTTATTTAAATTATTGTCAAAAAATCATGTCAATTTTTCGCGTAGATTTTCTCTCTAATCAACCTTGTCCGTCCCTCAGTATAAATTAAAGTATAATAGAGTATATTTAGCACGTTGATTTATTTTTACATCATTCTAGATTAGAAACGTTCATTCATCAATACGATTAATTTTCATTCAATTATGTAGGCATAGCCGACTATGCTGTACGCAAAACCTAACCAAAACAAGAATCATTTTAACGTAATTTAGTTATTTATTCGGCATATACGAACACTGTGGGCGTGTAACACCGTAACACTGAATCATAATAAAGTTTTGCTGGGTAGGTTCGGCCCGCAAAAAGCAAAAATATTATGAATGAAGCCATTGATTGCATTGTAATGAATGATTACAATGACTTATAACACAGATATCGCCGATTGTTTCACCCACGACGTCTACGGGTGCAAGCCGAGACGCGTAGCAGGCTTCGAAAGCGTTTAGGGGTTGTTTTTACGGGGCATTAGTGCGAAATAGTGCCCAAATAATGGCGGACCGTAGGGTGTTAACTGGGCGAAATGGGGTTATATTTCTGTGGTACTCACTCTTCAGATGTGTCGGTCATGGTTCGTCTTATGGAATATCCTATTGCTTGTTGTCAACTTGTTTTTTGACAGCCACATTTTCGCACAACATCAATCAAAACCAACTCGACAACACGGGAACCACCATTGAACTAAAATTACTGTTAGTCTGACATCTAGAAGGCCGGTGCGCGTGCGCGAAATACGCGCGCCGACTTCGATGGCGCGCGGTTCGAAAGTTTTATCGATTTTATACCGTTTTATTGATAGTTTTAATAATATTTTGACTTCAAATTTTCTTAAAGTATTCGATTTTATTATAGGTATGTATTATCAATGTAATTAATAGAAAAAAAATAATTATAAATCAATCAAGATGGCCATGGAAGTTTGAAACTTCTGATGGTTGATTGGTCGTATAAAAAACATTAGATTTTATTTATTTTTGATTGGTTATTTGGAGATGGTTAAAGGCAATTTTGATTATTTATTAAGGTATTATTAATTCGTTTTTTAGGTGATTATAGTTTTATAAAAACAATAAAATATTGATTATCTGTTGCTAGGTGGTTGTTTATAATGTTGCAGGAAGGTGCTTGCATAATGTAAGTTAATTTTTTATTTAATTTATCCAAATGATTAGGTAGTTTATATTATTTTTTATTTGTATTCACTTTGTATTACAATAAGGTAAGATTTAAAATTATATATATCATTATTATTGTACAATTTTCCGTTAAAACTAAACATATGAAATAGTTTGGAGCCACTATAATACTAATTAATTATTTTAATGTATACATGGTTGCATATCAAAGTAAATAAACAGGATGCACCCTTCGAGCTTTTATGGGTATTTCTTAACGCTTTTATCAGTTAAATGTAGTCATAGAGTATAGTAGTTAACTGCACTACTACGGTGAAATCTAAAGGTCAGTACAAACGTTCATATAATCTTTTGAAATATTGGCGTCAAGAAACTATGTAATACTTTTGTACGTTTTAAAGGTGGAAGTGGAAAAAATATTTGAAATAATATTAATCTTTTGTAATTTTGAGAAGTTTTACATAGATGTTAATCCTCATTTTCATCTAATTTCTTCGCTACTATATTTTAAGTTAATTGTTTAATTGTTAATTGTTAATTGTTTTTATATGATAACTCGTTCTTATTGGTCGATTCTGATGGTGTGACTCGGATTATGAGTTCTTATTGGTCGATTCGGAGGATTGTGTTTACATTTAGTCCAGCTTGGATTTGAATAGACTTTAGTTTGATACCTACATAGTTGGATTTTTTAAATTTTTTTTTTCTAATCATGTAAACTTCCAATATGGCCTTGAGAAAAACAAAAGATGCTGGTGGAAACTCAAAATCTAGTAGGCGAAAAAGATCACAAATCGGCTGAAAATGTAAATAATTGTGTTTATTTACAAGGGATTCTTACTTTTTTTAAATTTCCTAGAAATAACGAAGTATAATGATTTTTGGTTTCGACAGGTTTTCAGTTTTTTGAACTATTTGAGAACCGCATTTTTTTTCCAATTTTTAAATGCAATTGTAATAGATTTGTAATTCCGTAACTTTTGTCCAATTCAACCTACATTGTAGCTTTTCAAATAAAAACGATACCCATACATAGAAGGATACTTGGTGCACATCTGGCAACATTGCTCTAAATCTGAAAGTTCTTGTCAAAAAATGCTGCAGGGTGTCTGGAAGTATGTAGTGTGACGTCATGATGGCGAAAAATATTACAGCGACCACAATCCACTCAACAATTGTAAGGTCTGTTTGATCTTGTACTAAAAATACTAAAAATCACTGCAACACTGCACATCATTTAATGGCGGCCATTTTTGTTGTTTACAATTCTTGTGCTTTGGGTTTGTACAGATTAATAATCGTTTTAAACGTTGTGAGAGACTTGCAAGCCTTAAAAGAGACCTTAAAGTGGTAAGAACAATCATTTTACTCCTCTTTTGTAAAAAATAAACCTTATTCTATCAGGGCTGTCAAATGTCAATTTGAAGGTTAATAAAATAACCTTAAAATTAACATTTATAAAATAATTTTTATTTAGCAATAGATGCTAGTCATAACATATACAAAATGATATAGTAAAATGATTGTTCTTACCACTTTGAGGGCTTGCAAGTGTCTCTGTAAAAAACACAACGTTTAAAACGATTATTAATCTGTACAAACACAAAGCACAAGAATTGTAAACAACAAAAATGGCCGCCATTAAATGATGTGCAGTGATTTTTAGTATTTTTAGTACGAGATCGAACTTGTTGTGTGGATTGTGACAGTGACATAAATACGACAGAATGTCAAAATATTGCAAAATTGTTGTGTAAAATGATTGAGTAAGAATTTCGGCCACCGAACCAACCCGAACTGTTTCGTTTGATTTCAGAAAAACCGGCTTTGTGGTGGACGAAGTCTCGGAAGAGTCGTTCTACCAGAATTTACTTTTGGGCATCACAAAGACTCTTGAAAGCAGCCCGTGCGTTCACAACACGAACTTGCGCCGCTACAGGGGCTTGAAAGACACGGACATAAGAGCATGGGAGCACAACAATGGCGTCCTACTATCGGAGGACATGAGGAACTTTTATTCCTCCACGAATGGGTTTCTGTTCACGTACAATTTCGCTTACGAGAACAACGAGGGTAAGGTGATAGCGGCGCTGGGAAAGATAGAAATGAACCCGTTGGAAAACATGTCGAGAACTTACGGGTACGAGACCAAACCCAAGGGCGAGATAGAGACCGTGGAGGGAAAGTACAAGCTGTGTTTGTCGCGGGAGAGTAAAGTTTTCGAGCTATCGAAAATCGACGACAACAACAAGGTGGTTTTGGTCTACGTGAACATTTACTGTCTGAGCAGCATATGGCTGTACTGCGCGCCCTATCAGTTTTATTTCCTGGCGGACGATTTCATAACCTACTTCAGGATGTGCATAGCGCACCTGGGCATCCCGTACTGGCAGTTCATGGTCACCAACGAGGGAATCCCCGAATGGAGCCGGGAAATGTTCCACATAATCGCCCCGGGCGTTCTGCAAGAAGACCGCAACCTCATACAAATCAACAAGAAAGAATACGAAGAGTTAAACAAACTCGACGTCAGCATTTTCACCATGCACCACCAGTACAACGAAAATAACGCCCAGAAAAACAAAGAACAAACCGTCGCGTCACCGCAGCACACTTCGAAGAAAAAAACGAAGAAGTCGACCAAAGTATCGCATCCGACGAAGGCAAGGAAGTCATAAAAAGGCAAATAAAATGTATGTTAAACATATACTATTTTATTATTCAAAAAACAACAATTACATATACAATAAATAATACAGTACGACCCAAGTTTAATTAATAACACCGCCGAGTTTCAGATGAGCAAACATTTTGTTTTGATAATGAGAAGCCAAAATCTATGGCACGCCGTTTTAGTATTTATTAGATAATAGTTTAAAGATTTTACAAAGTTAAGTAACAGCTTAAAAATATTGATTTTAAAAAATTATTACTAATATTTTAAATGATAGTCGATACATTTTTAATACAAAAATTCTCACATTCATTTAAATGTAAGTTATAAATTTTAAAGTGGTAATTTTTGGATTTAAAATACAGGTTGTTATATAATTAATGTAATATATTAAAATACTTAGTACCTTTTGAAATAAGGTGTAACTGAAAGATATTTAAAAAAATATTTTCCCAAAGATAAAGAAAAAATATGCATTAGAAGTTTTTTATATGTTTTGTGATACGCCACAGGTTACACACTTGTGTTCTGTGAGTACATAGATACCAACCAACAAAGTAGCTGCGCATTGCCAGTTGTAAAAAATTGTCACTAAAATACCTTTTTGTATTTATTTACTCATCCAGCTATTAGCTTAAGCAATGATTAGAAAATTTAGTACCTATTTTAAAAAATCCATAACCAAAAAATTAATTTTTTCATCGATCTTAAGATATTTACAATTTGAGCATATAACCTAAAATTTGAAAGAAATTCACTAGATTCTGTCATAAAAGTTGCCAGATTTTGTTTGAATTTACCTCCATTACAAAAATGACATAATCAACAATTAATAAAAACGCCAAATTAACAATTTGCATTGTGGATTTTGTCATTTTTGTAATTAAGCTAAATTTAAACAAAATCTGGCAACTTTTTTTGACAGAATCTGGAAACGCTGCTTGTTACCAACCATAACAGAATAAATTAAATTAGGCAACCAGATTAGCCAAAAGCTCCTAGTCGATCAGTGGCGTACTTTTTGGTAGGATAAAGGTTGTTATAAATTATTTTTAGTCTTTAGAATTTAGAAAAAAAAGTTTTAGGTGCTTCTTTGTGGACCCATTTTAATATATTACATTAATTACATAACACCCTGTATGTTTGTGTTAAAAATGTTTCAAATTTGTTAAAAATAAAAGTAATTGGTTTAAATTTGTAAAGAGTCATTTATATAAATTTTTAATCCAAAATTTAAAATGTAATGTGAGAATTTTTGTATTAAAAATTTATATAAACGACTCTTTACAAATTTAAACCAAAAATTTTAAAACTACCTACAATTTTAAAAAACCAAAATTTTAAACCTTTTATTTTACTTTTGCATTTTATATTGATTATAATTATAAATTTTGGTTTTTAAAAATTGTAGGTAGTTTTAATATTTTATTCTACAAAATTATTGGTTTAAATTTGTAAAGAGTTATTTATATAAATTTTAATACAAAAATTAAAAACAATTAATAATTATTATTAATTGTTTTGAGTTTAAAAAAATTAACTTTTTAAATTATTTTGATAGAAAATGTTTTATATGTGTTTTTATTTTTAATGTCTCGACACTATTTTTAAATACTAAAAAATTTAACTTTACTCATTTAATCTAAATAATTTTATTAAATATTTATTTAAGATTTACAAAATTCTGACCAAATAAATTATACTTAAGAAATTAGTTTTATTAAAAAATGATGGTTGGAAATTTTTGCAAAAATTGATTGGAAATAATATTGTAAACCTAAAATTTTAAATTAAAAAAAATATTTCATAAATATTAAAACGGCGCGTCATAAAAATCTCATCACGCCGGCTCGCAATAAAAATATATCAAAGTATCACAAAAAATTATTTTGGTCTCACCAGATTGAAGGACTTGGTGTTTAGGAGAGCGTCCGTTCTGGCCGTGAGCGGTTTTGGTGCTTGAATTGAGGAGGTGGTGCCCAAAATTTCCTCGGGATACAAACTCTCCTCCGAGCACACCAGATTCGGGCCCGTTTCCAGCCACTTCTCCAAAAACTTTTTCTGATCGCTGTCGGTGGACTTGTCCGCCTCGGAATTGCACGAGAGGTTCAGCGAAGGCTCCGAGCCCATTTCCAGGGAGGTTCTCAGTTGTAAACTGGTTTCCTCCGTATACGAACCCACGGATCTGCTCAACCGGTGGTTCTCCTTCGATTTGTCCGCGTTTTGGCCGCCGATATCCACGGATTTGGACGCCATGGACAAATTGTTGGAGGGGTCCAAGGGATCGCAACCCTCCTCTATGGAGTCGTTGTTCAGGTGGTCTTCGTAGGTGTAGGTTTCAGGTTGCTCGGTGAAACCGGCGATTTTGCTTAGGTTTACCGCAGAACCGTTTGTAGAGGTTGCGGTTGAGGTTGCGGGACTGCTCCCTTAAAAACCGCAAAGATTATGCATGTTTTCCAGCTGGATTTTTGCTGGATCAACATCAATCCAGCTGGATCCAGCAATTTATTTTTTTAAAGAAAATTAAAAAAAAATTAAAAAAAAATTAAAAACTTTTATTATTATCTTTATTTTCATAAAAAACCTACAACAGGTATCAATTTATAGAAAATAAATGAAATAAAATTTTAATTTGTCAGCAAGTAAATTAATTAATTTAATTTATTGATGACTAATATTTTTCATTAATGTTTTTTAATTTAAAACATATTAATTTTACCAATTTTTATGGCACGTTTTACTTTTTAATGGGATAAGAAATATTAAGTTAAACTTTAAAAAATTGCACTGGAAAATAATACCTTCAAAATGACATTAATTAGAATTATTCAGGGTGTTACGTAATTAATGTAATATATTAAAATACTGAATAAAGAAAAAATATGCATGTCATAAAAGTGGCCAGATTTTGTTTGAATTTACCTTCATTACAAAAATGACATAATAAACAATTAATAAAAACGCCAAATTAACAATCTGCATTGTTGAGTTTGTCATTTTTGTAATTAAGCTAAATTTAAAAAAAATCTGGCTACTTTTTTTGACAGAATCTGGAAACGCTGTGTTACCAACCATAATAATAATAAATTAAATTAGGCAACCAGATTAGCCTAAAGTTTCTAGTCGATCAGGGGCGTACTTTCTGATAGGATAAAGGTTATTATAAATTATTTTTAGTCTTTAGAATTTAGAAGAAAAAAAAAAGATTCAGGAACTACCCATTTTAATATATTACATTAATTACATAACACCCTGTACAAAGAAGTTATTCTATTATTATTTTTATTTATTTAATGTATTTTTTCTGTGTGCAATATTTTTGTGACACATTAATATTTTACTTAATATATTCCATAATTTTAAAAAACCTACTTAAATTTATCTTTTACATTTAAAACATTTAGGATTAAAAAGTGAAATGGCATGCCATAAATTTTTATGTTTTGTTAGTTTTTAAACTCTATGTATATTATAGGGTTTTTTTGGTAAATTAACTTAAATAAATAAATAAATATTAAATATTATTTTTACAGTCCTGACTGAAAAACTTTTATGAAGAAAAATTTTGCACTATTTCGTATATTTCAATTTTTAGTACATTTATCCCCATAATATAAATTATATCTACTGAAGAATTAAATATTTTTAGGACATTAAACTTATTTCTACTTTAAAAGCTTCAACAAAATTAATGTAAAGATAATTATCTTTATTATTTTTTTATAATAATTTCTTTGTTCCCAATGTAACTAATATAATGTAATGTTTATCAATAAATTAAACACTTATTTAGCGTGAAACTTTATCAAGCGCGAGCGAAAAGTGCGGTGTAGACGGGGGTGTGGGGCGCATCCAGCGGGCTGAAAAATGAAAAAACTCACCACAGCAGGCCATGTTGCCGTATCCCTCGATCGCCATCGTCTTGAACGAATCCCTGCTGATCTGATGGTTCAGGTACGCCTCGGGGATCGCCAGCTCCTTGGTGCACCTCGAGTTCGTGCAGCGCCGCCCCCGATCGCCGCCCGCTCTCCTCGCCGTCGAGGGCGACGTTGCCGGTTTTCTCGTCGGACTCGTCGCCCTCTTGATCCTGCTTTCCGTTCTGATGCACTCTGAAGAATTACGTGTTTGGAGTTTTGACAAATTTGTCGATGTGAAGGTAGGAAAAATGACACAGTATTTAAATTTTATTCTATTTTAAATTAAATAAATAATAATGTATAACTATGTATGTATTTGTGGATGATTAATTCTAAGTGGTTTACAAAAATATTAGCTAGTAATGTTAATTATTGTAATAATTATTATTATAATTATAAATCCATTACTAGCTGATATTTTTGGCTGATACATTATGGCTAGTGTATATTTTATTTTTAACTTGGAAGTTATTTTGTTTCAGGCAGATTTCTAGAGTATTTAATGTCTTTTTTAATAACTGTCTTAGTACTATTTAGATCTAAAAGGTTATGTAATATGTTAACTGTTCCTAATGGGGGCAAACTGGGAAATAAATTGGTAATGTCAAGACAAATTAACAACTGTAACATGGAGTTTTATCAAGTAAAGTTCGAAACAATGAAAAATAATAACTGGAATTAAAACCTACCTTGTATGACGGGATCGGTTATGTTCGCGGAGAAATGGGCGTGGCCCGCGCCCCGAAAGCTCGCGAGCTTCGCCGAAGACTGGATGGGCGGCAGCGGCGTTGCCGCTTCGGCTGCGCGGTCGCGCGGGCCCTGCAGCATGCCGAAGAGGTTCGGCAACGTGGCTTTCAGCTCGGGCGTGTGCAGCTGGTACAGCCACCGCAGCTGCGCGATGTTCTTGTTCAGCAGGTAGACCGCGTAGGTGAATTGCATTTTGTCTTTTCCGCGGGCGAAAAGGGGAAATCTAAAAATGTTTTACATTGGGATCAGCAAATACACTGCCCAAGCAGCATTTTAAGTAAAAGCGCGGAGCTTTGAGGCAATATTACTTAATTTAAGTAAAATTTTTGTTAAATTAACCTTAAAAATTTACTTTAAAGTAAAACTTTATGTAAAGTTATTTAATAAGTTTTATTTATGTTATTTTTTCCTATTTTAATAACCCTTAAGTTTCAACACTTTAAAGTTTTATAAGGGGCATAATTTTTACGAAAGAAAATTACTTATAAGTGTATTTCACCTAAAGAAAAATTTAACGGTAATTTTTGGTGGATTTATGCAGCACAAATTAACATTAAGATTAACTTTAACATTAACATTAAGATTAATTTAACATTAACAGGAGGGTATTTATGCAGCAAAATTAGTAGCAAATTAAGCATTAGACTGGGCCAAAAAAATTGACTATTTTTTTTTTTTGAAAAATATATCGAGAATGTCATTCAGAATGACAAAAAAAAAATTTCGTGAAAATTTGAGCCCTCAATATTAATTTTAAGAGGTCTATCATCGCTATTTTTGATTTTTAGTCATAATATGATGTTTTACGTTGGAACTGTCAAAACAATAAAGTGAAAAAAATTCCTTGTCACTTATTTTTATAAAAAATTAAATTCTCTACAAAAAAGGTCTGATTGAAAATTTTCGCCAGACGAGCCGTTTCCGTGTAATTGAGCTTAATAAATCGATGTGTTTTTTCGATTTGCCCTTTTTACTTTGAAATTTTGTAACTAATGAATCAATGAATATTTAAAAAAGCTCACGTCGGATTCTTAAAGGAAATTTAATGTTCTACAAAAAAGGTCTCGGAACATTTTTGCCTAAATTTAATTCTTCAAAAGTTATTCACGAAGAAAAAATTGAAATTTTAAGTTTTTCTTCGATTTTAATCGTGAATAACTTTTGAAAAATTAAATTTAGGCAAAAATGTTAAGAGACCTTTTTTGTAGAACATTAAATTTACTTTAAGAATCCGATGTGAGCTTTTTTAAATATTCATTGATTCATTAGTTACAAAATTTCAAAGTAAAAAGGGCAAATCGAAAAAACACATCGATTTATTAAGCTCAATTACTCGGAAACGGCTCGTCTGACGAAAATTTTCAATCACACCTTTTTTGTAGAGAATTTAATTTTATATAAAAATAAGTGAAAAGGAATTTTTTTCACTTTATTATTTTGACAGTTCTAACGTAAAACATCAAATTATGACTAAAAATAAAAAATAGTGATGATAGACCTCTTAAAATTAATATTAAGGGCTCAAATTTTCACGAAATATTTTTTTTGTCATTCTGAATGACATTCTCGATATATTTTTCAAAAAAAAAAATAGTCAATTTTTTTGGCCCAGTCTATTAAGCATGCGTATAAGTTAAAGTAATTTTGACATCTGACATTTTTGGTTTGTTTGAATTTTGTTTTAATCCCGTTTTAGCATATGTTAAGTAAAATAAATGAAAACTATAAACTCCACGTCAAACAATAAACCAAAGAACACAATCATTGAATAAAAAATCAACCATTCAGTAGTAAGTTTTATTTTTTTTCGGGTATGTTGGCATTACTGACACGGTTAATGTTAATTTTTATTCCTCCTGCGCAGGTTTGCGGCGCAATTTTTAAATAAATTTATTATAAAAGTTGGCCATCTCTTAATGTTAACTTAATGCTAAAGTTAATGTTAATGTCTTGCATAAAAGCTTCCAATGGATTACGTTCATTTAACTTCTTAATGTTAATGTTAATCTTAATCTTAATGTTAACTTAATGTTAATTTGTGCTGCATAAATCCAGCATTTAACGTCAGAATTTTTACTTAATGGTAAATGTTACTCATAAGTCATAATTTTACGATATTAAGACCACTTTATAACCGTAAATAATTCCTATTCGTCTGGTATTTTTTAGGGTTATTCGTGGTAATAAATACCATTAATTTTGACTAAACAAGAAAAAATGGGATTAAAGTGAAAAATAAAACTTTAAGGGAAAATTTCAGGTCGCCATAATAAGTTTTTTAAGATGGAATCCATTACTTATCTAAACATTTATATAATATTTTTTAATAAATATTTTTCTAAAATATAATAAGGAAAGTTTTAGTTATTAAAAAATGATTAAAACTATATGATTTTTAAAAGATTTTATAAAATTTTGTAGGTTTTCAGTTTTGTTAAATTTTTACCCAAGCAATAATTTTTCTTAAAACCGTAAAATATTTAGAGGGCATATATTTTTAAAATGTATTGTGCCTATTTTTATCAATAAAATAATGTGCGTTTGAGTTTTAATGCAAAATATTATTAGTAAAATGTCAATGTTTTAGAAAGAGAGAGCAAACAGTTAGTAATTATAGCGTTATTTTTACGTAAATTTGTGGTATTTATATTGTTTTTATTACGTTATTCTCTTAGTAGATCTATACCGTTATAAAACCGTTTTGGATTATTAAAAAATACTTTAAAATTGACTTAGTAGTAAATTTGCTTGGGTATGGCCCTGTGGGTGTTTTACTGTCCATGAATAATATAAACTAATAAATCAATGTTACAAAAAATATCCGAAATCTATAGCTAATCACGTGGTTTAACCCTCACCCGACAAATCCCGTTTTTTACTTACTCTCGGTCCTTATCCGGCAACAGTGGAGACGCATTGTCGGTGATGCAAGACCTCGACCCGTAATGAGTCATCGGGTACCTCAGCGGTACCTGCAAAAACGTCGAGCACATTATCAAAATATGCGTCACGTAGCCCAGAGCCACAGCCAACCCGACGTCCGAACAGTCTGCAATAGAGAATCACGTAAATCGAAAAAATAGCATTCGCAACAAACAATACCTGCCAGTATGTCGGAGTTGGGCAAATAAATGTTGTGGATCAGGTACTTGCTATCGGACCTCTTTAGTATCGGGTAGATGAACAGTAATTGCCTCATCAGCTGTCTTCTTCTGTGCTGCACATGCGCGTTCACGTGCTGCTGAATTTCGCTGTGATGGCACAAATTTCGCTTTATTTCTTTCAGTTTTTCCGCGTCCCTGCTTAGAGTGTGATAGTTTTCCATCAGTTCACAATCTACAATGGTATATTATTATATCTTGTGCTTCTTCTATTACAATCAAGTAATTTTCATTAATAACAAAATTACGCTCCTCGTATATATCAAAAATCTGACATCTGTTTTTTTGTTGTTTATATTTTAAATATAAAGGGTATTATGTAATAAATGTATTAGGTAAATTAATTTCAAAGACCAGGAACTTTGGGCTAATCTGGTTGCCTAATTTAATTTATTATGCTATGGTTGGTAACAACCAGGGTTGCCAGATGAGGGGATTTTCCCCAAAAATGAGGGTATTTTTTTTATTGCGTAATTTTTTAGGATTTTTCTTTGGGGATATTTTCTGGGGAGAAAATATTCACTTGAGGATTTAGATTTTACCACTACTCGATAAAAACTTTTAAATATTAAATCTCGAAATCTAACGCACAGTTGTGTCAGTTTTATAACAACCAAAACTATGTTAAATAAATTTAATGCTACCATGTATGATACTCGTAACAAAAATGAATTCGTTTTTGGAAATTTTTTGAAAACATTGTTTTCTTTAGATTTGGGAAAATATTTTGTTTAAATATTTACCGTCACACCTTATATCAAAAGGTATTCAGTATTTTAATATATTACATTAATTACATAACACCCTGTAGGTATATCTGTTTTTTGCTTATTTGTAAGTTTTATATTTTAAATATATTGATTATATTTTTATGCTTATTTGTAACAACAAAATAACTCATAAACGGTTTAAACAAAAATGTCTAATACGAGCCCTAACCACATAATGTTCGGACACTTCATAATTTATACAGAAATTTTTTTCGTGAATACTATCTTAAAATTATTAGAAGTTATGAAAAATTCACCTTATTTTGGCATATACCCCTCGAAGCGATTTTTATTTTTAAAAAGTTTACCTTTTATTTTTAGCTTTTAAAAAAAGGCTAACTTTTTAACTTTTTTTTGTATGAGTAAAAAAAGTTATAAAAAGAGCATAAAATATTATACAAACCCTGAAAATTTGGTAAAAAATAAATAAGTTATAAAAAAGTATAAGTAATTTAAAAATGCTATTTTTAAAGAGTTTTTGCAATTTTCTTAGGAAACGGGAGATTTTGCAGATATATATATCGCTATAACTTTCTTATTATTCATACAATTTTTACCAAATTTTCAGGGTTTGTATAATATTTTATGTTCTTTTTAATGGGCCCATTTATAACTTTTTTTACTCATGCAAAAAAAAGTTAAAAAGTTAGCCTTTTTTTAAAAGCTAAAAATAAAAGGTAAACTTTTTAAAAATAAAAATCGCTTCGAGGGGTATATGCCAAAATAAGCTGAATTTTTCATAACTTCTAATAATTTTAAGATAGTATTCACGAAAAAAATTTCTGTATAAATTATGAAGTGTCCGAACATTATGTGGTTAGGGCTCGTATTAGACATTTTTGTTTAAACCGTTTATGAGTTATTTTGTTGTTACAAATAAGCATAAAAATATAATCAATATATTTAAGTTTGATAAACGGCATTTTAAACATGAATTTAATTTAGGCCCGAGAGAACTTGCGAGCGAGTTTTTAAATTAATGAGTGTCTAGAAAAGTTTATAAACGAGTTGCATACTATACTTTTTTTATGACAAATATATATATTATTACCAAAAAAATTATTTATATTAAATATTTGTATAAAGCGACATCTATACGAAAATAAAGTAACTAGGTATCCCAATAAACATTTTTAACGTAATTTTTACCATTAACATTGCCCGTTATTATTTTAATTTAATTTAACAATTATTGATACACCAAAATATTAAAATAACTTCAAAATATGATTATTTTAGAAAAATATGTCATCCTTTGATTTTTTTATTACTATAATTGCAAAATATTATCACAAAGTATTAAAAATTCTTACACGGGAAATGTTAAAGGTACAAAAAGTGACAGTTTATTGGAATTCCTGCTAGAATTTCTAACTTGGGAATCTACCGGCGTTAAAATCACAAATTTTTCCGTGTAAATCTAAATTTATCCCTTGAAAATAGACAAACAATTGATATAGAAGCAATTTTTCACAGTAAAAGAGAAGAGAATGTTTTATGGGCACTGTACGCAAAATTTTTAACGCTTTATCAGTTAAATCTAGTTAACTGCACTACTAAGGCGAAATCAAAATGTCAGTAAGAAACTACCCAGCTAGCACGATACATAACGCGAGCTCGTGCGATGTTCTGTTTAGGTCGCATAAATACATCTCGTTGAAAACATACCAGGTATATTGCCGATATATTATTTTTTAATATTGCACATCGATGTATTGTTACATACCTATAACATGACATAAGTACTTGCAACAAACATCTAATGTAAATGTACCAAGAATGTAACTAAAGGTAATTTTAAGTATATTACTTGTCATATGATTAACGGTACCAACAATATAAAAATAAATAAATAAAATAAAAGGCTTAAATAGAGTAAAATTATAATTTATTTAAATATTATTAGTGAAAAAACTTTAAAAACAATCGAAATTTCATTTATTAATATCTAGTATTATTGATGGTGATAATAAAATCTATCAATGTTATGTCAATTTTGCATTTATCAAGTTGGAAGCCATTCATTTTAGGTTATCTCATGTTCTATTTCCCACCAAAGAAGTTCTTTGAAAGAACACTTCTTTTTCTATGGCGTTTATCTCTGATGCTAGCGTGGTTTGTTCTGTAAGTAGTTTACTGCGTCTATGCTGTGATCTTTTTTACTTATTCTTTTGTTTTTGTATCGGTGATTTTGGGACATCCTGTATATATGAAATTAAGTGGGTTTTCCGATGGGTTTTTCTTCACTGATAAAAATGGTTTTAGTGGCAAGGGGTGTACCACAATCCACAATTTGTGGATTGTGGGGTGTACTAAAGTTCATTAAAAAAGTCAGTCATCTGTATGCATGGCAAATGCGCCTGGCAGGTAAAAAACTGAAAAATAATGTTCAGTTTTTCACCTGCCAGACGCATTTGCCATGCTTACAGATTAGACAGACCTTTCTTTTTGATAAGCTTTAGTAAACCTCTTGCCACTAAAACCCATAAATGGGAATATATATTTTGTATCTAAATTTGTTGTTTTTATTATTATTTATTTATTTATTTATTTATTGCCCAACAGAACATGTTCCAATTACAGGACAAAATACATACATAGAAAAGAAATTTGTTAAGTATAATAATAATATAATAATATTAAATAATATTAAAATTAAAGTAAATTATAATTGCTAGATGCAGCACTAATTATACTATTAAAAGTCTGGTAAAAAATATCACATGAGCTACAGTAAATATTAAAGTAGGTATCTGCACATTCTCTGAACGGGTGAATTATACATGGCATTTATTCTAGGTGTTTTATATGTAAAAGTTAATTGACTACGGCTTTGAAAAAATGGAACACGCAAATTCACAGATTCAAGGAGTGATATAGAATCAATCTGGTTATGCAACAGTCCATACAAAAACTTCAAATGCATTATTATTCTTTTTAGCTCCAAAGGCAGTAAAGAAAATCTATTAAGAAGCTGCAAGTGGTTTGTTCCTCTAGCAGAATAGATACCGTCAAGTCTAAACGAAACAAATTTCAAGCCTATCTTTATAAATATTGTATTGCGGACTCCAAACAATACAGCAGTATTCCAGCTTAGATACAACAAATGCGTAATAAAGAGGCTGAAATGTTCTAATATCTCTAAAACCCCCAGTATTGCGAATTATAAATCCCAAGCTTTTCATAGATCCATTCTCAACATGATTGGAAAACGTGAATTTATTATTTGTACAGTGTATTTGTACAGTGTGTATATATAATTTTTTTACCTGAATATATTAATTTATTATAAGTAGTTTTTTGAATTATAATACATGAAAATGTTAATTCAGAAATAAAAAATCGGTATACAAATTAATAAATATTTATTTTTAACATAAAATAAAATACCTATAGTAAAAGTATTTTTTTTATCGAATATTGTTTTAATTTGACAAATAACTATAAAAAAATATTTTGGATTGTGTTTTTTACTTAGTATTTACCTAATACTAATTATTAATTAGGTACTTATGTATAGGTAAAGTAATTGCTATAGAAGGGTATATGCATATACCCTTCTATAGCAGTTACTTTCTTAACATTCTAAGCCTATGTTTATTTTTACCACTAAAACTTTGCACCTTCTAAGAACCTGCCTATAGGCCAGTAAGAATATTCTTAGGATCATGCTATATGTCTTTTAAGCATGTTCTTTAAAAGAAATATAGCATGATCCTAAGAATATTCTCACAGGAAGGTTTAAAAAACATTCTTTAATTTCTTTAGAACTTACATATTAAGCAAATTACTTTGTGTTTTTGTTTTTCTTTTTTATGCATTAATACAGGCATCCGGCAAATCATTTCATGTTTTTATACTTCTTTTTTTAGTATTTGTTTTATAAAATGTAGAAAAACTTAAATTTTTTGATAAGTTTTGTTACATTATAAACAAATACTAAAAAAAGAAGTATAAAAACATAAAATGATTTGCCGGATGCCTGTATCTTTTGCTAAAGCCTTTTTATATCAATAAGTTACATTCATGGAACATTACATCTAAACATAGCATGCATGTTTTAAAGTTACTTTAATTGATGTTTCAAACTAACGTTTTCAGTACGTAACAAAGTAACATCTCGAAAACATTGTCCAATGTAAACATGTTGCGGAAATTCGGAGGTTGCCTCAATAGACATGCGATATCAACAGTACATTGCACGGGAGGTTTAATGTACCCAATTTTACATCGCTGTACATTGTTGGGATGTTTCTGTGCTAGCTGGGTATTGAGATAATAAAATATTGTTCTCATTTAGTATTATTTTACAAGAAATGCACTTTATTTTAAAAATTGTTTGACATTGTGTGTGACATTTGACAACTGTCAACTAACTTAAAACTAACTTCAGCCTGTGACTGTCATTGTGTCAGTGTTGCCAACTTTTAGAGAGTTAATAGAAATAAATATTTTTATACAGTGTTGCCAGTCTAGTACAATTGTACTAGATCTAGTACTTTTTTAATACATTCTATACCTTAGTACCCTTGAATCAAAATCTAGTACTTTTTGATATATGGGCCTAAAAATAAAATAACAATTTTTTACCCTACTTAATTAAAATTATTATAAATTTTAAACGGATACACGCAACTATAGGGTATGTTCCGTAAATACACATGAGTTACCGGTCTGGTTACTGAAATAAATTCCTGGTTTTCTCGGTTAGTTCATATTTACGGGACACCTTTATTTGAAAAAACATAACCAACTTACTTTTTTTGGCCTACTCTTTAAAATATCTATAGTTATGTATATTTAATAATATTTCTATAGTTACATAAACAAACCTAAAACACCCTATATACTGAATTCAATTATTTTTGGACAAAACGTATTTTGTATGCGAAGTCTGCTCCTGTGTTAAATTTTTAGGTTAGATAACCAACAAAAAACAGTAATTTTGTTTAGGGCAACACTGTTTCCATTTGGTTTGCAGCACTGGTAACCGATTTAACCGATCATACAGCGTAGGTCGTTTCGGTAACGATTGGTTAACCTATTTTTCAGGAACCGCGTTTCTTAACTACATAATTTTCAGGAATTTTTTATTTACGGGACACCTTAACCGAAACCAAACCAACCAAGTTGACTTACGGAACATACCCATAAATACACATTTAGAAACATTGGGCGGAATGATTATAGATGGCGACACCCACCTTGTGGCGAAACCTACTAAACCAACCAAGAGAGTTGTTGCGCATGACTGTCACTTGTCATTAAAAATTCTGATAGAAACTTTCTGTGTTTTAAAAAAAGTGTATATAATTATTAAGTGTATATAATTATTATATAATATTAATAGGGGGATATTTATTATGGAGAGGTAATTATAAGTACTATTTATAATATGAAAGTAAAGTAGTATTAAATGCAATAACTATATAATATTACTATTAAACTAAATGAAATGTTCACCCCTCCTTACCTAAAACCTTATTTTTGAGTTCTGAAAATATGGTATTTTTTTTAAATCTGGTACTTTTTTAACTGAAAACTAGCACTATTTGAAAATAAGTTCTGGCAACACTGTTTTTATATGTACTCACTTCTTGTATCATTCTCTTCAACACAGGCATTATATCTTTGCCTTAACTGCCTAATTCTTACAGATTTTTTGTCCCTTTCATTAGACAATACCTTACTTTTGAATCTAGCTTTTTCTATCTCCTTTTTAACGCGACTCATTTCCTGTTTTTGAACTGTTGTTGGTTTTTCCTTAAAACAAAAAAACACAGGGTATAAATATAAGATATTAAATATTAGATAGTAAAAAACTCACATATAACATCCTATTTAACGAATTCATTGTCAACAACTGTGGTTCGTATCTTATTTTGCTGGATGGACTAGAAGTAGTTGAATTGGTGCTATTATTTACATTATCACAATCCCCGTTCTTATAATTAATTTTATCTATGATGATTTTAACGTCTTCCGACCTATTTTTTAATGAAATTTGCAGCGACTGCAATTTTCTTAATTTATCCAAATTGTAACTTCTGTAAACCTCTGAATTCAAGGTATTAACCGTTTTACATCTATAAATTATTCCTGTTTCAGGACTTCCTAAACAAACAAAATAAATATAAAAAAAACCTACAAAAACGGTTATTTTCTTTTGTAGTTTACCTATTATATTTAGGCTATCCTCAAAAGGTAGAGATTTCTTTAAATCAGTTCTTATGGTGAACCGACTGGTGAAAAACCCGCCATGTAAATTAAATATCACAGAATTTTCCTTAAAGTATGATGGTAAAATATCGGTAATCCTATTACCAATATAAACAAGACCCGAAAAGTTAATGCCCCAAGTTAACACCATTTTATCCATTTCGTTCATTTTGCATTGCCATACCCTTAATACTACAGCTAAAAATTATATTAACATAATTTAATGCATAATAATTATTAAATTTCAATTTAATAATGTTGTAATTTAAAAGTTTTAAATTACCATTAAAACTTATCAATGCTTTCTCTGAATCATCATTTATGAAACTTAAAACCATAAAAATAACATTTGGTTGGAATATTTCGTGATTAACATAAAATTTTAATAAACCGAATTATATTAAATATCAAATTACTCACTTGAAGCTGACTTGTTGGATATAATTTTATTATCCAATTCTACCCACTTTAAATTTGGCCCCTTATTTTTCTCGCTAGTGTAAAACGGAGCACACATGGTGGTTAGATGCAATGTAAAGTAAAAACTATCCAATTTCTTCGATGTAATATTGAAAGCAATAATCTGTGTGACATGGCGTAGCCGTAACTAAAAAAAAATATTTTGCTAACATTTTCTGCTGAATCTCAATGAACTTACTTGTTGAGTTAATAGAGGTGTCCATTGCCGACTTCTTTGTCTTCCTAACAGCAATTCCGTTGAGTTAAAATTCATGACATCTGTAAACAAAGATTTGACATTTAAATTTGAGGTTAAATTTGTGTTTTCACCATTGAACTCCTTTATTTACTTACTATTAAATAACCGTTGAATATACTCACTTTATTTTTAAATTTAACCAATTTTAAAAAGCAATTTTAAATTTACAGCGTTTTTAATACGAATCCGTGTTTATACGCTGTAACTGTCATTTCTAGATGGCAGCACATGTCATGGCGATAATTAATCTAATATTCGAAATTAAGCATTATAATTAAAACAATTTACAAATTATGTAGAAATAATGCACAATTTACATAAAATATTATTGAAATAGTTACAAATAAATTACTAATATTGTAAAAATGTGTATTTATTGTTAGTTCAAAACGTTACAGGGAGATGTCGCTAGTGCTTTATTGACAAATAAATGGGCGTCGTGGGAGATTCCTGTTCGACCGGCTTGAGCTGTCAATTTGTCAGAGATTGCTGTCAAGTCGAGGTGTGGTAAAAAATCGGATGAATCACAGATAAAAAATTGTTATTTAGGGTAAATTAGTTGTTAAATTTCTTATTATGGATAGTGAAGGTAGAAAAGTAATAGTTTGTGATAATGGCACCGGGGTAAGTTGAAAATACACCGGCTAAATGGCCGAATTAACGTCAAAAACATAACCCCAATTTGTTATTTTTTTTTCCTTAGTTCGTCAAATGCGGATATGCCGGTAGTAATTTCCCTGCTCACATTTTCCCCTCTATGGTGGGTAGGCCGATAATTAGGGCTGTCAATAAAATCGGCGATATCGAAGTAAAGGTAGGTTTCACAACAGTGTAGAGATTATTTGTAGTTTGGAGTATTGTTACAAGACTTATTGTGTTTTTGTATTTATAGGGTTTACATGTTGAAGTAAGTTATAAATGTGTGAACCCCCTTGAATTATCCCTTACTAATAATATCTAAAATGTTTTAAATTACTATTTTAGCATGTTTGTTGTGAAATATGAACTCTTATAAGAACTGTTTTATTCTTAATAATAATAATGCTGTAATAACTGAATTATTATTTAATAGTTTTAATAAACCATTTTATCTTATGCAAAAGTAGCTTATAAATGTTATTATAGGGACCCTTACAAATTTGTGTTACTTATTTTATCATAGAAAAAGGATTTTAGATAATTTTACAGTTTAATAATAAAATTTAATTATTTCATGCCTAACAGGGAGTAGCAAGCACACTTCCTGTAAGTATAAGATAATTTTATTCAAGTAAAAACAAAATATTTAGTTTAGAATAATAATAATTATTATGGGTGGTTTTTAATTAAAATAAAATATTCAAATATTTCTCTGCTAGGACTTGATGGTTGGAGATGAGGCCTCCCAGTTAAGGTCACTGTTGGAGGTGAACTACCCTATGGAAAACGGTATTGTAAGAAATTGGGAGGATATGTGCCATGTCTGGGACTATACTTTTGGTCCTAAAAAAATGGATTTAGACCCAAAGGAAACAAAAGTAACTAAATAAATGAGTTAAAATGCAGTTTTTTGTGTGAATCAGCCAGAACCAATTTTCTCTAAATTTCGTTTTTTAGATCCTTTTAACTGAACCACCAATGAACCCACTGAAAAACAGGGAGAAAATGATTGAAGTGATGTTTGAAAATTACGGTTTCGCCGGTGCTTATGTTGCGATTCAGGCTGTGTTAACTTTATATGCTCAGGTGACATGCCTTTATTTTGTAAAGAAATAATAATAATTTATACTTTTTCAGGGTCTTTTGTCTGGGGTAGTGGTGGACTCTGGCGACGGGGTCACGCACATTTGTCCCGTGTACGAGGAGTACGCGTTGCCACATCTCACCCGGAGGCTGGATATTGCCGGGCGCGATATTACACGCTACTTAATCAAACTGCTCTTGCTCAGAGGCTATGCCTTCAACCACTCTGCCGATTTTGAAACAGTGAGTTAAATTTTTTTTTTGATTTTTTGTTTTATATTTTTATTTTTATGGGAATTTTTTGTTAAACTTGGAATCTTTTGAATTTTTGTTTGATCAATGGTTGATTTTTTTTTATTCGTTTAAAATTTTTGATTTTTATTGATTTTTTGTTTTTTTTTGGATATCTAAAGTCGAATTTTCGCTGCGATTCATGAACTTTTTTGTTTGAATATTTTGTTTTATTTTGTTTGTTTTTTGTTCTTGGAATATTTTCGTTGTTTTTTTCAATATTATTTTTGTTTTTCTTTTTAATTTTTTATTTTATTTGATTTTTTTGGAATTGTTGTTTTATTATCCTTTTTTGTTTTTTGTTGCTACTTTTTTTTAATTCTTTTATAAAATATAAGTTCTTATTTATTTCTTGATTACACTTTTTTAAAATTTTGTTTCCTTTATTCTATGCTCTAAAGAGAGTAAAGTTACTTCTTGTTTTCTTTTAACTTTTTTATTTTTTGTTTAAATTTTTTAATTTTTAAGATTTTTATTTTAAATTTTGTTATTTTTTGGTTTATTGTCGTCTTTGTTTTTTAAATTTATTTATTTTTGGAATGTTGTTTATTTGTCTTTGATATTTTAATTTTTTTTGTTTTTCTTTTAATTTTTAGGATCTATTGAAAATTTTGTAAATATTCTGTTTAGAGATGCGGTCCGTTTTTTTTTTCAGGTTTTTTTTATTGTTTTCTTTCAAATGGTTTTAGGTTTTTTTTCAAGATTAGTCCCTAAATTTTTATGTTTCCAGTCCAGTTTGTGGACTAAAATTAGCCACTAAATGACATTTCATTTTTTTATTATGGTATTTGTAAGGATTGAGCTTTGCACGTTTTTCATCTTAAAATATCAAAACTAGAAAGTTTCAAATTGCTTTTTTTACTGCTCCAATACGACCATTTTTAACGAAGATACAGCTATCCGAAAAATCGCAAAAAATTTGATATTTTTTTTATCCTTTAATTTTTTCTATTAGTGTAGAAGTTTTACATTGCTATTGGTTTCTTATGTGGAAATCAGATTTTTTAGTCTTGGTCAAAATTTTCAATATTGAAAAATGTAATATATTCTACTTTTTACTTTATTATTAATATACATTTTACTGAAAAAAACAAAAAAAAAACCTTTTTTTTCTAGTTTTTTTTTATGTTTTTTCACATCTGAAAAAAACAGTTTTTTTACATCTCTACAATTTGTGTTAAAGAAAATTTGGTAACATTTTTAAGACGAATATTTTGGATTTTTTTAAGACGGTACATTACTTGGTTAGTTTTAGTGTTGTCATAAAACTGCCTTGGTAAAGGCGCCTCTAAATCTGCTTACTTACATACTGTCTGTCCACTCTAAGTTGGCTGAACTAAGGAATTTTGTTGTTTAGATATTAAAGAATTGTCGTACTGTGTGCTTTTAAAACAGATTTTATATTATAAATAATACTAGTATATAATATGTACTAGTATTATTTATAATATAAAATCTGTTTTAAAAGCACACAGTACGACAATTCTTTAATATCTAAACTACAACATTCCTTAGTTCCGCCAACTTAGAGTGGACAGACAGTACATAGCTACATCGCGATTTCTACGTTTCTTAAATGTTTTTTTGTTTAAATTTTGTTTTAGATTATTTTTTAAGTGTTTTATTTTTTTAAATTTCTATTTTTAGTTAATTTAAATTATTTTATAAAATTTTCTTTTGGATTTTTTTTTTAATTTTCATTAATATTTTATTATTTTATAAAATTCTTTTTTGACATGTTTTCATATTTTTTCATAAAAATTTCTTTTGGAATTTTTATATATTTTTTTTTTTTTTGATTTTTTTTATTGCATATAATACCTACCACTATTGTTAAAATTTTACCTATAAAATTTTGTATTTTTATACGATTACAGCCCATGTCTTTAATTAATGCATATCTTTTAACGTGACATTGAAAAATTAATGATTTTTTGTTCTAGTATTATGCACTTATGCTTGCAGAAGTGTCATATAAATTTTTTTTAACTTACATCGTACAGTTTTGCAATAATAAACGATTATGTAGACTGTGTTCAACCAAAATTATCAATCTGTCATTTTCGTCTAATAGATTCGGCAACACTGTATTACGAACACGTGATTATCTAGGGATATTTGCTTTGATTTATTTATTTCGTTTTTAAAGTAAATTACTTAAAAAAAACAAAAGCTTTATATTTGTTTAAAATAATTGGACAATATTTTTATTTAACATACTGCATGTTTTCTGTTGCTTTATTTTTGGTCCCCATACCTTTTTTAAATATTTTCTTTTGTCTTGATTCGTTTCACAGAATAATTCGTTTACAGAACTCATTTTAGTATTTTAAATAACACAGCATAAAGAAATGTCACTGCAACTGTCAAAAGCGAAAAGCGTTACCAACTCGCAATGTTGTATCGTTTGAATCTTATCCTGTGTTACAATATGATTGTATATAGTGCCTTTTGTATTGAAATAAAACTTTCATAAGCTGTTCTATTTTGTAACAATTTTACCCGACGGTTACGGTATTGGTAGCCGCGTGGTGGCGCCACTAGCATCGCGATTTCTACGTGTTGTATTTCAAGGTGCGAATGATGAAAGAACAGCTATGCTACATAGGCTACGACATCGAGACGGAACAGCGACTAGCGCTGGAGACCACCGTGCTGGTGGAACCTTACACCCTTCCGGACGGAAGGGTCATCAAAGTGGGCGGAGAGAGGTTCGAGGCGCCCGAAGCCCTTTTCCAGCCCCACTTGATCAACGTCGAAGGGCAAGGTATCGCCGAATTGGTTTTTAACACGATACAAGTAAGTGGTTGGCCACTCGTTCTATCTCGTACTAAAAATACAAAAAATCACTGCAACACTGCACAGTTTAACGGCGGCCATTTTTGTTGTTTACAATTTTTGTGCTTTGGGTTTGTGCTCTGTTTATACAGATTAATAATCGGTTTAAACGTTGTTTTTCTCATAGTAAGCCTTAAAAGAGGCCTTAAAGTGCTAAGAACAACCATTTTACTCCTCTATTGTAAAAAATAAACTTTATTACATCAGGGCTGTCATAAAACTGTCAAATGTCAATTTTAAGGTTAAATTATAACCCACAAATTAACCTTCAAATTGTCATTTGACAGGTATATTTATTATAAAATAGGAGTAAAATGGTTGTCCTTAGAACTTAAAGGCCTTATTTGAGGCTTACAAGTGCCTCTGTAAGAAACACAACGTTTAAAACAATTATTAAACAGCACAAACCCAAAGCACAAGAATTGTAAACAACAAAAATGGCCGCCGTTAAACTCTGTGCAGGGTTGAAGTGATTTTTAGTATTTTTAGCATGAGATAGAACAGACCTTGTTGTGTGGATTGTGGGGGAGGCGCGTCTGTTTATTAAAAAAAAAAAAATTGTAGGCCGCCGACATCGACATGAGACCCGAGCTCTACAAGCACATAGTTCTGTCCGGGGGCTCTACAATGTACCCGGGTCTGCCTTCGAGGTTAGAGCGCGAAATAAAGCAGCTGTACTTGGAGCGGGTGCTGAAAAACGACACCAGCAAGCTGAACAAGTTCAAGATCAGGATAGAGGACCCCCCCAGGCGCAAGGACATGGTTTTCATTGGCGGGGCCGTCCTGGCCGACGTGATGAAGAACCGGGACGTTTTCTGGATGTCCAAGCAAGAGTACGAAGAGCAGGGTTTGAAAGTACTGAAAAAGTTGGGCACGCGGGCCGCGTAACTTTTTTTATTTATTTTTTTGTATTTACTATTTATATTGGACACAATTTTGGTTTGTCATTTTTTGACATTTAATTTGTCCAACATGATCAAATAATGATTTAGTAATTTTTAGGATGGAATTACATTGAAAATACCGATATAGTTCTTATTTTGTGTCCATTACTGTATGATTTTATAAATATTTTTATTATAAACTTCAAAGACTACAATTTTAATGTTATAAGTTAAAATTAATTATGTATACATATTTTTTTTCATTTTTTCATCTTATGCATTTTTTATAGCAATTATGTAAATTGACATAATCTTTTTCAATAAAACAGTATTTTTAAGTTATAATTTTCTTTCTTTCAATACTATAGAAAATAATCCCTATTGGATCTGTCAGATGGGTAGCGTTAAAAGAAAAATACCTACATGGTATAAGTTTTAAGAATTTCAAAATTTTTGAAAATTTTTAAACTTATACAAAAATTATTTCCAAAATTCTTAAAATAGTAAAATTTTGAAAAATATTAAAATTTTATTTTCGAAAATTTAAAAAATACGTATATTTTAAAAATTTTCGAGAATGTGACTTTTTTTTGTATTTACTATGTATATTGGACACAATTTGGGTTCCTGTCATTTTTTTGACATTTAATTTGTTCAACATGATCAAATAACGATTTAGTAATTTTTAGGATGGAATCACATTGAAAATACAGATATAGTTCATATTTTGTGTCCATTACTGTATGATTTTATAAATATTTTTTATTATAAACTTCAAAGACTACAATTTTAATGTTATAAGTTAAAATTAATTATGTTTACAATTTTTTTTTTCATTTTTTAATCTTATGCATTTTTTATAACAATTATGTAAATTGACATAATTTTTTTCAATAAAACAGTATTTTTAAGTTATATATTTTTTTCTTTCAATACTATAGAAAATAATCCCTATTGGATCTGTCAGATGGGTGGAGTTAAAAGAAAAATACCTACATGGTAGAAGTTTTAAGAATTTCAAAATTTTTAAACTTATACAAAAATTATTTCCAAAATTCTTAAAATTGTAAAATTATTAAAATTTTGAGAATTTTGTTTTCGAAAATTTTAAAAATACGTAAATTATAAAAATTTTCGAAATTGTGACTTTTTTGTATTTATTATTTATAATGGAGACAACTTGGGTTTTTGTCATTTTTTTGACATTTAATTTGTCCAACATGATCAAATAACGATTTAGTCATTTTTAGGATGGAATTACATTGAAAATACAGATATAGTTCTTATTTTGTGTCCATTACTGTATGATTTTATAAATATTTTTTATTATAAACTTCAAAGACTACAATTTTAATGTTATAAGTTAAAATTAATTATGTATACAATTTTTTTTTCATTTTTTAATCTTATGCATTTTTTATAGCAATTATGTAAATTGACATCATTTTTTTCAATAAAACAGTATTTTTAAGTTAAAATTTTTTTCTTTCAATACTATAGAAAATAATCCCTATTGTATCTGTCAGATGGGTGGCGTTAAAAGAAAAATACCTACATGGTATAAGTTTTAAGAATTTCAAAATTTTTGAAAATTTTTAAAGTTATACAAAAATTATTTCCAAAATCCTTAAAATTGTAAAATTTTGAAAATTATTGAAATTTTCAGAATTTTTTTTTCGAAAATTTAAATACGTAAATTTTAAAAATTTTCGAGAATTTGACAACTTTTTTTTGTATTTACTATTTATATTGTAAATTTACAATTTTTTTCAATAAAACAGTATTTTTAAGTTATAATTTTTTTCTTTCAATACTATAGAAACTGATCCCTATTTGGATCTGTCAGATGGGCGGGGCTTAAAAAACATGTCGGCGTTAAAAGAAAAATTTAAATACATGGTACCTATAATTTTTCAGAATTTCAAAATATTTATATTTTTTTTAAATTTATATAAAAACTTATTTCCAAAATTCTTTAAATTGTAAAATTTTGAGGGTTATTAAAATTTTGGGAATTTTGTTTTCGAAAATTGTAAAATTTTCGAGAATGTGCCAACTTTTTTTTATGAAAATTACTTGTCAATAATATTTGTTAAGTCTCCTGGTTAAAGCAAAATTCAATAAGTTCTGGGGATTTTAAGAAATATAAAAAAGATTCAATAACTAAATAAACTAAATAAAATTTAATTTTCTTCTTAATGCGGACCTGTATAGGCTTCTGCCACACAACCAAGAGTCAACTCCGTTAAAAATCGTGCTGTACTCTTTTTTTTCTTCCAATAGCCGTACTCCTTTTACCACAAAGATGAAATTAAACGAATTGTAATTGGTCAGTCGAAAAATTGAGTGTGTTTAAACCACGCCCACCATATATTTCTATAGAATCTTAACATCCTAAATAGTCATTTCTGTAATTTGGAGCCAAGTATAAAATCCACAGAATACTCTGAGGGTTTCATAGATACCTACCTACTTTAAAAATCAGGTTTTTGGAATTTTCCTACAGATTTAGTTTTCAAAATTAAATATTAAAAACTAAATGACATTTTGAGGCATATTTTATTTAATTTAAATTTTCCAGCGTGCTGAAATAAAGTTTATCGTTTTTGTTAGATTTTTTTATTTATGTTTGGTGTATTTTATATTCTTTTTAATAATAAAACCCTTAATTTGTTGTATTATTAAATAATAAACCAAATTAAAGGATAGGTTCCATAAATTTTATTGTTCACAATATTTAAAAATAGTTAAATAGCATTTATAAATAAATAATATAGGTAATAAAATAAATTTAAGTATTTAAATACAGTTAACTGGTAAAATGTATTTTTTTACACCTGGAAACCCTGCTTGAAAAAAATTAAAACATGACTTACCATAAAGTGGTTCCTTAAAAATCTAATAGGTGGGGTTGGAAGTAAAAAACAGAGTGGGTTAAAATAAAAGATGCATTTTATTGTGAAAATGTTTAATTCTGCATATACCAAATACAGAAATAAATTTTTACAAATAATTACACAGATACAGTAGTTTTAAAATGAAGTAAATAATAATAATAAAGTAAGCAATATTAAATATTGAAAAATCTTAATATTAAATAATACACCAATGGTTTTTGGTAGGTTGGTGCGTGAGTAGACAGTCAGTAGAGCAGGGAAGGGGAGGAACACATTTGGGAGGAGATTAGCGGCAACACAGTTTTCTTCGTCTTGCGTTTCACTCCTTTCGGGTTGTTTTCGTTTTCGGGGCTCCCCCGCCTCGCACCCCTCTTTTCGCGCGATTATTGGCGATCTGTGGCCCTCAGCTTCTCCTCCACGGCCTCCTGGCTCGCTTCCGACAAGTCCGTTGCCTGAATGTACTTCTGCACACCTACCAGCGATTTTTTGAGGGCATCAAAGGAACTGCAAGGCAAAATTTGGAATACAACAAAAATAAGGATACCCAAAAGCAGTTTGCAGGGCTCCCACTAGGGTTTTAAAGTGTCGGAAAAAATTTGGGAAAAAACCTGGTTTTCCCGTTTTTCCCCAGGCCTTGGAAAAATTGTCTTTTTTGGGAAAAATTGATTTTTTTTTTGGGAAATATACACATTTGAAAAAAAGTGTCAATAAACAATTTAATATTATTTTAATTTAAAAATACGTTAAATATACTGTTGGTTGGCAATTTTTTTGCAAAAAGGAGTCCATAGAAAATATCCAACTACAAAATAATGAATGATTTCATAAATCAAAGTGTCAAATAAAACGAAAGTTATGTTAATACAGCACCATGTGTTTTTTGCGACCCGGTAGAATATTCTTACTGAATTAAAATAAAAGGAATAATTATTATAATTATGGTATGATTATATTCAGCGTTGAAAATTCACTTTTTTCCGTAAAAATAAAATGAAAAAAATGCATTCCGTTTCCTTCCGTTTTTTTTTCGCCAGATCAATCTTTCCGGATATTTTAAAACCCTATTTCCCACACCTAAAACTACTACTCCTAAAAATTAATAATACTCCTAAAATTGCCATCAATATCCTAAAAATTAAATACAATGCGCATCAAAATTAACGCATAACAAGTAAAAAAAAATCCAACTCCAAAACGCCTTTACCAATCTTTATAAAATTTTGGATAAAAAACTTTAACTTATTTTTTAGTTTACGTTTTCAAGGGTTTTTCGAGAAAATAGCCTTTTTATTTAATAATAGAAACGGCTCGAAAAAAACGTTTTTTAAGTAAAATATTTTTATTATTAAATAAAAAGGCTTTAAAAATATATTCTCGAAAAACCCTCGAACACGTAAACTGAGATATAAGTTAAAATATTTTTTATACAAAATTTTATAAAGATTGGTAAAGGCGTTTTAGAGTTAAAATTCTTTTAATTATTATGCGTTAATTTTGACGCGCAGTGCATAAATAGGCATACCTGACTGAGTTTAATTAAGGTAGTTGTGCTAAAAAGTTTATTTTTTAAAAAGTAGGTAATTTAAAAAATTTATATTTGTAGGTTCTAGTTTACTAATTTAAAAAAATGATATATCACATTTACATTTTTCTTAAAAATCAACAAAATATACCTAAAAACAAAATTCATGTAGTAGCTCCTAGACTTCTACAAAATTGTCATTTTTAGCCATATTTAGTTTGTTTTCGACAAAAATATTTGTGAGTATTAAGATCCACATTTCAATTATTGTTAGTTGTGAAGTTACCATTTTTTTTTCTCAAAATATAAATATAACATCATTTGACTTTGGCCTAGTTTTTAAATAAAATTAAAAGTTTGGTGAAATTTCTACTTGTGTATATTATGGTGTTTCAATTGAAACGACTATTTTTTTTCTTCGAAACTCCAAAATATTGTTCAAAACATTAAAAAAATATTACCTTTAAGTTTGAGCCCTTAATTTTGTTTTAAGTAGGTACTCTTGAATGTTTCACTTTTAAAAAGCATCAATCACTTTTTTTAAATTTCTATTCTATCTTTGCTGGGTTTTAAGCTAGGCATCATTTTGTGGTTCATTGTTACTTACAGAGTATTTAAAGCTTTTTAAAAGAGCCTATAATATTTTTTCTCCAACTCGATTCACCTTGATGGTATCAGCTCTGAAAGTCATTTTTTAAATTTTTTTCACATATTTTTGAAAATATTAAGAGATTGGATTGTCTTACCGAAAAATTTCCAAGGAGAATGTTGTAAAGTAGTTGTAAAATTCAATTTTGTACAAAAAAAGTTTTTACGTTTATATCGCACATTTTACATGATATGAGCAGTTTAATATTTAAAAATTTGTAAAATTTATGTTTTATTGAGATTAATATTAAGTGGGATAAAAGTGGCCCTAAAATTTCTGTACACAATAAAAATTCTTAATTTACAACCATGAAAATTAATTAGGTACCTATCAATTTTTCAATTTCCTCCTTAAATTTGTTAGTATTTTAGAAAAAAACTTTTAAGTCTTGGAATCTAAAAATTTGTAAAATTTATGTTTTATTGAGACTAATATTAAGTGGGATAAAAGTGACCCTAAAATTTTTGTACACAATAAAAATTCATAGTTTACAACCATGAAAATTAACTAGGTACCTATGAATTTTTCAATTTCCTCTTTAAATTTGGTCGTATTTGAGAAAAAAAACATTAAATAGTCATGAAATCTAATTTAAGGCATTAATCTGAATAAATCACAATTTTTTCAAATTTTTAAATATAATATAAATAAATAGGATTTTTTTTGTAGAAAATTAAATATTCAACTTTTTCCTTGGAATTTTTTGGGAAGATAAACCATTCTCCTAATATTTTCAAAAATATGTGAAAAAATACTTTCAAAGAAATGGAAATTTAAAAAAAAAGTGATTGAAAATACAGTTTTTAAATGGAAAAAATTTAGAATCAAAATTAAGGGCTCAAACTTTGAGGGATATTTTTTCGATGTTTTAAACAATATTTTGGAGTTTCGAAAAAAATAAAAATTAGTCGTTTCAAATGAAACACCCTAGTGTACCTCAGAGATATATACAAAGCACAGTGTAGAGTTGTTTTTATTTAATTACGAAAACCCAATTGCATAATTTATTTCTCCTAGAATTCTCCAAAGAACAATTTCTAAATAAAATCTGTAATTTAGCCGTGGGAGCCCCTAAAAGTCTATTCAAATCCAAGCTGGACTAAATGTAAACACAATCCTCCGAATCGACCAATAAGAGCTCACAATCCGAGTCACACCATCAGAATCGACCAATAGAAACGAGTTGTCACGCGTGTGGGCGTTTTTGTTTAGTCCAGCTTGGATTTGAATGGACTTTACAGTTTGCAGAAAAAGAATAAAAGCAAGAAAGAACGCTCACCTGGAGTACAACATCTTCTTCTTGACCTTGGCGGTGTCGGGACACCACGACATGAGGAAGAGCTTCTGTTTCTTGGAGGACTCGCTGGTGCCCTGGCACTGGTGCATGTACTCGAAGTCGAAGAGCCCGTAGCGGCACTCGCCCGCGCCTCCCGCCTGGAGGTTCGTCAAGAACTGCTCGTACTCCTCGTCCCGCGCGCCGATCACCTCAACGTCGATCTGTCGCTCGTCCTTGATGAAGAAGATCACGTACCTGTGCTTCTTGTCCTTCTTGATCTCCTCGTACGTGGTCTTGCACGAGTCCGAAACTGTCACACCGGATGCCTGCAAACAGATTTTTTTTGAGTTTTTTTTATATAAATCGAATTATTTTCATTACAACAAGAAAGCCTTTAAAAGTTGTCGGCCTGCGTAGTGTTGCAAACAAGGAAAAGTTCGGTCGAAAAGTTGGAAAAGTTGTTGGAAAAGTTCGACACCCCCTATGAAAAGTTGGAAAAGTTATTAGCTGGGAGCCAATGAACAATGAGTTGACTTCTAACCAGTGTTTCCACTACCATAAATTTTTGGTCAAAATTCGATATAAATCGCTAGATTTGAAGTGTTTTTAGTAAAACATGCTAAAAGCATTGTTTTTTGAAATAACATTTTGTCAAACTTTATCAAAAATGGTGTCTGCTAATAGCATTTCCTATTATTTTTAATTTATACACAGTATGAAAAAAATATTATTTTTTTTTAATTATGGAAATTTGCAAGTGAAAATATAAAAGTGGAAAAGAAGAAAGTTTTCTTTTCTTTTTCTTTTTAAATTTTTACTTGTATACAATTTATAAATTTCCATAATTTTTAACAACAATAAATTTAATAATTTTTGCTTCATATTTTTTTTTGTAATTATTTTTTATTTTGTATGTGTTTTTTTATGGTGTGTATAAATTTCTATTCCTTTTTACTTAAAAAATATGATTTTTTTAATTCAAACCTAGTTTATTTTTGTTGTTATTATGTTGTCTGTTCATTTTGTTTTGTTTGATATTTTTTTTGTTATTTTGTTACGTATGTATAAATACATAAGAAATAAATTATTTTAAACATTATTTATGTTTTATACGTTTACATTACAAAAAACTCAACTTTTCCATCTTTTCCAACTTTTCCGAAAAATAAAACCCAACTTTTCATGAAAAGTTGCAACCCTAATATCATAAGGGCATCAAATTTTTCCGAAAAGAATCGAAAAAACACGTTGCTAAGTAATATTTTAACAAAAAGCATGAGTGCTGGTGGCAACAAAAATCCGAGTCGAAGAGGAGGATTTTTGCACCTGCACGAATGCATTTTGTTAAAAAATATTACTTAGCATTGTGTTTTTTCGATTTTTTTCACAGGAAAAATTAGATGCCCGAATGGTATTTGACAAGACTATTTCATGAGTAACAGTTAACAATTAAAATATAAATTGAAATTTATGGTGACAACAGCTGTCAAGTTTTGCCGCGGGTAAACTCGAAAAAACTGCTGACAGGTGCTGTCACACAGTTTTTTCACCTAGAAACCATTTGTAATTCAAAATTGCGCGTTTGTGATTGGTGGAAATTAAGACGAGGGAAATAGTCAGAAAAAAATCGGAAAAACACGTTGCTAAGTAATATTTTAACAAGAAGCATGAGTGCTGGTGGCAACAAAAATACCCATTATACATACATAATAAATATGTAGGTATTAATTTGAAAACTGAAAAATAGGTAATTTATTTAATTACAACATAGGTATTAATTTGAAAACTGAAAAATAGGTAATTTATTTAATTACAACATAGGTACTACAAACTTAATTATTTATGGTACAATTAAAATATAAATTGCAATTTTTAGTGACAACAGCTGTCAAGTTTTGCCGCGGGTAAACTCGAATAAACTGCTGACAGGTGCTGTCACACAGTTTTTTCACCTAGAAACCATTTGTAATTCAAAATTGCGCGTTTGTGATTGGTGGATATTAAGACGAGGGAAATAGTCACCTAGAAACCATTTGTAATTCAAAATTGCGCGTTTGTGATTGGTGGAAATTAAGACGAGGGAAATAGTCAATAATAAATATCACTGTCAATTTGACAGTGTCAGAATATTTAATTAAGGTCTTCAGCAGAAGTACCATTTTTTAAATACTAAAAATAATAAGTCAAACTGGCATAAGCCACCAACCTAAAAAAAAAGTCCAAAAAATGAACTGTAGTTGCCAATAAAATATTTTTTTTATAGCAAATTATTTTAAATTATAGATTTTCAAAAAGAAAGCAAAATTTGAACGAAAATTTACCATGAATTTTTTCTTTTTCTAAAAAAAAATAGAAAAAGAAAAAAGTCACCTAAAACATTTTAATACACAATATTGTCCAAAAACGGTATATACCAAGTTACAGGGGGATATTTTAAGTACCTTTATTTAAATATTTAAGAATAAGTAAATATTAGGGTGATTCGTTTTGAAGGAACATGTATTTTTTTGTATTTGTGTTTTATTATGTACATATCAAGTTTAATAAACGTAAAATTATTGCAACGGACCTTTTTTATAGGAAATTGAATAATAGAGTAATTGCATCAAAAATGAAAATCCCTAAAAACCTTTTTATTGTAATCTAGAGGTAAAAACACATTGCGAAAATATTTTTTTATATTCCAAAAGTTCAACCCGGCCCCAAAATATCAAATTGAAAAAAAGGTACTTTTCAAACGTTCCGAACTCCCGCCATATTGCATGACGTCATAAGCTTCACCAGCTGTCAGAAATCAAGATGTCAACAAATAATAAACACCGATAAGTTTATGTTTATACATGGAAAACGTGAAACCAAAAATTGGTTGTAAATATTGTTTTGTGCCTTGTACAAATACAACCTGGAAAACTCCTGGGAAAAGGTTTATCACCGTGCCAAAAGGGAAAATAAGGATAAAGTGGATTAAAATAGCTCGGCGCGATATCAAAACATCGTCACCATTTTATTGCTCATTTTAAGGATCATTTTAATGTAAGTAAAATAAAATGTCGTTTACTAGGTATATGGTTTGAATAGGTATGTTAAATATTAATAAATTCAAGAAAATACGGCCAAGCCTTAACTACTCTCAGTGTAGGGTCATAAACTTTGCTTTTGATAATTGAAGGGACAACTTTCCCAGGAGTTTTCCAGGTTGTATTTGTACAACAAGGCACAAAACAATATTTACAACCAATTTTTGGTTTCGCGTTTTCCATGTATAAACATAAACTTATCGGTGTTTATTATTTGTTGACATCTTGATTTCTGACAGCTGGTGAAGCTTATGACGTCATGCAATATGGCGGGAGTTCGGAACGTTTGAAAAGTACCTTTTTTTCAATTTGATATTTTGGGGCCGGGTTGAACTTTTGGAATATAAAAAAATATTTTCGCAATGTGTTTTTACCTCTAGATTACAATAAAAAGGTTTTTAGGGATTTTCATTTTTGATGCAATTACTCTATTGAATGTCGCCAAGCTATTGGAAATTGTAAACAAATCCTAATTTCCTGTTACCGTAAACACGGGTGGCTTTAGCTCACTTTCAAACTTAATCTTAACATTTTTGTAGTTTTAACAATCATAAACATTAAATATTGTATACCAAAATTTAAGTCTTGAGTTGCTCTTTCATAATAACTATGTTATAATCTTACATAGGGCTGAGTTTCAAAAATAAAAATTAAAAACTGGGTGTGCAAAGTTACCCCCTGGTTGCGGGTTACTTTGTCTCAGTGTATTTTCCGTATAAAATTAACTCAATATTTTATTTTATTTTTATTAGACATATGTTAGCATCGACATATAGCAATTGGATTACCGATAAAAACAATAAAAAATCGACCTGTAGTTAACCAAAGATCATCATTCCAAAGAATTGCGCATAATATAGAAATTAAAACGCGTGTATTTTTAAGAGTTTTCCACTAATGCAATATATACAACTTTAAAGTGTAATAAATCCCATTTATTTTTTTAAAACACTGATTTTCCCGTAATATAAACTCAATAAAATCGCTCAATTGACAGGTTTAGACCAACAAATTATAAATGTTAATTTTATCCAGCGCGAAAATTTTTTTCATAAAAGGGCTAAAGTCACCCGCGGGGTGCAAAGTCACCCGTTTTTACGGTACCTATTTCAATGGAAAAACTTTAAAATCAAAATAAAAGCACACCGTATAAAAAATATATTTACTTAACATTCTTATAAAAAAACAAAAAGGGAACAGGTTAAATGTTTTTTTATTTTAGTAGGAAATTTTAATTTAATATTATTATATTTACTTAGGTTTTTAAGATTCCATACTAAAAAATATGTAAATAAATACATAAAGAACCGCAATTTTACCGCATGTAGTTTTTATTTTCGTCCGCGGTTACAATATCAAATTTTTAACAAAAAATCTATTTTTAATATAGATTTTGAATGAATTATTAGACATGAAATAAAAATCGTCAGACGATGATTTGGTCAACTCATTTTTTTTTTGCTTTAGAGTGCTCCAAAAATAGCCTGTTTAATAGTAATTATTTTGTAGCGTTTCTCAAAATAGACTGACTATACCACTAAAGCAAAACGCTCGATGATGACAGCAACAATCGAAACAGTTAATTTTATGTAGTAGTTTATTTATTTAAAGTTTAAACCAATTAACAAAATTTGTATGAAAAAAAAAAATAAAAAATAAGCCTATTCAGGTAGTAAGTATCTCCATTCACAAATAATTTCGGATTTTTTTGCAGCACAGATTAAAAGTGTTTTTTTATTAAATTATAATGTTTTATTACAACTTCCTACTGAATTTTTTTAAATCTAGGCTAATTATTATAAATATAATATTTATCATACAATTTTGACATGGTTGCCAGATGTTTTACTGTAGTTAGTTAATCAATTAAAATAAAATAAAAAATATAGGTACCTATTTAACATAAAAATAAAATTTAAATAAAAAACTTAATAATTTATTCATAAATGGTTTGTTATCAAAAAATATGCAAAAATAAAGCCAATGACCAGAAATAATTTAAATAGAATTGTTAAAACAATTATATGAGCGTAAAATTAATTATACAGGGCGTTTCTTTAATTTAGCTACCCAAATTTCGTATCTATGTATTTCTGTAAAATCGGCCATGAAATGGTCAAAAAATTAATCCATGCTAAATAAATTAAGAAATAATGTAAAATGTCCAGCGACAAAAATAAAGTAACAGTGGGTTTTTCAATATATTATTTCGCAAATTCCTAATTTTATTAGATTTTCAGAAACATTTGTAAACAAAATTGATGCCATGATAAATTTTGACAGTCAGTGGTCGTGGCAAATGTCCAAAAAAAAGATGTTTGCTAGAATAAGTAATCTGACAATATTTTGCTATTGGATAATTAAATAAAATTAAACTATTTTTGTTATTGCAATGAGGTCAATATGAACAAGTTAAACACAAGAAAAAACAATCGCTATCTATTTGATGACGAATCGCGAGAAAATTCCAAAAATGACGAGCGATTTTTTAATCAAATTTATGTTTGTTTTTTAAACTTTCGCAGCCATATAAGTACGAATCCCTCGTCATCATTAATTAACTATTTCTACGAATTAGTTTACCCAAATTGTTCACAAAATCTTATTCTCATAAATAGATAAAACCTGGTGGTACAACGGTAACGTGAATCACCATTTAGTCATGAATACTAATTACAATGTTGTCAAACTTAATAATAAATAATATCACAGATAAATTTATAATAAATCATTAGTCATTCCAAAAAAAATTAGTTTAGAAAGCAATCGAATTTCTAGTAGAAATTTTCTACATTTAATTAAAATACTGTTATTTTGGATCGCATTAGCATTTGTTAACTGTCAAATCTTGTTAATGAATCAAGGTACCTACATCGATTTAATCGACAACGTCGCGCAAAAGAAGTGCACAAAAAAGTCCATTTTTAGCAACGCTGCAAAATTTATTACACATTTTAATAAACACGTCAAGTGCAAAATCATTGGCAACAATCCGGAGATTATAAATAGTGCCGCCTTAAAATTCGTAAATCCCGATTAAGTGAAAAATCCAATTAAAATCGTAAGCCTTGTTAATTGTGCTTCATATTCAATAGGCATGAAATTTTTAAGGAAAAAATCTAAATTCGGACGGCGGTGTCTAAAAATAGAAAGCCACATGGCGCGATTTTTTCAATTTAGACACCCCTTGCAAAGACCGAACACATTTAGAACGTTTTATTGCAATTTTAACGTAATCGGCATATCAAATGTCAACTTCCTCATTCGGTATAAACTGGGATAGAAAGCGTCAAGCTTCAATCTAGTTGCCGTCGCCTTGCAAAGGCACCCCTATTATTGCGATTTGGGGGGTGAAAACGGTCCAAAATATTCGCCTTGTCAACACCCCGAAAAACTAAAACCGCTGCAAGGGCGAGGCGCCATGAGAAACACACAAAATACCCACGTAAAAAACGATTTAACGAACGCAAAATCGCTAAAACGTCCAAAATGCTTTCATTGCACTGATCGGCACTAAAATCGCGATCTCGCCGAACATGGCGGCCGGCCACGGCCTGCCCGGATTTTATCCGCACACGTCAAATTCGCACAGCGTGTTTTTCTAGATGCAATTTAAAAGATGCTACTCACCATATTGAATTAATCCAGAAGTACAATAAACTATACAAATACGAACTGGCAGTTGCACACAGTTTAAACCGACTGTCCGTTTCTAGTGGAGCTGCAGGACGTTGATCTACCGGCTGTGGTTAGTGCGCACGCGTCCGACTGCACTTTCCTACGCCCTTTTAACTTCTATTTCCAACAAACTACGAAAAATCCTTCCAGAACGCTTCTATTCGCACGCTACAACAACAACTACAATACTGTTGATATAGTCCACAATATTATGATATTTTTACCAACAACTTATCAGTCTTCCAAGATTTTAAGTCGTTCTACTTTTCGCGGCGCGTTTATTGCGCGATATTTAAACGAAACCACGAAACTTTTTAAAACAATTTAAACTTTTTCAGCGCTAAAAAGCAGACGTTTGAGTGACGTTTCGCAAACTGTCACGTAAAAATCGAGATGCGAGCGTCAAGATGCACGGAAAATGCGATATTTCGCTGAGGATTATGAGTCATGGATTTCAGCCAATGTAGAAGCCGGTTGCCTAAAATGCCCATAAATGGTAAACGAGTCGTTCCAATATGGCGGCGGCAAAATTGAAAAGTTGCCGCCACGCCCAAAGAAATCATCGATTTTTAACGAGAATACTCAAAAAATGCTCGCCCGAGCTGATTAGATAGACAAACTGCAGATAAAAGAATACCACTATACAATTTAGATAACGCGGACTCTTAAGTGGCTGTGTATAATTAGTTTTAAACATATCAAGCCTTATATGGCGATAATGCAGCTATCTTTTGTTTTTAAAAGGCTTGCTTTGTTGACAGATTTCCACATAATTATTTATAAATTAAAGTAAGATAATACCCACCTAATTATTAGAAATTTGCATAGATATTGTCTTATAAGAAATGAATAATTCAAGGCCAATCAATAATCGTCCAAGGTCAGATTTGTCATGATTAGATCAATAAATTTCAACTTGAAATTTTCAAGGTCAAATATAAAAAATAGTGATTTTTCTTAAACATTTTATTTTTTATTGTTTTGTTTGTCAGGTTTACACTTCTTGCAATAATAAACTAATTTTTAAAATAAATTGATAGATATGATAGAGACTTTCTTTTAAGATATGAATCGATCAAGGACAACTGTGAAAATTTTAAACAAGAAAAATGTAGCCACTTTGACATTTCAATATAAATAATTTAGGTTATCCATCTGACAGCTTAACGCTAAATTATACTTATTTTCTGAAAATAATATTATGTTTTGTTAGTATTTTAAATTAAGACCTTTATAGTATAATCATTGAGTAAAGATCTTACTCAATGGTATAATAGAATGTTAGTTTATACACAAAAAATACTAATAATATAATCAGAAGAAAAAAACCTATAACAAAAGGCTTCAATGCTTTTAACATACCCGTGGGGTATATCATACCCAAATAGGGCATGGCATACCCAAACATAGGCTATGTCATACCCATCCATAGGGTACATTTTACCCAAAGATACGGCATATTATTTCCACGCCTGGGTATATTAAACCCAAACAGGGTACATTTTACCCAAAGATACGGCATATTATTTCCACGCCTCGGTATATTAAACCCAAACAGGCTGTATAACAAAAATAAATTGATAAATAGAATATAAACTTTCTTGTAAGATATGAATCTATTAAGGACAACTGTAAACATTTTAAATAATAAAAAATTTAGTCACTTGACTTTTGAATATAAATAATTTAGGTTATCCATCTGTCAGTTTAACGCTAATTTCGTCTCTTGTATCTTGTATTGTTTGTGTTCTAAATTAAGACCGTTATAGTATTATAAAATGGTAGTATACACAAAAAATACCAATAATATAATCAGAAGACAAATGCATATAAAAATTCTTACCTTTAACAAAAGACCAAAACTTACAAAAAAAATAATTCAATGCTTTACCCGTGGGGTATATCATACCCAAACATTGGGTACATTATACCCAAAGACGGAATATCGTTTCCACGCATGGGTATTATATACCCAAACATAGGGTATATAATACCCGAGGGGTATAATATACCCAGAACATATAACGTCGGATTTTGTTTAAAACTAAATTTTAAACAAAATCAGACTTATTTTCGGTGCTTGCTTGGGGTTTGAAATAAAACACGGTGATTTATCTTAAACCTAAATGTTTTATTGTATTTTTTTTTCGAAAAAAAAAAATTATCGCTCATGATAAAAATAAATAATACCATTACTTAAATATTATAAAAAGGGTCACAATATTGTACAGTCAACAATAAATAATATAAAATATAACAGGATTTGTTTTAAAGTTGGATTGCGGTAATGATAGTGGTTTCGAATGTAGTCTTTTTAAAGAAATTTTGTTTTTATCAAGTATTTTTTCAGTGGGAATACTATATGAGTCCTCGTTTTTTTTTTGTAATCTTGGAGATTCAGGCTCCTTCGGGGGCCCAAATCCCTACTCGCCAGTTTTGGAATTACGTTTATGGGGTTTTCTGGAAAAATAAGTGCTGAAAAAAATCGTTTATTGGAGAGGCGATTTTTTTACCTGGCAAAGGAACTTCGAGATCGATTTTGATGTCAAAATCGTGAGCCGAGAACAAGTCGTCCGAGGAAACTTGCACCGGTTTTGGGGGCGGCATGATCTTCTCCACCTCCTCCGGAACCGCCTCCGTCGTCACGTTGACCGGAGCCTCCTCCTTGTCTTCCGAAGCCTTGAAGTGCATCGTGGGCTTCGTCGATCTTCTCGTGAAGGGATCGTCAATCTGCGAAAAAAAGTCTTGAACTTAATTCGTACTTTTCTTCTTTACTCACCTTCTTTCCCTTGTTGGCCCTGACTTCCGCCATGATGGCCTTCTCGGCCTCCTCGACGTTTTTCCGCCGGTTCCTGTCGTTGATGTACGAGATGCTGGAAATGGTGGACGTCCGCTTCTTGTCCAGTTCGGTGGCGCGCTCCTCCAGTTCCGACAGTTTCTGCGCCAGTTCGCGCCCAGTTTCCTCGTCGCCGCGCGACAGAGCCGCGTCGCGTTCCTTCATCAGTTGCGTCTTGCGCATCGCGTAGTTGTACGGGTTGGATTTGAAGCGCTGCTTTTCTTTGAGCTGCGACGGAAGAATAAGCAAACGTCAGAATATGGAGAAGCTAGACAGTTCAAATTTGGACAGAATGGGATGTATACTTAGTTAATTATGTATTTTAAATTTGAAAGACATTGTTGAAGTATTTGACGAGTTACCACATATTTTACAGGACGATAATTATTCAGAATTGGTATGGGATATCTCGGAATCTTGGGTAGCTAGAAAGTTCAAATTTGGAAAGAATATGATGTATACATAGTTATTTTTGTATTTTAAATTTGAAGGAAATTGTTGAAGTAGTTGACGAGTAACCACAGGATGATAATTAATCAGATTTGGTATTGGATATCTCAGAATCTGGAGAAGCTAGATAGTTCAAATTTGGACAGAATAGGATGTATATATACAAAGTTAATTATGTATTTTTAATTTGACGAAAATGCTTTAAGTAATTGAAGAGTTACCACACATTTAACAGGATGATGATTTTACAGATTTTGTATTGAATATCTCGGAATCTTGGGTAGCTAGAAAGTTCAAATTTGGAAAGAATATGAAGTATACATAGTTAATTTTGTATTTTAAATTTGAAGGACATTGTTGAAGTAGTTACGAGTCATCACATATTTTAGAGAATGATAATTAATAAGATTTGGTATTGGATATCTCGGAATCTGGAGAAGCTAAAGAGTTCAAATTTGGACAGAATAGGATGTATACTTAGTTAATTATGTATTTTAAATTTGAAAGACATTGTTGAAGTATTTTACGTGTTACCACATATTTTACTGGTTGATATTGGAGATCTCAGAATCTGGAGAAGCTAGAGAGTTCAAATTTGGAAAGACTAGGATGTATACATAGTTAATTATGTATTTTAAATTTGAAGGATATTGTTGAAGTAGTTACGAGTCATCACATATTTTAGAGAATGATAATTAATAAGATTTGGTATTGGATATCTCGGAATCTGGAGAAGCTAGAGAGTTCAAATTTGGACAGAATAGGATGTATACATAGTTAATTGTGTATTTTAAATTTAAAAGACATTGTTGAAGTATTTGACGAGTTACCACATATTTTACTGGTTGATTATTAATCAAATTTGGTATTGGAGATCTCAGAATCTGGAGAAGCTAGAGAGTTCAAATTTGGAAAGACTAGGATGTATACATAGTTAATTATGTATTTTAAATTTGAAGGAAATAGTTAAAGTAGTTACGAGTCATCACATATTTTAGAGGATGATAATTAATAAGATTTGGTATTGGATATCTCGGAATCTGGAGAAGCTAGAGAGTTCAAATTTGGAAAGACTAGGATGTATACATAGTTAATTATGTATTTTAAATTTGAAGGATATTGTTGAAGTAGTTACGAGTCATCACATATTTTAGAGGATGATAATTAATAAGATTTGGTATTGGATATCTCGGAATCTGGAGAAGCTAGAGAGTTCAAATTTGGACAGAATAGGATGTATACTTAGTTAATTATGTATTTTAAATTTGAAAGACATTGTTGAAGTATTTGACGTGTTACCACATATTTTACTGGTTGATTATTAATCAAATTTGGTATTGGAGATCTCAGAATCTGGAGAAGCTAGAGAGTTCAAATTTGGAAAGACTAGGATGTATACATAGTTAATTATGTATTTTAAATTTGAAGGATATTGTTGAAGTAGTTACGAGTCATCACATATTTTAGAGAATGATAATTAATAAGATTTGGTATTGGATATCTCGGAATCTGGAGAAGCTAGAGAGTTCAAATTTGGAAAGACTAGGATGTATACATAGTTAATTATGTATTTTAAATTTGAAGGATATTGTTGAAGTAGTTACGAGTCATCACATATTTTAGAGAATGATAATTAATAAGATTTGGTATTGGATATCTCGGAATCTGGAGAAGCTAGAGAGTTCAAATTTGGACAGAATAGGATGTATACATAGTTAATTGTGTATTTTAAATTTGAAGGAAATTGTTGAAGTAGTTGACAAGTTACAACATATTTTACAAGATGACAATTTTAGAATCTGGGGAAGCTAGAGAGTTCAAAATAGGACAAGTTCAAAATAGGACAAAAATCAGATATGCAAGAGCTAAATGGTTTGGATTTAACGATTCTACTTACAATTCTTTCCACGTCCTGTTCATTGAACTCGTACGATATAGCTTCCTTTATGTCGGCCATTTTTTGATCGATTTTCCCTTTGGTGGGCAGCTCGTTGCCCGCAGCTGCGCTAGCTTCAATCCACTTGTGGTACTCGCCATCCGTGAACTCCTGATTCGACACAAACTCCAACCTGAACACTCTCTCCTGCGTACCATGCCTTACTCTCACTCCCTGCAAAGCAAAAACATTTCTTTCCAAGAAAAATAATGCACAATGTTGCACAATTTATCCCCTTGAGGCGGTTTTAAACGACAAACTCTTATCTACCTCGAGTTTATCCGCATCAATGGGGTAGTTAAATTTTTTCTGACCTATACTTTTTATGGTTTTATTCAAGGCGTTTTGTAATATTAAACATTTCTGTGAAATCAGAATTTCAATTGAGTTTACCGTTTTCGAGATATTTACAAAAAATATAAATTTTTATGACGTCACAAACCTCGCCATGTGACCAACATTCTAAGATTTCTATTGGTTGAAAATTACCCTGATGTCAAGTTGTCTTGTTAATGATTTCATTCGGATATGTCAGAAAATACCCGAAGAGGTTATGTACAAATACTGTCACTGTCAGTTGAGTGAAAGATGGTCACCAAATTCATTAAGTACCTATCTTCCTTATTACGAGGTATTATATTACTGTTTGATATTTTAGAGTCCAAGATATATCTAAAAGAATATAAAGAACTAGGCATTATACTAATGAAATGCATTTACGACAAAATATGATTATAATTATAGGTACTTACTATATTTGTTTAAAAGCTCCAATGTTCAATGTAACCAACCATTCCACAAGATTCCTCTGCTTTGGAGTCCGTTATTAATAAATCACTTACCTAATATCAATTACAAATAACATAACAATAACATTGATTTTCAATAATCTAAATTTAAAAAAATCATAACCCGAAAAAAAGAAACGTCAAAAAATCAATTCTTCTTCTTCTCAACTAAAATTATAGATCAAGTGGTTTTAAAACTAAAATATTATAACGTGGCGCCATCTATCGTAAGAATCTTAAACTAAACACACTGGCAACCATAGAAAAAGCTGGCAACGTTGTCAATAGCCTAGTGACGTAATTAGGAGATTTTTTTTGTAAATATCTCGAAAACGGTAAACTCAATTGAAATTCCGATTTCACAGAAATGTTTAAAATTACAAAACGCCTTGAATAAAACCATAAAAAGTATAGGTCAGAAAAAATTTAACTACCCCATTACCTTATTCGTCTTCGTCTTTCCCAGGGTGTATATCTTGGCGGTCTCGTAGACGCCTATGACCTCGGCCACCCTGTAGACGGGCATGTTGTTGTGCTGCCCGATGCCGATCTTCACGAAGCAGCCCTTGGCTATGCGGTCGAAAAACGGCATGTGCACGAACCGCTCCAGCTTGTGCCTCGACAGCCTGATCCGGTTGAGATCCTGGCTGAGCGGGATGAAGGCGGATTTTTTTTGCGCCTCCTCCTGCTCGTTGTCGCTCGACGACGAGCTCGACGAGGATCGCGAGCGAGACCGCGAGCGTTGCGAGGCGGTAGTCGATTGGCGTTGCGGGGCGGATTTTTCATTGTCTGCACAGAGTTTGGAATAACAAAAATGTTGTAGTTTAGGCTTTGTTTTTTTTTTGTTTCAAGCATACAACAATTTTATGTTATGGTTGGTAACAACCAGCGTTTCCAGATTCTGTCAAAAAAGTTGCCAGATTTTGTTTAAATTTAGCTAATATACAAAAACGACAAAATCAACAATGCAAATTGTTAATTTGGCGTTTTTATTAATTGTTGATTATGTCATTTTTGTAATAAAAGTAAATTCAAATAAAATCTGACAACTTCTTTGACAGAATCTAGTGCATTTCTTTAAAATTTTAGGTTATGTGCTTAAACTGTAAATATCTTAACTAAGGGTGCTTTTGGATTTATTTACACAAATTGAATGTTTAAAGTTTAACTTGTGAACTTCTATACTTCTATAGAGATACCTTGTATAGTAAATAGAGAAAATAAAATATTAAAATTTTATTTACTTAAATTATTTTTGACAGTGAGAGTCTTTAATTTTAAATCCGCCATTTTATTCTTAATTATTTTTATCAAATTCCTAACAAGGGACCTTAAAATTCCCGTCATTTGGCTTAAATCGATATATTTTTAAAGGTAAAAAAACGCCACTTTGATTTTTTTTTTAATATTAAACTCAAAAAAGCAAATTTAAAAACCCTGGCACCGTAAACACGGGTGGCCTTAGCTCACTTTAAAACTTAATCTTAACATTTTTGTTGTTTTAACAATCATAAACATTAAATATTATATACCAAAATTTGAGTCTTGAGTTGCTCTTTCAAAATAACTATGTTATAATCTTACATAGGGCTGAGTTTCAAAAATAAAAATTAAAAACTGGGTGTACAAAGTTACCCCCGGTTGCGGGTTACTTTGTCCCACAGTGTATTTTCCGTATAAAATTAACTCAATATTTTATTTTATTTTTATTAGACATATTATGTTAGCATCGACATATACAGCAATTGCAAGGGATTATCGATAAAAACAATAAAAAATCGACCTGTAGTTAACCAAGGATCATCATTCCAAAGAATTGCGCATAATATAGAAATTAAAACGCGTGTAGTTTTAAGAGTTTTGCACTGATGCAATATATACAATTTTAAAGTTTAATAAACCCCATTTATTTTTTTAAAACACTGATTTTCCTGTAATAGAAACTCAATAGAATCGCTCAATTCACAGGTTTAGACCAACAAATTATAAATGTTAATTTTATCGAGCGCGAAAAGATTTTTCATAAAACGGCTAGTCACCCGCGGGGTGCAAAGTCACCCGTGTTTACGGTACCCAAATTTTGACTTTATTCAAACCACTTTTTGGCTTTTGGCCAGTTTTTTGTAAAATCGATTTTTTACAAAACAGGTATTCAAAATATTTAAATTTGTAATCAAACCTTTATTAAACCTATATCTTTGAATATTTTTTTTATAAAAAGTTAGGTATATGCTCTTCATGTCTTATTTTTAAGAACACGAAGACCTCAAATATGTAGGAAATGCAGTATCAACCTTCTTATTTTAGGTATGGATAGTTCCAGATCCACTTAACTGGGGGCCTTCAAGAATAATTGGAATAATATCAACATCATGAGCTGGCCAAATAGCTTTCAAATTAGCTAAAGGCCAAAACATTTTGAAGAAGAAGAACCTTCTTCTTTAAAAAAAGGGACTGTCTACGTATCCTACTAGTAGGATGTATAGCCAGTTCGCTAAATATCCTACTAATAGGACAAATAGTACCAAAGCTAAATATCCTACCATTCAGCGTATTTCATAAACCATGATATCAAATAAGAAAAAAATTAAGCCAGCTAACTAAGTTTTAGTTTAAAAAAAGAACTAAAGGGAGCCTTAAGGCTCCCTATTCGGAATATAAAACCTGTCTTTGATTATTCACATTGGGTTTTTTACCAAATAATTTGTAATTTAAACATTATTTTAATCATCCTTAATATTATTTAAATAAATGAAAACATTTATATTCTATATGTTCTAACATATTAGAACAGAGGGACAAAATCTTTTATTTAAATATATATTGAATGTAAAATAACACATCCACTCTTAATTTAATTAATAATAAATCATCAATAAGTGGTCATTTAATTCCATTATAGAGATTAGGATTTTAAAGTGTCGAAAAAAAACCGGAAAAATTGGGGAAAAAATGTTATTGCCAAGGTTATGATGATTAGCTGTCATCTGGGTTATGCAGGTAACCTGCAGGTAACCAGGCACAATGATTGCGCCATACCAAACCAACCCAAACTTAACAACCCAACCCAACCGACCCCGCCCCATTGGGCCCTCCCTCCCCATTGAGCAATAGAGGTATAATATATCTAAGGGCAGGGTCAGTTGGGTTAGGTTGTTAAGTTTGGGTTGGTTTGGTATGGCACAATGCAGTGTACCTGCGTAACCACAGTTACATTAAAAAGTAAATAAAAGCACAAAACAGCCCCACACCCATAAAACTAATGAAAAAAACGCAGGGCAACGTCCGCCTCAGACGTGGAAATAGGATTTTTCACGTACAACGTACAAATAATAATTGACAAAGTTTTGATCTTCATACTTCTTTATAAATGTCTGTATCTCGAAAAAGGAATTGAATTTCTCTCCAACGTTGCAATCCATTATAATTTAATTATTGCAGTCAAACAAATGGTGTAAAAACCTAAACTAACCTCACTTTTGAGTGTTTTTGCCGAATTCTGAATAATAGTAGGATATTTAGCCTTACTACTATTTGTCCTATTATATAAACTATAGTCGGATATTTAGCGAACAGGCTATAAATCCTACTAGTAGGACACGTAGACAGTCCCTTAAAAAAATCATTATAAAAAAGTAATTAAGTTTACCTAACATAATTCAAAAATCATAAAACTAGGACAACAAAAACCTAAGTAACTTTTTAAATATGAATGAAATAATATAATTCTAAATAAAATTTTGTATGTAGGTAATTAAAAGTACTGTCTGTCCACTCTAAGTTGGCGGAACTAAGGAATTTTGTAGTTTAGATATTAAAGAATTGTCGTACTGTGTGCTTTTAAAACAGATTTTATATTATAAATAATACTAGTACATATTATATACTAGTATTATTTATAATATAAAATCTGTTTTAAAAGCACACAGTACGACAATTCTTTAATATCTAAACTACAAAATTCCTTAGTTCAGCCAACTTAGAGTGGACAGACAGTACCTACATTTTTTTTGAGCTATTATTAATGGTTTAGTTTCTAGACCTAAAAACGCGTAATTTATAAAATAACTTTTTAACTGTGCGAATTATTAGTGTTAAAAAAATACAATATTTGTAATTGAAATTAAGAGTTGCAAGTTTTACTGAATTTTTATTTTGACATAAGTAAGCTTGTGTATATTTATGGCTATAGTATAGCATAATTTATAATGGTGATTTTTGAGATCATAAGTGAATAAAATTTAGATTATTTTCTGTTACCACAAAAAATCTACCTTAGAGTATATAAAACATGGATAAACCTTAGAGCATGGTACATTATTAAGTGATTTTGAATTACCCTTGGAATTACCTTATCAATTACAAAGAATTAGATTAAATACATCAATTGAAATATTAATTAAATTGTTTACAAAAAAACAAGTGATAAAACAAGGATAAATAATCAAAAAAATCCTACCTTCACTGGAACTGGAATCATCATCAGAATAAATATCAGATGCCTTCAATTTGTTGCTTTTGTTTGTCGAGTCCTCCTCCTCCTTCTTCTCCTTCTTCTTCCTCTCCTGCTCCTCCTTCCTCTTCTCCTCCGCCTCCTCCCTCTTCAGTTTCCCCTCCCTCCTTGCCTTCAACTCCGCCATCGCATTTATACGTTTATCCACTTTCCCTCGGTTCTCCTCAATGTTCTTTTTACGTTCTTTACTCCTCTCCTTGTGATCAATCGAGCTGAAGTCAGTCTGTAATTTGCTTTGGTCTTTTTCTTCCCTCTTCTCTTTATCCTTTGGCCTTGCAAAAGGCTTTTCCCTCGCCCTTTCTGCCTTTTTAGCTTGCCTAAGTTTCTTCTCTATTTCAAACCTGAAATTGTTTTTGGTTGCTATAGCACACGTTTATAAGGTTGCTATAGTTTAAGCCAACATTAAAACAATTATATCTTGAGATTCCTAAAACATCACAAACACTCAAAACTAAACTTAAACACTAACCTTGTTTTCATGAGTTCTCTTTGCTCTATGCGCTTGAAAATCTCCGTTTCCCGTTCTTTTTCGGTTAAGCTTGCCAGTCGGGCTCTGTCCTCTTCGTCGCCCATGAGTTGGTCATCATAACCGTCATTGTATTCTTCCTCTGATTCTGAATCGGATGAATCGGAAACTTCACCCTCTTCGGGTTCGGAGTTTTTGGCGGATTCTTTGTTCTTTTCCTTCTCATGTTCGGATTCGGAGGATACCGAATCGCGTTTCGATTTTTTCTTGTTGTTTTTGGATGAGTCTTCGCTATCTGAAGAGTCGGAGTTTGATGATGGTCTTTTTTTCTTGTTCTTTTTTTTGGCCAAGTTTAAGAATTCCTACAATTTAAAAAAGGGGATTTCGTTAGACGTTTTGGTTACTTACATCTTCAATAATTGGTAATGGTAACATTTTTTGGCTTAAATTTACGAATGTATTTATGTAACATTAGGATTCTGAAAATTGACAACAAAGTGAATTTCATTGTCACAGCCGAAAACGATTATTTTTGTTTTAAAAATAACACGCACTTGGACCAATTTTTTGGCAAAAATAACGGGTTAGGTTAGAATGTAAATAATGCGATACCTACCGAATCTAAATCGCTCTCGGAATTATCGCTCGAGTCACTGTCAATTAGGGCCTGATTTTTACGTTTCCCCATTCTCAAAAATGCCTTTTTACACAATTACTGCACAAAACTCGATAAAAACAACAAAATCAAGCAAGCCCAACCTCCTCACAAACTTAACAAGGTTATTGACTTGGGGGAAAAACTAAAGTCCCCAGATTTGACTTTACTCGACCCGCCAAAAACGCGCCGGTGCTAAATAAAAGTTTTTTTATATTGAAAGAGTTGTGATTAGAACCATACAAAAAATGCTGTTTAAATAAAATAAATACAGTGTGTTCTAACAAGGTCTTAATAAATTAGAAAAACATTAAATTGCTTGAAGTACCACTCTCCAAACCAATATTTATTTACTTTAATCAACAACAATTTTATGGAACAAAGTTTTTAAAAACTAAGTTTTCTAAATACAAATTTTCAAATGAAAATTCCAATGTTTAAAATTATTCAACATAACTACCTCCTACCTCGACAAATACTCTTTTAATACTTCCCTGCAGTGTTGCCACTCGTTCATTTTATTTCGTACTAGGTGGCTCCGTCATTTCGTACTAGATTGTACTAAATGCTATATGGGTGAAATTGGCCACAGATGGCAGCACCAATAATTTATGTATTTAGTTTTGTGTTACGAATATTTGTATGACTGCACTTTTACTTGAATAAATAACACATATATTTAAAAAAAGAATCCTAAAAAAATTAACTATAAGAAAGACAATCAATAGTATATTATTATACGAGAGATAATGCAGGCTATTATTCAAGAGGGTGAGGTTTACGTCTCGAGTCGCCAGACGAGAGACCTAAATTATCCGAGTGAATATTGCGCATAATCTCGAGTGTAATACTATACTTTAACTACTCCAATAAGTAGATAATTAGATAATTTTCAAAATTAAATAAATAAACATCTGTCAAATGGTTAACCTCACTTTTTACTAATGTTATTATAGTCGCCTTTTCCCAATTTAAAACCCGATTGGTTCAAATCACAGTGAATATTGAAATCGGCCAATCACTGATCAGTGATTGGCAGATTTCAACGCGAATAATGAGTTTATTATTCACGTTGTTAGGCAAGAATTTTATAATGAACATATAACAATATTTACGGAAAAAACCCAAAATTACGCAATGGGAGTAGATAAAAGCATTTATGTTGGCAGTCCTGCTCGAGAACTTCTAAAAAACTGCAAGTAGCAGACTGCAACGCTGGCTGTGAAATATAAAAAGCCCATAAAAAAGAAGCCTGTGAAAAGAAGGTTGCAGAACACCCAGTGTGATTGCACATTTTTTGTCACTAACATGAAGTCAGGTGTTTGCATTGTTGCCAAAATGATTAAAAATTATTTTGGTTTTAATTCCGCAATTATGGTTTAAACAAATTTTGTTGCGAGAATATATTCAACTATAAAAAGTACTAGATTTTGCTAAAGCGTACTAACGTACTAAAAAATCAATTTTAGGACTAGATCTAGTACAAAAGTACTAACAGTGGCAACACTGCTTCCCTGTCATGTGACATCTGTCACCTGTCATATTTTATTTGTAACCTGCCATCTGTCAATGATCCTTTTGACAGAGGCGTATTGGGAATCTTTTCATGGAAAACATAAATAATGTATTGATAAGACACATTTCCAATAATACGGTATTATTGGAAATGTGTCTTATCAATACATTATTTATGTTTGTTAAGGTGACCATCCGTCCTGGTTTACCCAGGACAGGTTCTGGTTTTTACTCATGTGTCCTGGTTTCAATTGTGTACTGGTTTCGCAGATTCGGTCCTGGTTTGTACTCATTTTTTAATAAAAAAAATTTTTATGATTGAGCCATTATTTGCACATCTCTAATATCGTCGGATCGGAGTTGCAAGCATGCTTGTATCTAGAACGCACGGAACTCTACAGTTTTCTTTCTCTTTCCTGCTAAACGATCGTTAAAATACTCTGCCGCACTTTAATCTAGTGACTTTTTGTCGTGACCTCGCAATCTAGTTACTTTTATTTATTTTTAAATGATGGTGTAATAACATTGGTATTGATATATTATTATTCTATGGGTTATTTGTTGGTTAGGTATTATGTTTACCGGCGTTTTTGTGTTGTCTAGGAAATTCCTAGTAGAATTTACTAAGTAGATAATATATTAATACAATATATGGAATAAATACTAATAATTACTGGTATGTATTACTTTAATTGAATTTGATTTGCCTCTTTCAATTTTATTAATAATATTAATGGAAATAATAATCTTGTTAAGTTCAATATTGTAATTATTGTATATTTTTAGCAGCTGACTCCTAAACTAAATACCATGTCGGCCTCAAATCCAAAAAAAAAGAGGAGGCAATGCTCTTTTAACTCAGAACTACAACAAAAATTTCCATTTTTGAGAAAAATATCTGAAGACTGTGCCAGGGTCAAGTGCAATATATGCGGTTCGTCATTCTCTATTGCAAACAGTGGTATAAAGGATTTACAAGACCATATCAAGACAATAAAGCATAAATCATCAGTAGCCAGCACATCAGGATGCCAGCAAGTGGTAAATTATTATAAAAAAAAAACATTTACACATGATGAGGCAAAACTGGCTGCCTCAGAAGGTACTTGGGTCTACCACATCATAAAACATAATCAGAGTTTCAGATCTAATGATTGCACTTCTCGACTAATTCAAAAAATATTCGAGGCAAAATATTCATGTGCCAGAACAAAAAGTGAGGCCATAGTTTGTCAAGTTTTTGCACCCTTTGCAGAACAACTATTGAAAGAAGATTTGTCAAAAGCAAATTTTATTACGATATGCACTGATGCATCAAACCATAAACATATTAAACTGATGCCTATCATTGTTAGATATTTTCTACCAGAAGCAGGGGTTCAGTTAAAAATATTACAAGTAAAAGACTTACCGGGAGAAACTTCAGATATAATAAGTGACTACATATTGGAAACTGTGACCAATTTTAATTTAAATGATAAAGTTTTGGCCTTATGTACTGATAACACCAATAGCAATTTTGGTGGTGTTGCTCGAAATGGAGTAAATAATGTTTTTTACAAAGTTAAATGTAAATTAAACAATGCTTCGATTGTTGGTGTGGGTTGTATGGCCCACATAGTCAATAATTGTATCAAGACTGCTTGTGATACATTACCAGTAGACATTGAAGCTTTAATTGTAAAAATTTATAGCCATTTTTATATTTATACAGTTAGAGTAGAGAAACTGAAAGAGTTTTGTGAATTTGTTGGTACTGAGTACAAGAACATGTTAGGTTACAGCAATACACGATGGTTAGCATTACTTCCTGCACTTGAACGAGTTTTACAACAGTATGAAGCATTGAAGTCCTATTTTTTATCAATTGATAAGTGCCCAGTACTAATTAAAAACTATTTTAATAATCCTGAAACTGAAATCTGGTTATATTTTGCACATAATATAGCAGATTTATTTCACAAAACTATTTTAAAATTAGAAGGCGAAAAAACGTCCTTTATTGAAACCTGTAGAGTTTATAATGAACTCATTGAAAAATTAGAAAAACGACGAGATGAAAATTTTCGCACCTTGTCCTTCAAAATGATGTTAAATTCGTTAGTACGAGATGGTAGCATATGTGAACATTCAATAGAAAAAAACATTTTTGAATTTTATGTCACAGCTATTGATTATTTAAAACAGTGGAAAAGTCCGGATAGTGATAATTTTCAAAAGTTCAATTGGATTTTGTTAAACAAAATACCTGAATTTGAGGAAATTCAGGAGTGCTTAGAATATATTAATAATTCCAGAAGGAAAGATGGCATTGATGAAAATGATCTCTTTGACGAAGTTACATGTCTCAAGAAGTTTGTTGTTCAAGAAAAACTTGATTCTTGGAAAGAGAATAAGACAAGGGTTGGATCCAAATGGCAAGAGATCATTAAATTCTTTAATAATAATGATTATCCAATTACAAATATGGTTTATATTTTGGAGTATTGTATGTGTTTACCTGGCACCAATGCACAAGCAGAAAGGGTGTTTAGTCATGTTAATAATATATGGAGCTGTGATAAGACTCAATTAAAAGTGGAAACCTTAAAAAGTATCTTAACTACCAAATTAAATTTTGATTTAGACTGTGGTGATTTTTATAAATTATTACTCACAGAGCCAAAGATTTTGGAGGCAATCCACTCCTCAAAAAAGTATAGAGCACTGATTTCGAGCTAGTCTTGTTTTATTATTTGTTATGTTTTAAATGAGGTATATTCATTATTTGATTTTGTTTTAAATGTTTAATGCTTTTTTATTATTTATTTTATTTATATTTTATTTTTTTAGAATTTTCATTTTTTTTTCAATTAAAAAACATTAAACAAAATAAGTTTCGTTTGTTTTTTTTGAAAGGGGGGGGGGCATGCTGCGTGTATGTCGGACAGACTCTGTCCTGGTTTTTCATTAAAGAAAAATGGTCACCTTAATTAATAATACCGTAACACTTTGAAATAAATACGCTAATAAATTTCATTCGAAAATTTGTATTTAGACTTTGTGTAAGGTTATAAACGAATACAGTAGATAATAAATAATTACTGTAATAATAACACCCTAAATACACCCCAAATTTTTATATTGTGTTATAAAATTATTATAAAATTACAAATTATCGTTAAACTAAACTATTATTTTTAAATTAAATATTTAAAAGTTAATATGAAATAATTGTGGGTTACTGTATAAAATTTTATTATTTTCATGTATAATCGGTTGCATACCAAATATTAACGTCATAAACCCCTGGCAATCAGGGACGTATTCCAAATATTTTCAAACGTTTTATGCTACAGGGCCGGCTTTAGAATTGTGGGTTACTGTATAAAATTTTAATTAATTATTTTCATGTATAATCGGTTGCATTCCAAATATTAACGTCATAAACCCCTGGCAATCAGAGACGTATTCCAAATATTTTTAAACGTTTTATGCTAGGGCCGGCTTTAGAAATTTTGAATACATAAATAAATATATACAGGGTGTAATTAATGTAATATATTAAAATACTGAACAACTTTTGACATAAGGTGAAACGAAAAAAAAAATTAAAAAAATATTTTCCCGAACAATAATTGAGGCAAAAAAGTAAATAATGACCTTTTTCATTGCTAATGTCATTTTGATTTAAATGGTTATGTTTGTTGTCATAGATGACATTTTGCATTGTTTATTTTGTTATTTTTATTTTTATGGTTATGTTTTTTGTTAACAATAGCCAGGACCGGCTCAAAATTTAATTAAACTTTGAAGGGCTATAAATCGCTTATTTTTGAGTTTTGATAAAAAAGTTAATTAAAATATTTATTTTTGAGTTTTGATAAAAAAGTTAATTAAAATATTTATTTGTCTATCTGATTTCTACACGATGTTAAAACTCACCATGTATATTACATTAATTACATAACACCCTGTATAATTTTAATGAATTTAAATTTAAGGTAAATAATAATAAAATAAATAAAAAAATTGCAATCATTTATTAATTTGGTTTTTAGTAGGTAAATAAAGTTTAATTAATTTTTTATTGGTTTGTTGCAAATTTAATAGAATTTAAAGGTAAAATATTAAACGAGGTCATTGCAAATATTCAGTATCTATCATGTAGTGTTGTTTAGAAATATAACCTAATGATTACGGTTCTGTTACCAGTCACACACAATAAAATAAAGATAAGATTATTTGTCTTAAGTATCGACATTAACATTCAACAGCTGTGTCTTAGAAACTTAACAAGTGAATTAGAAAAGATATTTTTATCACCCGCATAGTCAAAACCAGTGTGTTTTACTATGGCTACCAAATTGAGCGTTGATTTGCCTGATATCGAGGTAAATGTATATATATTTCAATTTTTTTTATTTTGTATTTTTTTTTGTAGAATTTATTAGCTCTCAATCCTAGAGTGCGTAATTACTCCAATCTAGTGCCATCTTTTAAGACTAAAAAGAATAAAGAACATTGGAAAAGGAATTTGGACAAAAAATGCGGGGTACGTATTTTATTGTTAGTACCAGCCTTAATTTTTTTTTTAAATTTAAACACCTTAATAATTATAACGAATTTAAATAAAAATATTTGTTATTGTGTCTTCCTCTATTATGAAATTTAATAAATATTATGCCTATGACGCATAAGAGATAACATTTTTATCGTTTTTTATATAACACAAACAGGTTTAGCTATAGTTTATATCGAGTTAATTATATCAATTAAATAGAAATTTGGTCAATTTTATTTGATTGTACTTCAATATACCTACAGGGTAGACTTTAAACTTAAAAATTCGTTTTCATACACAAGCACAAGCAGTGGCGACACTAATGTAAAAATTATAATAATATGGAATTTCTAAAGCCTGATTTATAGATTGCCTTCCTTCCTTCCTTCCTTCCTTCCTTCCTTCCTTCCTCCCGTAAAAGATGAAAAATACGAAAACCGTAGTGCTGTTTATAGATTCCCGTACGGGAATTTAGAAACAGCACTACAGACTTCGTATTGTTCATCTATCATCCCGTACAGGAATCTATAAACAGCACTACGGTTTTCGTATTGTTCATCTTTTACGGGAGGAAGGAAGGAAGGAAATCTATAAATCTTAATGGGTTTAAATTTTTTTGATTTTGTAAACTTTCACATCTAGGATTGTTCCTCATTGGAAAACAACTTCTCCGATGTCAAACCAACAACCTTAAGCGAAAGAGGGGCCCTTAGAGAAGCCTCGAGATGCCTAAAATGTGCAGACGCACCTTGTCAAAAATCTTGCCCAACTCAGCTCGATATCAAATCCTTCATAACAAGCATTGCCAACAAGGTCAGTCACGATAATAAATAAGTTGAGAAGCAATGACTCAATACTAGACTGGGCCAAAAAAATCAACTATTTTAACTAAAAGTATATCGAAAATATGGTTTGGGGTGACAAAAAAAAATTATTGTGAAAGTTTAGTCCCTAATATTAATATTAAGAGGTCTATCATCGCAATTTTAATTTTTTTTTCCTCCGACTTTAACAAAATTAATTTGAAAATATTTTTTTAAGAAAATTAAATGCTCTACAAAAAAGGTTAAAGTGAAATTTTCCGTCAGATGAACCGTTTCCTTAAAATCATGCCTTAAAAATTGGTATAGTTTTACATTTTGATCTTTTAAATTGGAATTTTGTAATTTATGTAAAAATCAGTCTGCTCTTGACGCTTGAAGTGTAAGCATATGCTCATCGATCTCTCTTAAGCAGCGTATACGATACAAATGTAGTAACGTGATAACTGGTTAACGCCGTAAAATAATAAAAAATCAATCGATTCTAAACGTGATAACTGTCCCAAGTGCAAAAGAGTGCAAATTGTGTGTGGTACCTCCCCCATTGATTAAATCCTCAAGTGTTGGACCTGGTTAAAAGGTGTGAGAGAGACAATCACTTCCACGAAATTTACTGGACTACCACACGTGCGAGCGGCATGCGAAATGCTTCAATTCCAGCACCAAATGGTCAAGCTAAGTTATTTTTTCCAATTGCATGTCTTACCGTATATTCGCTAAATGTTTATAAAAGCATGTCACAATGTTTATGTAAGCATTTCACAATGTTGCAAAAAGAAAATACTAAGAATTCTTTTATTGTCTCAAAAACTAAATTAAAAAAGAATAAGAACATTTCCTTAAGTTTAAACAAACAACCTCATTTTCTCATAGCAGACAAATCATAAACAACCATCGAAAAAGGCGTAAGATAAATAAATAAATAAACTAAACATGCAAGAAGACAAACATAACATAAACAAGTTGAGTGTGAATAGCAGTATTGCCAGATGTAAAAGTTGGCCCGTGGCCTATACGGGGGATGGTCTACACGGCGGTAGTCGTAGTACGATTGCCGTTGTGTGGATTGTCTTCCGGGGGGGTTGTATTTCTTTGCGGGGGAGTTTATCATGTGTGCCGATTATCGTACCAATGGGAAAAACCATTACCAAAAGGGTAAGAGTAGCCCAATTAAACACTGGGTCCACGTCACTCGTAGACAACGCAACAACATACTACAAGCCACCCTTAAACTAGATCTTAAAGACAAAAAAAATCGGTAGACCATGCTTCACATTTCATGACACGTAGCACAATACATGCACTTCTCACAAAGTAACAAGACCAGTTGGGAGCAACTAAACAACAATAAAAAAAAAAAAAAAAAACAACCGACACACTTTACCAAGTTCAGGAACTATCCGACACGGATAATGACAATAATGAACAAGACGAAGACCTCGACTAGGAAACTACACCCCTGCAGCGTAATAACAACTCCCCAACTCCAAATAGTAATCCCAAATGTTTGGAGTAATACTAACCGACTGGTCTAGGGGGATTCCGCGTCGTACTTAGTTTTAAGTCGGCGTAATTGTCCCCCAAAAACCAACTCCCTCCCGTCCCTCATCCATACCTCACTGAGCGTATAGCATAGGCCCGGCGAACCCGGGAACGGCTATTATAACTATTCGCCTCTCGCTCTCGAGCCCCAAATAGGGGACAGTACGGAACGCAATGGACATTCGCACCCAGCAAACACGGGTGAAGCCGTGCAGTTGCTGGGGAAGAACAAAAATCGGCGTAAGTAAACATAGGCCTGTACGGGGTTGGAGAGTCAAGAGGAAATGGGGCTGGTTATACGTCTCTTATACTCATACTTATACTCATACTCATATGTAAAAATCAGTACCCATAAAAAACCGATAAATATTCTTATGGAAAATCAAATGCTTTACAAAAAAAGCCTCTCAACATTTTTGGCTAAATTCACTGAATCAAAAGTTATTCAAGGTTAAAACTTCGTTTTGACTTCAAATTTAACCTTGAATAACTTTTGATGGAGTGAATTTAGCCAAAAATGATAGAAGACTTTTTTTTGTAGAGCATTTGATTTTCCATAAGAATATTTATCGTTTTTTTTTCAGGGTACTGATTTTTACTTGAATTAAGACAAAATTCCAAAGTTAAAAGATCAAATTGTAAAACTATACCAATTTTAAGGCATGATTGTAAGAAAAGGGTTCATCTGACGGGAAATTCCAATTATACCTTTTTTGTAGAGCATTCAATTTTCTTCAAAAAATATTCCCAAGTCAATTTTGTTAAACTCAATGATTTGGGAGTTCAGAGATAAAATCTCGCTCAGGAAAAAAAATCTAAAATTGCGATGATAGTCCTCTTAATATTAATAATAGGGACTCAAACTTTCACCATAATTTTTTTTGTCACCCCAAACAATATTTTCGATATACTTTCCAAAAAAAATAGTCGATTTTGTTGGCCCAGTCTACTCAATACCTACGTTTTATTCACGGTGCTGTTCTGAGAGGTGATTTTTGGACATTCTGTGAAACCTTTTTTTTTATATTCTTGTTAATTAGGTCATAACTAAAATTTTAAGAGCAAAAAAAAAAAATTTGACGGTTAATTTTGTTTTAATTGGATGTTTATTAAAAATATGTATGCACACTTTCAATTCTCCAATTAAAACTTCATAACTTTTTAGTTAATTTCCTAAAAAAAGGTCTATACATTTTTTATTTTTTTTACTGTTTTGTTGTAATACACGTTTAAAGTTTTAATTTAAGGTTAAATGTATAGTCAGAGCTGTGCGGTACTCGAGTACAAGTACTCAAACACTGTACTCCAAGTACTTTCAGTGAACTCGGTACTCAGTCCCGAGTATTTTAATTTGAATGTACTTATACTTGTACTTGATACATTTAAGATTGCAAAAATGTACTCGAGTACTTTCCCGTGTACTCGAGTACATCCAAAATATGCAATGAGTACATTTTTATGCGGTGAGGTTGGCGTGGACACATATGTGCGTGGGTGTTGAAAATTTGTCAACACTGACTTGTCAATTTAAATTACGGACATGCTGCCTGAGGCAGCCTCAGCCAGCCTGCCTCACACGACAGCCTTAAGACAGCCTCAATAAATAAATAAAAAGACACAGGAAAAATCATTGAACAAAAGTTTTTTACTTATGTATGAAATGTAATTTTGTTTATATTTTGGTAGAAATAAAGTGACAATATTCCTCAAAAAGATAATTAAAAAATAAAGCTAAGGCAAAGTAAAACAAGATACTAGCCGGCCTTGATAATTAACATAAAAGGAAATATCAATATTTGATAAAGGCAATAGGCCGGCTAGTATTTAGTTTTGCACTAGTGATTCTAAATTCATTTCTTAATCGCCCCATTTCTCTAGCATTTTTCCCAACATTTCATAACTAAAGTGTACTCGGTACTTTGTACTCGTATGGGTACGCGAGTACAACGGTACTGTACTTGTACTTGGTACTCGAGTACTTTTATATAAGAGTACTTGTATTCAGTACTCGAGTACTTTTTTATTGTACTCGGAACAGCTCTGTGTATAGTATACATTTATTAAACAATAATTCTAAGGGTGCCACATTTTATTTAGGGCCGATTTATTCATTTTTGATTTATTTGACGAATAATTTCTTTGGATACTAGATATTGCCAAGACATGAAAGTTATCGGCCCGATAAACTTTACTAAAGATGAATAAACTGGTCCTTAGTTAAATTTCATGAATTTCTTCGTAACTTTTACTACAATTTTTCATTTTTGTTTATAAAAAACACTTTAAAAAACTAAACAAAAATTATAGAATACGTAATATAATATACTAAAAATGACAATTCAAACATCAAATAAATTTTTAATAGATCTAAGTTTCATGGCAACTTTTAAGGATATATTAATTAAGGGAACATAAATGTATACGTTAAAGGTTAGATTAAAAGTTTGAACGTTTATTGCAAGCTAACTTTACCGGAACTTTACAGGACTTTTTTTATTCACTAGCGCTAGCAATTGTAGGTAGGAAATTAAAGGAGTTTTTGATCTGCTGCCTCGTGAACCCCTGGCAGTTCAAAAGAAAATGCCACTGTTAAACATTTATAAAAAAATATATGAAAAATCTGACTTAAATATTTTTTAAAAAGACTTAAATCTTTTTCAAAACGACTTAAATCTTTTTAAATAACTTAAATAATTTACCGACTTTTATAAAGACTTAAATCTTTTTTTGACTTAAATCGTTTCTATCTGACTTAAATTGTATGTACTGATTTAAGCCTTTTATTAATGACTTAAGTTTTTTCTATTTTGAAAAAAATACTTAAGTCACAAATCATTTTGAAAATTACTTAAATTTTAAGTCTTAAGTCAGTTTTAAAGAAATGACTTATTACCAAATGACTTAAGTCATTAAAACGATTTAAATCAAAAAAACGATTTAAGTTTTCTGAGAGCTTGCAGCAATTTGCAACAAAACAGTAAAATATATATGTAAAAAAATTGTAAAAACACTTTTAGTTTTTTTTTTTTAGTTATGCAAATATTAAATATTTAAATTAAATCGCTAGTTTTAATTGGATAATTGAAATAGTGCATAATATTTTTAATAAACAGCCAATTAAAACAATTCAAACCGTCAATTTTTTTTATTTTGCTCTTAAAATTTTAGTTATGAGCTAATTAACAAGAATATAAAAAAAAATTAGGTTTCACAGAAAGTCCAAAAATCACCTCTCAGAACAGCACCGTGTATTTTTAGAACTACTACGGTGCCGCCAAGGCAATTTTCTCCGACAACCCTTTGGGGATTACGTGCGGAATGGTGTGCCCAACCAGCGACTTGTGCGTCGGGGGTTGCAATCTGCAAGCCTCCGAAGAGGGCCCCATCAACATCGGCGGTCTTCAGCAGTTCGCCACCGAAGTTTTCAGCAAAATGGGGGTGAGACAGACGAGGGACCCCGAAACACCGCTACCGAAGAACGCATCGTCAAAAATCGTTTTGATTGGCGGCGGGCCGGCCTCCTTATCCTGCGCTACCTTCCTCGGTAGATTGGGCTACAACGACATCACCATCTACGAAAAGGAACACGTCTTGGGGGGGTTGAGTACCTGGGAGATTCCGCAGTACCGACTGCCCATCAACGTGGTCAACTTCGAAATAGGTTTGGTGCAAGATTTGGGCGTCAAATTTATCACCGGCCGCAAACTATCAACAAAAGACGTAACCTTGACCACCCTCCTCAAGGACTCCAAGGCTGTTTTTGTAGGAGTTGGTCTACCACAGCCAAAACTCAACCCTCTATTCAAAAACTTGACCGAGGAACAAGGTTTTTACACCTCCAAAAGTTTCTTACCCAAGGTATCTTTGGTCAGCAAAAAATCTACAAGTGGCTGCCCCTGTAAACAAAATCAAAATTCGTTACCAAAACTACATGGGAACGTGATTGTTTTGGGTGCTGGCGATACAGCGTTCGATTGCGCCACATCTGCATTACGTTGCGGGGCTAAGAAAGTCTTCGTTGTTTTTAGAAGAGGTTTTACCAACATCAGAGCAGTACCAGAGGAAGTATGTATTTCTACCATAATTAATTAACCATTCCAAAATATTATTTTCCCAAGGTTTCTGTAGCAGTAGAGGAAAAGTGCGAACTGATAGGTTTCCTTGCTCCCCATTCGGTTAACGTTAAAGGTGGAAAAATAGTTTCCGTTACTTTTAGCAGAACAGAGCAAAATGATGATGGTAAATGGGTTCAAGATACTGAACAACTCACCACTCTTAAAGCCAGTTATCTTATCTCTGCCTTTGGTTCTGGTTTGGAAGATCCAGAAAGTATGTTTTGAACAGTTGTTAACACCGATATACATTTGTTTGCTTTAGTTATCGACGCTCTTAAACCTTTAAAACTCAATGACCAAAACATGCCCATCGTGAATGTGGAAGAAATGTCAACATCTCATCCTTCTGTTTGGTGTGGAGGCGACATAGCTGGTGTAGCTGAAACCACAGTTGAAGCTGTGAACGACGGTAAAACAGCTGCGTGGTTTATGCATTGTCACTTGGAGGTAACAAATTAAACCTCCAAAATGTACGAGTTTTATGATTATTTTTAGGGTATTTCAAAATCCACAAAACCAAAACTACCTTTGTTCCATACTGACATAGACGAGGTTGATATTTCGGTTGATATTTGTGGTATCAAGTTCGAAAATCCCTTTGGATTGGCTTCTGCGCCGCCCGTTACTAGTACAGCAATGATCAGGAGATGTTTTGAACAGGGTTGGGGGTTTGTGGTGACGAAAACATTCAGTTTGGAAAAGGATTTGGTGACGAACGTTTCGCCAAGAATTGTCAGAGGATCAACATCTGGGCATTCATATGGACCTCAGCAAGGTTCCTTCTTAAATATCGAGCTGATTTCAGAGAAGGTAACCGAGTATTGGTTGCAAGGAATTAAGGAGTTGAAGGCTGATTTTCCCACAAAGGTAACTATTTTGAATAGGTTGTATCTAATTACATACATATATCTTCACAACAGATCGTCATAGCAAGCATAATGTGCTCCTACAACGAGGAAGACTGGAGAAAACTGTCAAAATTAGCGGAAGCAGCAGGTGCCGACGCCTTGGAACTCAACCTGAGTTGTCCACACGGTATGGGAGAATCCGGGATGGGTTTGGCTTGCGGACAAGTAAATTTAACTTTATATTATCGCCATGAAATCACTAACAATTCATTTCCAGAAACCTGAACTGGTTAAAGGCATCTCCCAATGGGTCAGAGACAGCGTCAAGATACCGTTTTTCATCAAGTTGACTCCAAACATCACTGATATTGTTACGATTGCCAGGGCGGCGTATGAAGGTGGTGCCAGCGGTGTTTCAGCTATAAATACGGTTTCCGGTCTGATGCATGTTAAAGGTGACGGTACCGCTTGGCCTTTCATTGGTCTGGATAAAAGGACAACGTATGGTGGCGTGAGTGGTAATGCTACCAGACCAATGGGATTACGAGCTGTGTCTGCCATCGCCAATGCGTTGCCAGGATTTCCTATCCTAGGTATTGGAGGGATTGACGCGGCTGAAGTGGCCCTACAGTTTTTGCAATGCGGTGCTTCGGCTGTTCAAGTTTGCAGTTCAGTGCAAAATCAGGATTTCACACTGATTGATGATTATTGTACGGGATTAAAGGCGCTTTTGTACCTTGATGGTAGGTTACCAGGATGGGATGGGCAGAGTCCGCCGACGTACAAAAACCAAAAGGGAAAGCCTGTTCAGTCACTGTATGATCATAACGGAAAGGTTGGGAAATAGGTTACACCAATAACTTTTATATTGTTGAATTTTTATAGAAACTCCCTCACTTTGGAGATTACCAAAAACAACGAGAGCAACAACTTGAAAAACTCCATAGGGAAAATAAGGTTTCCGAAGAATCTTTGATGCACCACGACGGTAAAACTTGTGGATACACTAATGGTTTTGAAGCTGCAAGTACAGGAAATGCTCCAAGTATTAAAGATGTTATTGGAAGATCGCTGCCTCAAATTGGAGCATATAAGAAATTGGACAACACCAAACAAGTAGTGGCCTTGATAGATGATGTAAGCAATATTAAGTCAATTTTGTAAAGGTTTTATATATTTTTTACTTTTAGGATATGTGCATAAACTGTGGAAAATGCTACATGGCTTGCAACGACTCTGGTTACCAAGCGATAACTTTTGATGCCGAAACTCACATACCATGCGTTACAGACGATTGCACTGGTTGCACCATGTGTCTTTCTGTCTGTCCAATTATTGATTGCATAACGTAAATAGTAACTCTCTTAATATTTCTTTTATTGATTTGTGTATTTTTTAGAATGGTGCCAAAATCCATACCACACGTGATCAAACGAGGAAGACCAGGAGATAAAATTATAGGGGTACATGCCTTGCAAAGTCAATAGAAATATTAATAAATATTTTTTTATTTTTATAGCATTTAAAAACTAGTAAAATATAGTCTTATAAAAATAAATTAATGTTGCTTGTCTTCCTCTTCGTCCTCTTTTATTAGGGATAGATGAGTTTCATCGTCTTCATCACTTTGCCCTTCGGAGAATTCGATTTCGTAATCTTCATCTTCCGTTGTTTCTTCTTCCATGTCTTCATCCTCTTCATCCTCTTCCTCTTCCTCTCTGCTGCTTGGGTAGTTTTTCGGAGACGATTTGGAACCTGAAAACAATATTGTAGGTTTGCATGGAAGGTCACAGCAAACGGAAAAATATAGAACTGTATAGGATGACTCCGCGTTTAAATATTAAATCTTAAAGTTTTATCAGAACTGTATTGAATCGTGCTTTGTTTTTATATTTTTCGGCTCTATACCTATGCACGACTATATTTAAAGTCAAACTCAATGGTGTCTTACAGATACATTATTTTGATTTTCTATATTCAACAGAGAGGTAGAAACTCGACCCTGTCGAATGGTGCAGTCATTTATGCCTCTAGAAATTATTAAAAAAGGGTTCAGTCCACAGACCTGTTTGTAGGTCTGTTTGTAGGTCTGTGGTTCAGTCCAATGGTGCAGCAACTTCGGATTCCTATTCTCTTCAGAGACATAGAAACTCAAGCTTTTCGAATTTTACTGGCAATGATTTTCGTTAATGTCCCCGAGAATTATACAAAAACAGCGCAATGCAATATCGCAACGGTTTCGACTTCTCTTTACTCTACCAAGTTATAGAAACTGGAGTCTCTCTAATACTGTTCTAGTCAATATTTCTGAGAGTATAAAAAGAGGGTGTAATATTGCAAGAAGTTTTGATCTTTTGATGGATGCAAGTAGTTTGAATTTTCTCATTTCTGCATATGATTTTGTTGAAAATAGTTCCTTTTTTTGGTTCCTTTGTCTAATTTTTATTTACCGTAACAACTCAGGTATGTAAAGCACAGAGGATATGATGTTAAGTATATTTATGTATTATATAAAGTACCTATATTTGTATTAAAAATTCCAGAGGTTATGTTGAAAAAATTATCGATATGCTATTAAACTTTAATAATTTAGTAATTAGGTCTGTTGGTAGACCCTGCACTATCTTCACTGGTATATGTTAGTACAGCAATATTTAAATCTGTTTGATGAAAAAGTACACACCAGTGCAGGTTATTGTAGCATCTACGAACAAATGAATTAAGGCCCATTGGCAATTATTCCTTTAGGAAAAATATTCAACACAGCTTAATTAATTAATAAAATGAAAAAAATCACAATCATGTCGTATATAGTTTTTTTTAAGCATAAAATAATTTTTATATTAATATTAGTTCAAAAGTGAAATTACGACCTCTATACTGTGGAGAGTATTGAAACGTTCGACTGACGAATACAACTCTATACCGTGGCGAGGTTAGAAAACTGTATTCAAACGTGGAGTCATCCAATACACTTCTATATTTTTCCGTTTGCTGTGGTGCTAGTTCTTGAATTACTTTTTCTTGAAGAACTAAGAACATCACAATCGCACTGAGCTTTTCCGCATGGCCCTATGCCTTCCTCGGAGTCGCTCTTTTTTATCATTTTATCTATTAATTTGTCTATATGCTCGCACAAGTTGCACTTGCAATGATGGGATTTGCACTTTTCGCAATTATAAGCAACACTGCTTTCCGACGTAGTTTTCGACTCTAAAAAAAGTTGATGAAATAAAAGAATACATCCACAGTTGGTGATGGTAACTTAGACTTAGTTTGGAAGATTTTTCTTTTTCTTCGACCACCACCAATTTATTATTCGGTTTGCATGGGCACGGCGGCTTACAGAGGCAATTCAGAACGGATTCTTCATCGCGCCGCTTCTTCCTGAAAGGTTGCTTGATCCATTTTATGCACCACGTTAGGAGGCACATGAGTATCACCAACTTTGAGGCCACCGTTATGACAAAAATCTGAAAATAATTTGTAGAGACTACCAACTATGGTTGTGATCATTATTACGCATATTAATAGAATTGTTGTTTTGACTTTGCTTTTGTTGACGCTATTCCACGAGTTCACTTCCACGTTGCAAGCATGGTACTGCTGTAAAGTTGGTTGGTATATTTCATCTGGATCCGATGTTGTCGTCCACTCAGGATTGCACTCGCATGTCCCAGATTCTTTCTTCACATCGCCATGGTGGCAAATGGAATTCGCCTAAATTATTAAGAAAAATAATGATGTTTCTCGAGGATAGGGATAAAAATGTACCATGTAAACACAACTGCAAGCGGACGCATCGTTCTTCTCAAGTTTCTTAAGATCTTCCGTTGACACATAGCTATTCATGTTTCTGCAGGCATTGCTGTTGATCTGGTAGATCTAAAGTAAAAATTGTTGAAGCATCTAAATGTGATTGCGAATAAAAATTACTATGTCTGGCGTACGCTCGGTGATGATGCAAAAAGGAACATCCTGACATAAATGAGCGGCATACTTGAAGTAATTTTTTTCTCCGCCGTATTTCATCATACAGTCCACTGGGTTGCAATCTCTGTCGGGGTCTAAATCCTCGGTTTTGCATTGGGAAATTTCTTTGGTTTTCGCCTGCTCTTCATCTAATATTTGATTACCTATATTAACTTTATTTAACAAGTGATAATTCTTACCGCAGTCCTTTTTTAATGGCCTAGCCTTAAAATTAACTTCCGTCGTCATTTCGTTGGCCTTACTTTTGCTTTGATACTTGATAGCTACGGTGCAAGTACCACCAACACCGCGGAAATACTTAAAAACGCCATTAAAGTATTTATATTTTGTTGTTATATTATATTTACCATTGTGGGGTATATCAACGTAACATTACGAGCGTTTTTTGAATGCAAAGTACCCATATCGCCTCCGATCAGATATATGGGTCTGGTATCATTTTCGGATGAATCAAAACCAACGGCGTCACCTTGTAAACTATGGCAGTGTACCATTCTAAGATTAATGTCGAAATTGTCTTGATATAAATTTTCTATAGTTATATCTGAAAGGAGTCAGCTATATAATGGTTTAAAAATGCACAAACTTACATAAAGTTATTGCCATATCGGTTTCTTCATACTCTATAACGCCGGTAGTCTAGAAAAGAAGATTAAATTTTTGTTTTGCGAACCTCATTTTTCTTACTATAACGTTTATTTGACTACGACAAAATATGGGTAGAACTAGAATAACTAGTAAATGTACAATTAACATGAATTGCTGTTGACATGTCTAAAGTTATTTGACATGGAGGAAGTAAGTCATAATGACAAGAAATATACAGGTTGGGACTGTTTTTTTATTATACACACAATATTTTCTATTTGAAGAGTATACCGTATACGGTGCTTGTTGCTTTTAACTTGAAACTTTGATATAACTCATCATTGAAGGGAAATGGCGAAATATTTTGAAAAATAAACTGGATTGGTAGAGCTGGTCCTGTTAGTTGGCCTGCTAGATCACCTGATCTTACTTCGCATGATTTATTTTTGTGGCACTATCTCAAATACTATATGTATCAACAAGTACCAACAACCCCAGATGGGTAGCGACAATGTCGCGGAATCCCATCCTGCTTCGGCAGGCCGCCCCTCGGATTCTGGGGAGGGCACTATGACATTCCTTAGGCAGGGCGAGCCCTCGGGCGACCCTGTCAACCCAAATCCTTCCGAGCCGGGACTACCCTTAGGCACTCCAGGCTCGAAAGCTCCTAAACCGCACCGCCGTCCTAAAAACAAGTGCGGTGCTGAAATTAAGCGTCGGAAGAAAGCCCGAATGGAGGCTCTGGCTCTAGCCAGCACCTCCAAATCTGGAATTAGTCCGATGCTAAGGCCTGAGAAAGCTGAGACAGCAAGCACTGATCCCTCTTTCAAACCTCCTTCTTCAAAAATAGCCCCTAAGGATCACCAGGCTAGAGCTCCAGCTCGTCGCCGGGATGTACCTTCTAAGGGCAAAAAACGAATCAGATCTGATGGGTCCGTCCCTTCGCCATCAAACGTGGTGAAGAGGCGGCCTCATCAGACTGAAAACAAAAGAGCATACAGCGAAGTTGCTACTGCGCATCTGAGGGTCGCCATCATTGATAGCACCGACCCACTTGGCAAAATGTCCAAGGAACGGGCCGATCTTGTCAAAGCGAAACTTCTTGGCGCGGTGGATGACTTCCTGTTTGCTGAACCCCCAGCCACCGTTCCCACTCCAGACTTTGGGGGTTGTAGCCACCGCTTTGATATTTTCTATATCACATGCTGTGATTCTGCAACCCTGGAGTGGCTGCGGAAAACGATTGAAAGTTTTCCGCCTTTGTGGGAAGGTGCTAAACTCAAAGTTGTTCGCGAAAGTGAGCTTCCCAGGCTCCGCAAAGCCACTCTGTGGATTCCTGATTGTAGGGATGAAGCGGACTTGGTAATGAGGCGCCTGAGATTACACAATCGTTGGGCAAACATCCATACCTGGACTCAGTTTATGGTCAAGGATGATCAACCTGGAGGCAAACTCCTAATCCTTGGCGTTCCCGAAACTGAGATCGAACTTCTTAAGGCAAGGAATGGAAGGCTGTCTTACCAGCTTTCCCATCTTTACCTTAAAATCCACAATCCTGAGTCCTCTCGTTTCCAGGATAAAAATGAGATGGGACCTGCAGGATCGTCCACTGCTGCTGCGCAATCGGCCCCCTCGGCCCTTGGTGCAGCGGTGGGGACGACTGTGCAGGCTCCATCCACATCGGGGCTTCTAAATATTCTCCCTCCTTCTTCGATGGACCCCGCTCAGGGGACTCCATGGAGGCAATGGAGGGGGACTTATTGAGAAGCCCCTCTTCATCGGGTGAGCTTTGATTCTGAAATGGATCTGTCTACTTCTGAATTGGAGTTCATCCAGATTAATTTGCAACACTGTCGAGAGGCGACTGGTCTTCTAAGCCGCAAACTTGGCAGTAAGCAATATAAAATATGCTTAATACAGGAACCCTGGATTGTAAAATCTAGGATTGCTGGCCTGAGCAACAACTCTTCCTATAACAACTATATAGGAAGCTCATATAATTCACCTAGAACCTGCATATTAGTTCCTAGGAAACTCAACGCCATTCTTCTGTTACAGTTTTGCACCCGGGATCTCACTGTAATTCAAATATCCTGGGAAGCAAACAATATAAAAGAAGACGTAATTATTGCTTCATGTTATCTTCCAATCGATGCTGAAATTCCACCTCCAAGTAATGAACTTGAAGCGGTGGTTGAGTACAGCAGAAGTAGGAAAATTAACATAATTATAGGATGTGACACCAATGCCCATCACTCAACATGGGGAAGTGCCGACATCAACAACAGAGGTAAGTGCCTATACGAGTACCTTGTAAGTACTAACCTAGAAATATTAAACAGAGGCAGCGAACCTACATTTGTAACCAGTAGGGGCCAATCAATTATTGATCTCACGCTAGCCTCTTTTAATATTTCAAACAGAATTTTAAATTGGACAGTGTCTAGTGAAATATCCTTGTCCGACCACAGATACATCCTTTTTAAAATAAAAACTGTTCAGTCGGAAAACAGCAGGTATAGGAACCCCAGAAGGACAGACATCGAGCTGTACAAAAGCACACTGTCTGAGGGCCTGGGGTCTCTGCTTATTCCGACTGAACTCAATGACAGGGAAGTTTTGGACGGAGCTGTTCTTGATATGCAAAATATTATTATTGCATCTTATGAGCAGTCCTGTCCAATTACATTAACTTCCAGTAAATCAAAAACAGCTTGGTGGTCCAAAGGACTCGCCAAGATGAAAAACAAACTGGGCAAGCTATTCAACAAAGCTAAGTCTTCCAGAAATGCTAATGATTGGCTTCTTTTCAAAGAACTTCAACGTTCGTACAAAAAGGAAGCCAGAAAAAGACAAAGATCACAATGGACAAAATTCTGTAACAGCATTGAATCCACCTCAGTGGCAGCAAGGCTCAAAAGAATGTTGTCCAAGGATCCCAATCAACAGCTCAGCTGTCTCAAACGCGAGGATGGGTCCTATACGGAAACCCTTTCAGAAACACATGAGCTACTTTTAAAGACGCATTTCCCAGGCTGTTAACTTAGTACACTTGCCAAATGGCCAGAGCTTCCTCGTACCCCTCCCTCTCGGGAGGAGGAGCTTGAAGCAACCTCTGTTGTGACTAAGAATAAAATAGCCTGGGCTGTCAAGCAATTTCAGCCTTTTTCTTCACCTGGAAGGGATGGCGTATTTCCAGCCCTACTACAATGGGGCTTGGAGGCACTCTCCACCCTTTTAGAAAGAATATTAAGGGCATGCCTATCCCTAAAACATGTACCAAATGCATGGAGGGATATTAAGGTAGTATTTATACCTAAACCAGGGCGAGTGGATTACACCACCCCTAAAGCCTACAGACCCATAAGCCTCTCCTCTGTTCTTTTAAAAACATTGGAAAGGCTCTGTGATAGGCATATAAGAGATGCAATACAAATAACGAACCCTTTGCATCCAAACCAACATGCATACCTTCCAGGAAGATCTACCGAATCCGCCCTCCATTCGGTGGTGCGCAGAATCGAAAGATCCATGGACAACAATATGTCCACCCTGGGCGTATTCATAGACATAGAAGGAGCATTTGATAAAGCCTCCTTCAAATCCATAGAAGCAGCTCTGAGAAAGCACGGTGTTCATCCTATGCTCTGCACTTGGATTGGACATATGCTACAATGTAGAGCTGTCAGCGTAGGCGATGGAGACTCAACCAAAGGAGTGGTAATCAAAGGTTGCCCTCAAGGGGGAGTACTCTCGCCACTTCTATGGAACTTAGTTGTTGACAATCTTCTAGAGTCTCTCAACAACAATGGTTTTACCACCTTTGGCTACGCAGATGACATCACTATCACGCTAACGGGGAAAATTGAGAGCACCCTTTGCGATCTAATGCAAACAGCTCTAAACATACTTGAAAACTGGTGTAATAGGAATTTCCTCTCTGTAAATCCTGCAAAGACGGAATTAATTCTATTTACCAGAAAAAGAAAACTTGGCTTCCTCAAAATGCCTAAGTTATTTGGAACCTGTCTGGAACTAACAAACCAAGTCAAGTACTTGGGAATAATTCTAGACAGCAAACTTAACTGGAGTAGTCATCTAAAGCACAAAATTCAGAAGGCCTCAGTGGCCTTCTGGCAGTGTAGAAGGACTGTCGGAAGGACGTGGGGACTATCCCCAAAGATAGTTCTCTGGTTATATACGGCAGTCATTCGACCAATGTTGTGCTATGGATCTGTCGTTTGGTGGCCCAAAATCAAACAAACTACTGCAGCAAAACAAATAGAGCATGTGCAACGGCTTGCATGTCTAGCTGTTACAGGCAGCATGCGCACAACTCCAACCGCAGCCATGGAAGCAATCCTGAACATCCCCTCTTTGGATCTGTTCGTAGAGGAGGATGCACTGAGATCATCTCTGAGGCTTTCGACCACTAAAATGTGGAAAGAAAATATCTCTAGCAAACGTCACACCTGCATCCTGGAAAAGAATGTCCGACAGACACCTATTCTGAGTGCAGTGCGCGACCAGATTGTGCGGAGCTATAATTTTAATACTCCCTATCAGGTGTGGATAAATGGACACCCAAATACCTCGCCTGATCTTTCTATCTTTACAGATGGATCCAGAACCGACTCAGGCTCTGGAGCTGGAGTATATTGTCAGAACCCATCCATACGCCTCAGTATATCATTGGGTGTCTATGCGACCATATTCCAGTGTGAAATCACAGGCATACTGGAGGCTGCTCGTAAAGTAATAGAGCTCCAAATACATGGAAAAACAATAAGAATCTCCTCAGACAGCAGGGCCTCCTTGCTGGCCTTGAGTCACAATATAGTTGACTCGGGACTGGTAGCGGAATGCATTGCTGCTTTGAAGCTGATAACGATTAATAATGTCCTAGAACTAGTATGGGTTAAAGGACATAATGGTAATGAAGGAAATGAAAAGGCTGATGAACTGGCAAGACAGGGATCGGAAAAGCTGCCAGTGGGCCCTGAACCTGTCCTGCCACTTACGAACTCAACCTTAAAAGTCCAGATAAAAAAACTAACCCATGAAAAACAACTAAGAAGATGGGTTAATCTAAGCTCATGTCGTCAGACCAAAAATATTATCACTAATCCATCTGACAAGCTGGCCAGGTACAGTCTACAGCTATCTCGTCAAAACCTCTCCGACCTTGTCGGAATTATAACGGGACACTGTAGACTAAACAAACATCTTCATACGATAAGAAAAGTAGACAGTCCTCTTTGCAGAGCCTGTAACTGGGGCGAAGAGAATGTAATACACATTATTTGTGAATGTCCTGCTCTTCTCGAATTCAGAAAATCCACTTTAGGAGAAGAATGGGTTGATGCAACCAACATTAGCTCCATCTCTCCAGCCGTCTTTCTAGATTTCTTTCGGAAACTCGGATGGCTGGATTAAAAAATTTGAGCAAACACAAATGGGGAAATGGATCTCGGGGGCAGTACAAAGGGCCAACTGTGGCCTAAGTGCATGTAGCCACAATGTGGCTACCCTCCACCCAACAAATCCAATCCAATCCAAGTACCAACAACCCGTGAAAAAATGATTGAGCGAATTAGAAAAGCTTGTGCCGAACTTGTGAGGACTCATTTAAAAACCAAATTAATAAGTGCATTGAGAAGTCCAAGGCCACTTTGAACCTACTTTAATAAAAATTGGAAAAATAAAAATTGTTTTGGGCTAAATTTGTATTATTAATAATAACAACCAACAAGTATACCTATTATATGAGTGATTCTACAAAGGTTGGGCAACTTTTGACCTCATTTTGTTTATATAGTTTTCGGAAAAAATTAAACAGTATTTTTTTATAAGAACATAGATAATATAATAATATACTGTTCCAGACCGGGCCAGTCACTTTTTCAAACAGTTTCTGAAATATCTGTGTTTTCCAAATTTGAATGCAAGGGAAGTGTCGAGTATACGAGGTTACTAATTAAATACATAATTTATTGGAAAATATAAGATTTCTTGCAACTTTGAGCATATTATACATTAAATATCTTAAAATCAAATAATACCACACATCAGTGGCGGCTGGTGGATTTTGGGTATACCGATATCTCAATTATTAGATATGGGACCCACACCAAATTTATATGAGTTTATAATGGCATTAAATAAACAAGTTCTGCGCAAGCAGAATTTAAATTGAAGTTTGCGAAAAAAAGATAACCGAAACATCGAACATGGAACTGACGACACGGTACTGATGAATGGCATACAAATTTGAGATTATAATTCGGAATTAAGTATTTTACTGATATTTTTTATAAGTAGATGCTACTTATCAACAAATCACATATAGCCTTATATAAATTACAATGAAATATATATACGTAAGAAAATAACTACTCACCAAAGTACTGAAATTTTGACTGGAACTATACGTGCATTCTCCACAACTTCGCCGTTTTCAAGATGACTGTCATGCAAAGGGCGGGCTTTTTAGGTAATTTTTACCAAACCTTGACGTTTAAACTTCAATATTTCGCAGGAATTTTGAATTTTAACATTGGACACAGAACTGACGGGTAAAAGTGAGTACAAAGATTATCAATTTTTAAAAAATTGCTATTATTTGAATTCATGATAAAATATAAAAAATACATTATTTAATGTTTTATATTATAGTTTTTAGTGAAATTGAAAAATTTAAGATAAATTGAATATATTTTAAAATAAAATCTCCCAAATATTTGATTCAGGAGTTGTGATACGCCAAGGTACTGATGTTTTGAATATTTATTATGTTTTTCTACAAACGTGCTTTTGAAAAAATACATTAAAATTGGGTGGACAAGTTAAAAAAACCTGGATATTTTGTAATATACTAAAATATTTACAAAAAATATTAAAATACCTACACTATTGACTGATGACTTCAAGTTGTCCAACTTTTGTAGAATCACCCATATATACTCACCTCTTAGTATATAACCAACCGTCTCCAGAAGATCGCTTCCAATCAATTTTTGGTAGGTTTATGTGTTTAAATAAAACATATTTTGTAAATGTTAATGAAATGATTTATTTTTTTCAATTTTTTGTATAAACAGTAATGCACCATATTACCTATGGTAAGTAGTATAATACAATAAGCCCCTTTTTGGTGATACAGTAAGCTTTATATAAAGGCGGGCGAGACAGTAAATAGATAGCAAGCTTGAAAAATAAGAGGAAAGTACGTAAAGATGTACAATTAATGAAATAAAATATTTTACATTTAGTTAAAACACCTAAAGGATTTGAAGGAAATATTACAAAATACAAGTACTTATTAAAATAATAAATAAAATTAATTAATATTTGTATGAAGAAATGTAATAAAATTTTCCCGATTTTACTGTGCGTTATATATGAAGGATTATTTATTAGGCCAATTTCGAAAAAAATATGAGAACTGATTTTGTACAACATTTTGTTACAAAAATTTAAAATTAGTATATATCACAAAACTACATTTACAATATATATACTAAAAACAATTTTCTTATTAAAATATTCAGTTCCAAAAATGTGTTTTTACTGTCTATTTGTAATGGACAAACAGCAAACTCTTATCTGCTATACTTTTTTAATTATTTAATTATTTCTTGATAAGTTGTATTTGTATTTTACAGTCTAACGTGGTAATGATATTTTCGAAAAAATCCATTTACGTTTATCATGTTTAAATTTTAAGTGAGTTGATAATAAATGGATTTTCTCTCGGATGATTTATATAAATATTAATACCTTAATAATTATGTACATGAACAATCTTCAAACAACTCAATAGTATATAATAATTTCTATGTTTTCATTCTAGAAATTATTTGCTAGTCGCTAAACTAAACCGTGTTTCTTTGAAAATAACCATTATTTTTACTGCTTTACAGATAAAAATCGCATTTTTATCCGGAAAACAGCTCGACATCATTTACATGCTTCTGTGGGACGAAAAATAAATAAATTTGTTAGCCTGCGTAAAGTGATTATCGCTATTAGTGAAACTTGAGGGTGGTCCAGACGATTTCACTGGGGTGAGTGACACCCCCTATTTCGCAGTTTACCGTTCGCGATCTTCCGTTGATCACGAAAAGCGCCTCGCTGGCCGGAGTCACCATGTACTGGCCAAAAAGACCTTCAAACACAAGAAGAACGTGTTTTTAATTTTTTTAATTTTCATTCCTTCATCCTTTCATTACAATATGATAGTTCGATTTACTAAGATAGAGGACGCCTACCTTTATTACCTAATTTTGGGCTGCTGATTTCAAAATTGCCACTCGTTTTGCTCCAGGACGTCTAGGTTTCGAAATAATTGCGTAATAAAATGCTCTGCCCAATTATCTCAAAATGTAAGTTTTTCGATAATATTTTGATTATTTATTAAATTATTTTGCTTTAAATCTATTTTGGATGTTCAGTATATTTTTGACGTTTTTTGTCAAAATAATATACAGAGACTCCATACAAAGTCATCGGTAGATAAATGTCAAATAGAAATTTTGTTTGTTCCATTGTAGCCGTATACTATAGTAGTATTATATAAGGGATATTTAATAAAGCACTTTTCTGCAGAGAAGTGCTTTATTAAATACCAATTTTTTGAAATGTTTGTGTCGTTTTTTTAATTACTAATTAAATTGAAAAGGCAACAATGTAAATGTGTTTCGGTATAAGCATTACTCTTCGACTATTATTTGATATGTTTTTATTCACATCATGCCTAAAATACCCAAAAATTTAATCTCGAATCTTATTTATTATCAAATTGAAGTATAAGGCGCCTTTATCTACTTTATCGTTCAAGCACACTAAAGTGCATCTTTTAATTATTGACATTTAAAATTTAAACTTTAAATTGTATTTTTACTTGAAGTATAAGGCGCCTTTATCTACTTTATCGTTCAAGCACACTAAAGTGCATCTTTTAATTATTGACATTTAAAATTTAAACTTTAAATTGTATTTTTACTTGAAAGTGATTTTAAGAACCAAAAATGAAAAAAGAGCAGGAAATGGAAGTGGTAATGGAAGTAGCAGAGAAAGAGAAAGGAGACGAACATTTATGTCGTCGTTGTAAATTTGTTTTGTTTTTGTTGCGGTACCTTTACGCCCAAGAAAAACAAACGCAATATTTCATTACAAAATTTTATGAGATATACCTACTACTTTAATTTTGCAGGAATATTAAATGGACCTGATATACGACGTTTAATGAAAGATCAAGCATTCAAAAATGCTCTCAAAGTTGACCAGCTTGTTGCATATGGCAGTGTTAAAGCTGTCATTGAAAATGTTCTTGGTTCATATCGGACCTAAAATTGGCGCCAATTCATTGAAAAAATGCTTTCCGTTTTTTCCGTCATTTAAAATACATTAAATGTAAAAAAAATTTTTTCTTCCTGATAAATTTGCCGAACTGATGAACATGGAGAACGATTTCACCAAGTAACTGCAAATCTAGAGCATTTGTAGATATCTATGGGTATAGCGGAAAGGTTGGATTCATTGCCAGGAGACATTTGCTGGATTTTGCAGCAAAATATGTACGACGATGATGAGGATTAAGCATAATAATACTATAATCCAATTCGATATTTGATACGATTTTATAAATTTAAGGTAGAAAAAAGCAAAATTATGCAATGCATTAAATTTTGAGGGCTTAATTTGGATGAAAAATACTGAAACTTGTTTACTTTGTTGCCCTTTCAATTTAATTATTAAAATAAACGACAAAAATGTCAAATAATGGTTGTTTTTTTTACATAAAATACATTAAAATTATAGTTTTAGTATTTAAAATGTCACATTGTTAAGATAAATATGATCTATTTGCCGTATACCAATACTTTAGTACATTTAAGATAAATTTAAGGCAAAATAATTTAATAAATAATTAAAATACCAACAAAAAACTTACATTTTGAGGTGATTGAGCAGAGCATTTTATTACGATATTATTTTAAATCCTAGACGTCCTAGAGAAAAACTAATGACATTTTTGAAATCAGCGGCCCAAAATTACTTAATGTTTGAAAAAAAAAGTTTGGAAAACTATCATAGTGTTGCCCAATTCATCAGATTATCATTTTATTCTTTCATCCCTTCATCCTTTCATATATATGATAAGGGGATGAATTGGGCAATTAATAAAAGGGATGAAAGAATGCAACTAGTTTCATTATTTCGTCCTTTTATTCTTTCGAAAATATTTTACTCACCAGAACCGCTGATCGGCCTGTTGGGGTTATTCCACCGTGTCAACTGCATCGGGATGGCTTTACCCACTCCCGTGATGATTTCCACCTTTCCTGAATAAAGATTCAGGAATAAAATATCCTCCTTTTCCTGGGCACTGGCGTATATGTCATAGCTGTGTGTGGTTTGGCTCGGGTAAAACGTTACGTCGGATATATTTAACGACGTTTTGACGTCAAACGAAAATATTAAACCATTCTCTGCAAAAAAGTTATTAAAAACGCTTAAAGTAGTTAGTTTTAACTAACTTACCGGATATTTCCTGTACGATGATCGTGGCACCACTGGCGGTTCTGTCCAGTGTTACCAACTTTCTCGAATCCGGTGAAATGTAAGGTACTCCAGGTAGGGTGGGTTTGGTGGCCAAAACACTGTCAGTCAAGTAATCCAGGACCAATTGTCCTGTTGGTCTGTTGGTTACCGGTTCCAAACATTGCATTATAACCATACCATCTACAAAAGTAATAGTATCAAAAGAAAGTTGTAATTATATAGAGTAAAGTGTACGTTATTTACAAAGTTGGCTATTTTCACTTGGGTATCGTTTAAATTGATAGTTTATAGACAAAAAACAATTTTGCTAATAATTTTTTCTTGCCTAAATGACGATACTTTTTTGCACTTTTTTGTTTAATTTACCGACCATTCAACATTTATTCTATATTTAATGTTAAATTTTATTTTATACGCTGTTAATATTGACTTTATGAAAATTGTAAATCATAAATCATTAATAGTTTATTTAAAATTACCTATTACTTATAGCCTAACACCATCTATTGCTCGACCATGAACTTTTAAGATAAAAAGTATTTTCAACTTTAGTCAAATGTTTAAAATCACTGATTTACGTAATCAGTGGATTTACGTTTTTGCACGACATGGGAACGCAGTAATTTTCTTTAAAACGTTTATATTTATAACACCCTGTTTAATAAACAGTGTTTATGTCATTAATGTAATATATTAAAATACTGAATACCTTTTGACAAAGTAACTGCGCGTTGCGAGTTGTAAAAAATTGTTACTAAAAACTTTTCTTGTAAAAAATAAATAAAAACTCAATAATACAAAAGTTGTATGCCCTTAAAGCTCTAATACCTTCTGTATTTATTTACTCATCCAGCTATTAGCTTAAGCAATGATTAGAAAATTTAGTACCTATTTTAAAAACTCCATAACCACAAAATTAATTTTTTCATCGTTTTTTTTCTTTCTGTTTACTAAGATGAAATTAGGACTAGTTCACAGGTTAAACTTTAAACATTCAATTTGTGTAAATAAATCCAAAACCACTCCCCTTAGTTAAGATATTTACAATTTGAGCACATAACGGAAAATTTGAAAGAAATGCACTAGATTCTGCCATTAAAGTTGTCAGATTTTGTTTTAATTTTCCTGCATTACAAAAATGACATAAACAACAATTAATAAAAAGCCAAATTAACAATTTCCATTGTTGATTTTGTCATTTTTGTAATTAAGCTAAATTAAAACAAAATCTGGCAACTTTTTTTGACAGAATATGGAAACGCTGGTTGTTACCAACCATAAAATAAATAATAAATAAAATTAGGCAAACAGATTAGCCTAAAGTTCCTAGTCGATCAGTGGCGTACTTTTTGGTAGGATAAATTATTTTTAGTCTTTAGAAAATAGAAAAAAAAGTTTCAGGTGCTTCTTTATGGACCCTCCTAAAGAGTTGATTTTGAAATTTTTAATTAGTTTTAAAAAATTAAAATTTCATCAAGATATATTTGACATAAAATGATAATTGTAAGCAATAAGAAGATAATTGAAAAAAAATCTATTTTACATTTTTTATAATTAAAACTAAAATAAATAAATAATGACTTGCTTTAAAATTTTCATTAATTTTCTAAATAATTATAATTATTAAGAGCGTATAATAATAAAAAAATTACCTTAAATCCTCTAGTATCAAAACCCCTTAAATCCGTTTTGATAAAAATGAGATACATGCATTAAAATATTCCTACCTGTGTGTATAGAAATGGTTGCAAAAGCCATCAAATATTTATAAAAAAAATTAATATTTACATTTCGTGGCTTTTTCAACCATTTGAATGCACAGATTGATAGGTAGTATTTTTTTAATGCATGGTTCTCATTTTTCATCAAAACGGATTTAATAATAGGGGATTCAAATACAGAATAAATATTTAGTAGTCGGGAAATTAAACAAAATTATTAAACGATAAAAATCGATTGAACTTAAATTACGAAATAAATTTTTGACGTCAATATCAAAATTTCTTTATCTAAACGGATCATAATAGAAGTAAAATCAACAATAATTATTGAATTTAATAAACAAGAAAAAAAATAATTTCCAAATAGTGAAAAAACTCGTAAATGAATGGAAAAAGTATCGTCATTTAGACAATTTAAATGATACCCAAGTAAAAACAGGCAACTTGATAAATAACGGACACCCTAATATAGAGTGTATAGAAGACATACATAAAGCTGAAAACCTGACTTGAGCCGGCACGCAATTGTAAGGAGTCAAGTCAACGGATCTTGTGTAACGTAAATTTTCCAGGTCCAGTTTGTACAACCCACGTTGATTCGTATGCGTCACGTATCCATACTTAAAACTGAAGTGCGACAACTCCTGAAACGCCGATGGAATAAACAACCCCTTCACCAAATCGAACTGCCCATCGATTGGCTCAGGATGCACGGTGTGATGCTTTCGCTTTTGACCGGCATCCCTGATGACCTACGAAACACGCCGTAAAACAGTATGAATGAAAGTATGAAGGAATGAAAGGATTAAAGAATGAAGGAATGAAAAAATGAAAGGATATAAAGATGAAAGTATGAAAGGATAAGGGGACATAATAAAGAAAGGGTGAAAGAATGAAAGTATAAAAGGACAAAAGTATAAAATATTGAAGGGGTAAAATAATGAAGGGATGAAAGAATGAAAGTATAAAATAATGGTATGATAAAACAATGAAAGTATAAAGAAATGAAAGGATGAAAGAATGAAGGAATGAAAGAATGAAAGGATGAAACAATATACGTAACAAAGAATGAAGGGATGAAGAATGAAAGGGTGAAAGGATGAAACATTGAACGAATTAAAGTATAAAGGGATTAAGAACAAAAGGATGAAACAATGAAGGTTTGAAAGTATGAGGGGATAAAATAAAGAAAAGGTGAAAGAATAAAATGATAAAAGTATAAAGGAATGAAAGGATAAAACGATGAAAGTATGAAATATTGAGGATCAAACAATGAAAGTATGAAGGAATGAAAGGATTAAAGAATGAAGGGATGAAAAAATGAAAGGATAAAACAATAAGGATGAAGGGATAAAATAATGAAAGGGTGAAAGAATGAAAGTATCAAATGATGAAGGGATGAAAGAATGAAAAATGTTAAGAATAAAATAATACAAGTTGGATAGGGTAAAAGGACGAAGGGATGAAAGAATCAAAAGATGAAAGGGTGACTTACTTGTATGGTTTTGATTCCGGTGTTGTTGGGCGACCGCCAGTTGAGGATCCAGACCTGATCCAGGTGCGGAACGTAGTGCAAGTCCACCGGGTACTTGTCCGTGCTTACCACGTCCACCACCACCATTTGGACCTTGGAAATGATGAGGATGCGGTCACGGCTCGGTTGACTGGCGTACACGTATCTGTTTGCCACGTTTATGGCCCGGCCCCAGGAGCATTGCACGCCTTTGTCGCCGCAAACGTATTCCTGAAGATGCATTTTAGGTTACTTAACGTCCAAAACGTCAGGTTTTTTGTTTACCTGTGTACCGGGAATAATGTCGGTCGATTGAATGCGGTGGTACAATCTGCAAGTTGACGGTTCGTAGATGCTGACCCCCCAGTCGTGGAAAGCAAAGAAACGTCTCTCCTCATTTGGAGAATCTTTAAGAAAATTATAAATATTTTTTATAATTATTTTAAAGATTAGGAAATATTCACTTCAAATTTCAAGACCTAGGTTTTTAAAATTAAAAAAAAAAAGTTACCTAAAGTTGTAAAAAATAAAAGGATGGAATGATAAAATGATGAAAATTGAAAGGATAAAAATATGAAAGTATGAAAGGAGGGGTGAAAAAATTAAAGCATAAAATAATGAAAGGATAAAAGAAAGAATAAACGAATAAAAGGATGAAAGAAGAATAGAAAGAGGGAAGGATGAAGGGATGAAATAATAAAAAATGAATGAATGAAAGTATGAAATGATGAAGGGATAATAGAATGAAAGGATAAAAGATATAAATGTATGAAATGGGGGGTAAAAACAATTTAAGAATAATATAATAAAAAGATGAAAGAAAGGATAAAAAAATAAAGAGTGAAAGGATGAAAGAAGAGAAAAAGATTGGAAAGAGTGAAAAATTAAAGGATAAAAGAATAAAAGGATAAAACAATGAAAGTACGAAATGATGAGGTGATAAAATGAAGAAAAAGTGAACAAATGATAATATAAAAGGATTAAAGTATAAAATGTTTAAGGGATGAAAGAATAAAGGGATAAAAGAAGGAAAGGATGAAACAATGAAAGTACGAAAGGATAAAGTAGTAAAAGGGAAAAAGGAATAAAATTATAAAAGAATGAATGGATAAAACGATGAAAGTATGAAAGGATAAGAGGAAAAAATAAATAAAGTGTGAAAGAATGAAAGTATGAAAGGACAAAAGTATAAAATATTGAAGGGGTAAAATAATGAAAGGATAAAAGGATGAAAGAATTAAAGGATGAAGGGATGAAATAATGAAATGATAAAAAAATGAATGAATGAAAGTATGAAATGATGAAGGGATAATAGAATAAAAGGATAAAAAATAAAACAATAAAACAATGAAAGTATGAAGGGATAAAAAGATGAAATAATGAAAGGATAAAGGGATAAAAGGATGAAACAATGAAAGAATTAAAGGATGAAGGAATAAAATATTAAAAGAATGAAAAAATGAAAGAATAAACGAATACAATGAAAAGATAAAACAATGAAGGAAGAAGGGATGAAAGAATAAAATTATGAAAAAAAGAAAGATGAAATGTATCAAAATATGAAGGGATAAAAGAATCATAGGATTAAGAACAAAACGATGAAAGAATGAAAGAATGAAACAATGAAAGTAGGAAGATGGGGGATAAAATATAGAAAAGAATAAAAATATGAAAGGATTAAAGTATAAAATGTTGAATGGATGAAAGAATAAAGGGATAAAAAAGGAAAGGATGAAGGAATAAAAGGATAAAACAATGAATGTATGAAATGGGGGTAAAAACAATTAAAGAATAATATAATAAAAAGATGAAAGAAGGGATAAAAAATAAATGAGTGAAAGGATGAAAGAAGAGAAAAAGATTGGAAAGAGTGAAAAATTAAAGGATGAAAGAATAAAAGGATAAAACAATGAAAGTATGAAAGGATGGGTTGATAAAATAAAAAAAAAGTGAAAAAATGAAAATATAAAAGGATTAAAAGAAGGAAAGGATGAAACAATGAAAGTACGAAAGGATAAAGTAGTGAAAGGGAAAAAGGAATAAAATTATAAAAGAATGAAAGGATAAAACGATGAAAGTATGAAGGGGTAAAATAATGAAAGGATAAAAGAATGAAATAATTAAAGGATGAAGGGATGAAATAATGAAATGATAAAAAATGAATTAATGAAAATATGAAATGATGAAGGGATAATAGAATGAAAGAATAAAAAATAAAAGAATGAAACAATGAAAGTATGAAGGGATAAAAGGATAAAACAAATGAAAAGATAAAGGGATAAAAGGATGAAACAATGAAAGAATTAAAGGATGAAGGAATAAAATATTAAAAGAATGAAAAAATGAAAGAATAAACGAATGAAAGGGTAATACAATGAAAAGATAAAACAATGAAGGAAGAAGGGATGAAAGAATAAAATTATGAAAAATAGAAAGATGAAATGTATCAAAATATGAAGGAATAAAATAATCATAGGATTAAGAACAAAACGATGAAAGAAAAGTATAAAACAATGGTAGGATAAAACAATGAAAGTATAAAGGAATGAAAGGATAAAAGAATGAAGGAATGAAGGGATAAAATGATGAAAGGATGAAACAATATACGTAACAAAGAATGAAGGGATGAAAGAATGAAAGGGCGAAAGGATGAAACATTGAACGAATTAAAGTATAAAGGGATTAAGAACAAAAGGATGAAACAATGAAGGTTTTAAAGGATGAGGGGATAAAATAAAGAAAAGGTGAAAAAATAAAAGTATAAAATGATAAAAGTATACAGAAATGAAAGGATAAAACGATTAAAGTATGAGGAGACAAAATAAAGAAAGGTAAAAGAATGAAAGGATAAAAGTATGAAATGTTGAGGATCAAACAATGAAAGTATGAAGGAATGAAAGGATTAAAGAATGAAAGGATTAAAGAATGAAGGGATGAAAAAATGAATGGATAAAACAATAAGTAGTAAAGGATGAAGGGATAAAATAATGAAAGGGTGAAAGGATGAAAGTATCAAATGATGAAGGGATGAAAGAATGAAAAATGTTAAGAATGAAATAATACAAGTTTGATAGGATAAAAGGACGAAGGGATGAAAGAATCAAAAGATGAAAGGGTGAAATAATTTAACTATAAAAGAATAAAAGGTTGTAAGAATGTTAGAATAAAATAAATTGACGGATGAATGAATAAAAGAATGGAAGCATAAAGCAAAGGAATGATAAAAGATGAAAGAATAAAAATAAAAATTAGCTACAAAAGAAAGAAGGTTAGATGGATGGCCCTGCATACATTGAAAATATATTTATGTATGAAACAAAAGTAATATATTTGACCCAAACATATTGTTTAGCATAATTAAACCGCCGTGTATAAATAAGCAAAACGGCATATTTTATAAACCTCAGAGCTTATTTATTCGACCATTATTTCCATGTGACGGGACAATTTTGGACAGTAGCGTGGTTTATTGTAGTATGCAGCAAATACTTACTGGGTGTGGGTTGCTCTTGTACGACCAGCGAGCTGATGTCCCTTGTTAGTCCTCCTGCAATTAAATTAATATTTAAATTTCTCGTTCGACCGCAACTGCTACTAATTAGGCGTTTCCACTGCTACCCCTTAAATAACATATTCCGCTGTTTAAAATTTATAAGTGAATAAATTAAAAAACTCAAATTAATCGCACCAACACTATGTAATTTAATGCCGACAATTATTTACTTGAATATAATGGAATTCCGTGTAGACAGCAGGAAAATTAAATAATTTATCCAACCAAAGTAGTTTACATGCAAAATTTATTACGAAACCCGAATTGCATTAGATGGTGTCTGGAATTAACTATTTGATATAATAAACAAATTTTAAATATTAAAAGCATTACCTATGCTAGTAGCTTGACACATGTAAGCTCCAGTGTCTGCAAAAGCGATTTTTCTTATTTTTAGTGCAGTCCCATTTCCAATTATTTGGTATTTTCTGGGATTGTCGCTCTTTAGGGATTCGTCATTTTTAAGCCACTCAACCTAAATCACACAGAATTATTATTATTATTAAATACTTTGTGGAAAATATTACCTTTGGAAACGGTTCACCGGCCACATGACACAACATGGTGGCATCTTCACCAGGTCTTTTGGATTGTATAGTGGGAGTTACATGAACTTCTGGAACCGCTGTGGAAAAAGAGTTCCAATTTTATTCGTTGAAAATAAATTACGATTTTAAAGTTTTATTCAAACATAAAGATTGGCTCTTGGCAAATGGATGCGGTTTGCTTTTCCAATTCGTTTCGTTGTTTTATGAATAATAAGAAGGTTATATTTAACAAAAACTTTAATCAACTAAAAGTTTCATCTGCAAATAAGAAGCGTTGATTTATTTGATTAATTTTAATTAAAACTTAATATTATATTATAATCCCTGCATTCTACCGGATTCTTTTTAGGTCTTCAATATTATTTGGTTTAGTGACATAAAGTTTATTTTTAAGGTAATCACGCAGAAAAAATTAATCAGCGGTTCTGGCGAATATGCTATTTTTAAATGAATGGAAGAATAAAGTGATGAAAAACTGAAAAGATGAAAGGAGAAAATAATAAAAAAATACAAAAATGAAAAGAGGTAAGAATGAAAGATTGAAAAAATGAAACAATGAAGGGATGAAAGAATGAAAATATAAAAGAATGAAATGGTGAAAGCGATTTGTTGCTTCCATTTTACAAACATTTCCTTGGCAATTTTGGATTCGTTTCGTTAAATAATCAAGAAACTTTTTTATATATATATATAAGACATTTTTACAGTCAATTTAAAAACTAATTTTGAAGAACTAAAATACAAAATTTCTGTTGAATACCAAAATAAATAATACTATAAAAACGAGATTTCAAATGATGCATCACAAGACATACATTTTTGATTAGGTTGTTTTCAAGATACATAATTTAATTCAGTTAAGGTTTCCACCCTGTATACCGATATTGCACTAATATCCCGGCGAATTCACCATTTTTGAAACTAGGAATTAACAATTTTTTTTAAACATAAAACTTTCTTACTTTTGTGCTATTATAATAATTAGATTTTTAATCAATAGAAAAATCAGAAAAACAATAGTTTATTTGATAAATTGCTATGGATTTTAAATTTATAATTAATGTTATTTTTAATCCATTTATTTTCAAGATACATAATTAATTTCAGTTACAGGGTTATGCACTAATATCCAGTCGAATTCACCATTTTTTGAACTAAAAATTAACATTTTTTTAAAAACATAAAACATTCTTATTTTTGTGCTATAATAATTAGAGTATCAGTCAAAAGAGAAATCAGAAAAAAACAACAGTTTATTTGATAAATTGCTTTTGAGTTTTGAAGTTATTAAAATTTAATGTTATTTTTTGTCCATTTATAATACATAATTTATTTCAGTTAAGGTTTCCACCCTGTATACCGATATTGCACTAATATACCGGCGAATTCACCATTTTTGAAACTAAAAATTAACATTAAAAAAAAATATATAACATTCTAATTTTTGTGCTATAATAATAAGAGTATGAATCAATAGAGAAATCAGAAAAAACAACAGTTTATTTGATAAATTGCTTTGGAGTTATTAAAATTGAATGTTATTTTGTATCCATTTATTTTTAAAACAAGTGATTTGTAATCAAATTTATTATACACTTTTTTATATATATAATAATAATAATAGTCATTTTTAATTAAAATTATATAAAATCTGACAGGCATATGCCTGTCAGACAGATATCTATATTTCGTCACCTGAGTATTGGTTTGTGCTATCTCCATTTTTTACCATTTTGAGGTTTATGCATTTTCGGAAAGTTGAAGTTGGTTTGTTCCATCTCCATAATAGTATTATGATATAATTGTGTCAGTTTTTAGTTTAGGTTAATCTAAATCCGAGTTTAGTTTAAAAGGTTTACTCTATCTCCAAAATTTCGCTTACAGGCTTTCTTTTGCTCTGTGTTTGTAAAAATCTAAAAATATTTTATAACTGTTTTGTGCTATCTCCAAGGAAAGCTTCCTTATAAGTATAAAATTGTTTTGTTCTATATCCACTTTAGCCAGTACACGTTTTTTCACCTATTTACATGTATATGACATTGTATTTTGACAATAATTATAATTATAATTAATAAAATAAAGTGTTTTTTGATTCAGTTTTGTTTCATGTCCTAAAACTTTGTTATATGTCCAACATTTAGTTTCTAAAATCCAAAAATAGCACTTTTTGTTTTATCTCCAAAAGGTTTTTTCCAATATTGAGGCATAAATCCAAATTTGAGATAAGAGTTGCTCAATAGAACTAATTAAAGGCTAAACAAGAATATTGTTATTAATGTTCAATTAAGTTTTTATTAAAAAACAAATAGGATATTTAATGTAAAAGTTTCAAACCCGTTTATCTCGATTATAACGTATTGGACATAGAACAAATCAATACTCAGGTGACGATTTATCTATGAGCCGAATTTAAATGTATTTGTTTGTATAACCTTTAAGATTGTTAATTCTTTTTAAATAAAATGGAGTCGATAAAAATTAAAACTTCCAAGAAAAAAGCAAATGCACGCGAAGAGCACATTCTATTGGTAAAAGGCGTTGCTTGCAAAACCGATTGACAGATAGCGTACCGAGCCTTCTGGGGAATAGATAAATAAATAAACAATAACAAGAACTTACTGTGGACGGTGAGAACGTGGGTCTGCACGACGTCCTTGTTCCTCTGCGCGTGGCAGGTGTAGTTGCCGGCGTGCTGCAGCTGGATCCTCGTAAGATAGAGGCTGCCGTCGCTGAAGACTCGAACGTCCTCCTCGTTGACGGTCGACAGGTCGACCCGGTTGCGACGCCACACGATCGGCGGCACCGGCGACCCCGTCACGTCGCACTTGATCTCCACGTTGTCGCCCACGCGAGCCGTCAGCCGGTTCGTCTCCAGCGCCTTGTCTAAAGACACGACAGACACGCCTAGAAACGAATTTTTCCGGTTTTGTATCGAAGATGACGCGCCACAATTTTAAAAATTTAAAAGTTCCTTTAAATTGTTAATATTGTCCAATTTGTCAGTGCTTCGTTTCAAATGTGTTCCAGATGAATGAAAATGAAAGAATGAAGGCATGAAAGTATAAAAGAATGAGTATTAAAGGATGAAGGGATAAAATAATTAAAGAATGAAACAATGAAAGTATCACAAAGGATATAGGAATAAAATAATGAAAGGGTGAAAGAATGAAAGTATGAAATGATGAAGGGATGAAAGAATGAAAATTATTAAGAATGAAACAATAAAAGTATGTGAAAGAATGGAGTATAAAAGAATGAAAGTATAAAAGAATGAAAGGATGATACAATTAAAGTTTCAAAGGATATAGAGATGAAGTAATAAAAGGGTAAAAGGAGGAAAGTATGAAATGATGAAGAGATGAAATAATGAAAATTGTTAAGGATGAAACAATAAAAGTATGAAAAGAAAAAAGGACGAAAGAATGAAAGAATCAAAAGATTAAAAAGTGTAATAATGAAAGTATAAAAGAATGAAAAGATAAAATAATGAAGGGATAAAATAATGAAAGGATAAAACAATGAGGGCGAAAGGATAAAAGAATCAAAAGATGAAAGGGAGAAAGAATGAAAGTATGAAATAAAGAAAGGAAGAAGGGATGAATGAATGAACGAATAAAACAATGAGTATTAAAGGATAAAGGAATAAAATATTTAAAAAAATGAAACAATGAAAGTATAAAAGAATGAAAGGATAAAGCAGCAATAATAGTATGAAAGGATATAGGGATGAAAGAATGAAAGGGTGAAAGGATGAAATTATGAAATGATGAAGGGATATAATAATGAAAATTATTAAGGATGAAACAATAAAAGTTTGAAAGAATGTCTAAAGACACGACAGACACGCCTAGAAACGAATTTTTCCGGTTTTGTATCGAAGAGGTCGCGCCACAATTTTAAAAATTTAAAAGTTCCTTTAAATTGTTAATATTGTCCAATTTGTCAGTGCTTCGTTTCAAATGTGTTCCAGATGAATGAAAATGAAAGAATGAAGGCATGAAAGTATAAAAGAATGAGTATTAAAGGATGAAGGGATAAAATAATTAAAGAATGAAACAATGAAAGTATCACAAAGGATATAGGAATAAAATAATGAAAGGGTGAAAGAATGAAAGTATGAAATGATGAAGGGATGAAAGAATGAAAATTATTAAGAATGAAACAATAAAAGTATGTGAAAGAATGGAGTATAAAAGAATGAAAGTATAAAAGAATGAAAGGATGATACAATGAAAGTTTCAAAGGATATAGAGATGAAGTAATAAAAGGGTAAAAGGATGAAAGTATGCAATGATGAAGAGATGAAATAATGAAAATTGTTAAGGATGAAACAATAAAAGTATGAAAAGAAAAAAGGACGAAAGAATGAAAGAATCAAAAGATTAAAAAGTGTAATAATGAAAGTATAAAAGAATGAAAAGATAAAATAATGAAGGGATAAAATAATGAAAGGATAAAACAATGAGGGCGAAAGGATAAAAGAATCAAAAGATGAAAGGGAGAAAGAATGAAAGTATGAAATAAAGAAAGGAAGAAGGGATGAATGAATGAACGAATAAAACAATGAGTATTAAAGGATAAAGGGATAAAATATTTAAAAAAATGAAACAATGAAAGTATAAAAGAATGAAAGGATAAAGCAGCAATAATAGTATGAAAGGATATAGGGATGAAAGAATGAAAGGGTGAAAGGATGAAATTATGAAATGATGAAGGGATATAATAATTAAAATTATTAAGGATGAAACAATAAAAGTTTGAAAGAATGTCTAAAGACACGACAGACACGCCTAGAAACGAATTTGTCCGGTTTTGTATCGAAGATGTCACGCCACAATTTTAAAAATTTAAAAGTTCCTTTAAATTGTTAATATTGTCCAATTTGGCCTATCCTATTGCGCATTAAACCTTGTCACAGTGCTTTGTTTCAAATGTGTTCCAGATGGACTGTTGCGGTCTTTTGGATCCCATCAGTGCTGGGTAACACATCTGAAACCAACTGCTACCGCGGCACTATGGTCAAAAAGCAGCGTTTTGCGGAAAAAATTCTTAATTTTGTGCTATAATAATTAGAGTATCAATCAAAAGAAAAATCAGAAAAAACAACAGTTTATTTGATAATTGCTTTTGAGTTTTGAAGTTATTAAAATTTAATGTTATTTTTGATGCATTTATTTTCAAGATACATAATTAATTTTAGTTAAGGTTTCCACCTTGTATATGCACTAATATCCCGGTGAATTCACCATTTTTTGAACTAAAAATTAACATTTTTTTAAAAACATAAAACATTCTAATTTTTGTGCTATAATAATTAGAGTATCAATCAAAAGAGAAATCAGAAAAAAAACAACAGTTTATTTGATAAATTGCTTTTGAGTTTTGAAGTTATTAAAATTTAATGTTATTTTTTATCCATTTATTTTCAAGATACATAATTAATTTCAGTTAAGGTTTCCACCGTGTATATGCACTAATATCCCGGCGAATTCACCATTTTTTGAACTAAAAATTAACATTTTTTTAAAAACACAAAACATTCTAATTTTTGTGCTATAATAATTAGAGTATTAATCAAAAGAGAAATCAGAAAAAAACAACAGTTTATTTGATAAATTGCTTTTGAGTTTTGAAGTTATTAAAATTTAATGTTATTTTGTATCCATTTATTTTCAAGATACATAATTAATTTCAGTTAAGGTTTCCACCGTGTATATGCACTAATATCCCGGCGAATTCACCATTTTTTGAACTAAAAATTAACATTTTTTTAAAAACACAAAACATTCTAATTTTTGTGCTATAATAATTAGAGTATTAATCAAAAGAGAAATCAGAAAAAAACAACAGTTTATTTGATAAATTGCTTTTGAGTTTTGAAGTTATTAAAATTTAATGTTATTTTTTATCCATTTATTTTCAAGATACATAATTAATTTCAGTTAAGGTTTCCACCGTGTATATGCACTAATATCCCGGCGAATTCACCATTTTTTGAACTAAAAATTAACATTTTTTTAAAAACACAAAACATTCTAATTTTTGTGCTATAATAATTAGAGTATTAATCAAAAGAGAAATCAGAAAAAAACAACAGTTTATTTGATAAATTGCTTTTGAGTTTTGAAGTTATTAAAATTTAATGTTATTTTGTATCCATTTATTTTCAAGATACATAATTAATTTCAGTTAAGGTTTCCACCGTGTATATGCACTAATATCCCGGCGAATTCACCATTTTTTGAACTAAAAATTAACATTTTTTTAAAAACACGAAACATTCTAATTTTTGTGCTATAATAATTAGAGTATTAATCAAAAGAGAAATCAGAAAAAAACAACAGTTTATTTGATAAATTGCTTTTGAGTTTTGAAGTTATTAAAATTTAATGTTATTTTGTATCCATTTATTTTCAAGATACATAATTAATTTCAGTTAAGGTTTCCACCGTGTATATGCACTAATATCCCGGCGAATTCACCATTTTTTGAACTAAAAATTAACATTTTTTTAAAAACACAAAACATTCTAATTTTTGTGCTATAATAATTAGAGTATTAATCAAAAGAGAAATCAGAAAAAAACAACAGTTTATTTGATAAATTGCTTTTGAGTTTTGAAGTTATTAAAATTTAATGTTATTTTTTATCCATTTATTTTCAAGATACATAATTAATTTCAGTTAAGGTTTCCACCGTGTATATGCACTAATATCCCGGCGAATTCACCATTTTTTGAACTAAAAATTAACATTTTTTTAAAAACACAAAACATTCTAATTTTTGTGCTATAATAATTAGAGTATTAATCAAAAGAGAAATCAGAAAAAAACAACAGTTTATTTGATAAATTGCTTTTGAGTTTTAAAGTTATTAAAATTTAATGTTATTTTTTATCCATTTATTTTCAAGATACATAATTTATTTCAATTGTTTCCACCCTGTATATTGCACTAATATCCCGGCGAATTCACCATTTTTGAACTAATTTTTTTTTTTTTAAACATAAAACATTTTAATTTTTGTGCTATAATAATTTAAGTATCAATCAATAGAGAAATCAGAAAATACAACAGTTTATTTGAGAAATTGCTTTTGAGTTTTGAAGATATTAAAATTTAATGTTATTTTTTATCCATTTATTTTCAAGATACATAATTAATTTCAGTTAAGGTTTCCACCGTGTATATGCACTAATATCCCGGCGAATTCACCATTTTTTGAAGTAACATTTTTTTTAAACATAAAACATTCTAATTTTTGTGTTGTAATAATTTGAGTATCAATCAATAGAGAAATCAGAAAAAACAACAGTTTATTTGATAAATTGCTTTGGAGTTTTGGATCCCATCAGTGCTGGGTAGCAATATGTTTTGGAACACATCTAAAACCAACTGCTACCGCCGCACTATGGTCAAAAGGCAGCGTTTTGCGGAAAATAATTTAATAACTTTTTTATTACAAATAAATATTAATATTTTAATTTGTTAAATAGGACTTATTACGTATAATAATAACTATATTTTAATCGAAAATTTCAAAAGTTTTTATTTTTTTTTAAATTAAATTTTTAATTTTAGATTATCATAAAGCACTGTTTTGCGGAAATAATTCACAAACTTTTTTATTAAAAATATATATTACTTTTTTCTTTTTTCATGTATTATATAAGGATTATTACGTATAATGAACTATATTTTAATCAAAAAACATAACGGATTTTATTTTTTAGATGGTCCTAAAGCATCAATTGAGGAAATAATCAAAATGCTTTTTTATTGCAAACAAATATTTTTTGTACTGTATTAAATATGACTTTTGTAGATGTTCGCGGTGAAACGATTGCAAAAATAATTCAATACCTTTTTATTGTTTATAAATACATATTCCCTTTTCAAACATTCTCCTTTTATAATTTTAAAGTTATTCAAACAACGATGTGATAACAACCACTTTGTCTTAAACTTATATCAAAATGTTAATTTAATTTTTTTCATAACAAGTGTGAATTGATTTTCATCCAAATTTGAAAATATTCTCTTTAAATTTAAAAACTGAAAAGTACCGCAAAAAGTAGTACCTACCCATTTTAAAAAATCACAAAATGCAATATTCCAAGTTAAATTTGCTTATTAATTAATTTATAAAATATTTTTCCTTTAAGATACCTACAAAGCAAAGGGTTATCTATTAATTAAAACCTAATAATTTGTTATGAATAGGTAATTAATTATTATTAAAATATTTTTCCTTTAAGATGCCTACCAAGCAAAGAATTGTTATTATAAGTTTTTCTGCATTATTTGTATTTAAATTAATTGAAATAAATGTGTATTATTTCGTATTTTAATAGTATATTGCAATTTTATATAATATAATTATATGATTTATTTATATTAAATTATTTTGATAATAAATAACTAAGATCCCCTTTTGTTCAGTTTTTTAGTTTTAGTTGAGGGTTTTGGTTGTATTTAATAATATCTGACAGCATCGGCTGATTAAATTAAAATGAGACAAACGCACATATAAACAATTTACACAATCCATTGGGTATGACAATTAATTAATTCTAACTGATTTGTAAAATTAGTTAAATTTAAATTATCTTTTATAATCCGGTATTAATAATGACGTGTTCGCACAGTTCAGGTGGACAGCTACCTGTTAACAGGATTATGCAGCTTTATATGTATAAAATATGTTTTTATGGGTAAAAATACGAAAATTCTGTTTCAATTTCAATTTAATTTAAAAATGTGTTTTATCGCAAAAATAAGCTAATGCTAATATTCGCGAAGTATTTTGGAACATGAACACCTCAATAACTACATTAACCAAAAACGTGCGGTAGCATCAAATTAAAAGTTTTGGTAGTCATTTAGAAGCAATTTAAAATAAATCGGCAAACACTTGTAAATTATATTGAGTTTGATTTTTATTTGTTTTGCTGTCAAAAACAGAAATAAGGATTTACAAAAGCTACTGTTAAATTTTAATTTAATTCAGCTTTTTTTGGGTGAAACGTCAAAGTTTACGAGACTCAGGAAAAACGGCGTAACTTACTGTAAAGTTTGCTGAAAGCGACGTAGAACTCATTGATGCTCAATTTCCCGTCGTGGTCCGTGTCGTCGTATTGTATCATATTCGATAGCGAGCAGCCATTGCTCAAAGCGTCTAGACGCTCTTGCACGGCGATCTGAAAATGGCAAAAATAAACACTTCGCTACAAGAAATCCAAAACAAAAAGGCTTCGCAGAAAGCGACGCAGCTTCAAGTAAAGACAATCAAATTCTTTTACGAATAAATATGATAAAATTAAAAAAAAATTATAAATTCAAAATGCACTCACAGGCAAAATAATCGATCCACACAAATTTTCAATGAATTTCAATCGCAAATAACTTTTTTATTTGATTTCGGATTTAAACAAATATTAAAGAATATTGTAGATAAATAAATGGAGAATCGCTCACATTTTAAAAATTACTAAAAAATAGACGTACGTTTATAATATACAGGTTTAAACAAAAATATGTTTTTTACCATACGTTTAAGACGCTCTGTAGAGTGGCAAAACCGTTTATTGTTCTAAATTAAGTTTTATTTATCAAGTCACATCTATTTTTAACATTTTTGTTTTTGGTTCACCTCGATATATTTATTTTTGTTGAAAATATGGATTAAAAAAAAAATATTGCAATTTCCAATATTTTTCCTGTTTGAAGAACTAAGGTTGCTATTTTCTATCCATAGCCTATGGAGGATGTCAGTAACAGTTTTATTGAATCATCCCATACTTGGACATGTTATACACGGCTTTCAAAAGCTATCAAATTGTTTTTTGCAAATTAATGTTTAAATTTTGAGGTGTCTTCTTACTTTAAAAAATGGATATGTCTCCGACTGATGTTGCCAGAGCCATTAATTTAATCCAGGATGGACGGTCACAGTATTACGTGGCAAGTGTTTTAAACGTCACAAGAAGTAAAGATCAAAAGGCAACATCAGTCGGAGACATTTTTAAAAGTAAGAAGACACCTCAAAATTAACAAATTAATTTACAAAAAACAATTTGATAGCTTTTGAAAGCCGTGTATGACATGTCAAAGTATGGAATGATTCAACAAAACTGTCACTCTCCATAGCCTATGGATGGATCATAGCAACCTTAGTTCTTCATACAGAAAAATATTGGAAATTGCAATGTTTTTTAAAAAAATCCATATTTGCCACAAAAATAAATATATCGAGGTGAACCAAAAACAAAACTGTTAAGAATAGATGTGACTTGATAAATGTTTAATTAGTATTATTGCGTTTGAGACGTATATTGATGTGCTCCGATTTATATGCTAAAATAAGCGTGTTTATAGTGGGATGAAATACAAACTTCTTGTGGATAACTTTTCTTAAGTGTAGTAACGATGAGTTTGACTGTTTTGTTTGTGTTTTTGACTAATGGTGATAGTGAAATTAATTTAAGTTATTACTAATTTATTATCCCATAAACAATTATTAACCAAACAAAAAGTCGATGCATCAAAAAAAAAAAGAACAGAACAGAGAGGAAAAAACTACTTATAAAAACTGTTTAAATTATTTAAAAAAAAGGTTTAAGTTATTTGCCCCAGGTTGGGATTGAACCGGGGTCGCCGCGGCGGTTCGGAGCCTGATCGGTTCCCTAACTGATTGTGCTACAATCGCTATATCCGTAAAATGGCTTCTACTGATGAAAGTATTAAAACTTGTAAAAGATGTTCTAGACCACCTAAAGTATTTGTAAAATGCATTAAGTGTGAAGCAATTTTTCACCCCAGTTGTGCTGAATCTAAAAAGGTTAAAGTTATTAATGAAAAGGAGATTCTATGTTGTGTAAACACTGAAGAAAATTCTTCTCAAGTAAATCCTACAATTATGCCAATGGCAACCGAAGATCCTTTACAGATTGAAATTTACTATCTAAAGGAAATTATTAAACAAAAAGATCTACTAATTGACAGTCAAAAAATAACCATAAATTCTTTAATGGATCAAATAAAGATTATAAACAGCAATAACAAAAATAATAAGGCTAATGAAAATCAAAAGTCTTCTATAAAAACAAAAATAAATAAAGAACAAAATACAGTTGAAAACAAAAGTTCCAACACTTTAAATAATAAAAATATTGCTCCATCGTTGCCAAAAAATGTAGTTACAGCGCAAGATGTCTCTCCAGCGATAATGGAGGCTGAAACGAAGAATTTGTGCGATAAATATATTAATATTGTAAAAACCCCTGATACAAAAGAAAGTTACAATGAAGTTGTCAAGAAACATAAGAAAAAAACACCCATAGTTGTGGGAAACTCAACCAATCCTGGTTGCGCGTTGAAGGTTGTCCCTAGAAAATCCTTTGTCTATATTTCACGGTTGGATCCAAAAACTAAGTGTGATGATTTAGTCAATTTTTTGAAGGACCAATTTCCAGAAGTTTTATGTGATGTAGTCCAGTCAAAGTTTCCGGATAAATACTCGTCATTCAAATTGACAGTAGATATCAATAACTTTGAAAAAATAATGAAGCCTGAGCTTTGGCCTCAGGGAACGTACTTGGGAAGGTTTTTTCACCCCAGAGTAAAGACCAAACCAACGCCATGAAATCTTTTTCAAAAAAACATATAAACATATACTATCAGAATGTTCGTGGTCTTAGAACCAAACTTACAGAACTACAAAACAATGTTTTAACATCAGAATTTGACATAATTTGTCTAACAGAAACATGGTTAAAAGAAGAGATTTCTACTGCTGAACTAAACCTTACATCTTATAATGTGTATAGAGCTGATAGAAATTCTTCTACTAGTAAATTTGAGCGTGGGGGTGGTGTTCTTATTGCCGTCCATAAATCATACGTATCAAGTATTGTTCATATTGATGAAAGTAACGTTGAACAAGTGTTCGTATTTGTCAAATTACCATCTAAAAAATTTTTAATTGGTGTTGTTTATCTTCCCCCCAACTCTACTGTCGATGTATATAACTCCCACTGTGCTAGTGTTGAATCATTGATGGACAACCTGGATGATGATGTAACATCTTTATTCTATGGCGACTACAATCTACCCGACACGCAGTGGCTCAATGACGAACATGGTGTACGTGCATCTGGTCAAATAAGTGAAAAGTGTCGTTTAGTCTCCGACTGCTTCGCGCTTTGTAATCTGTATCAAATCAATGTTGTGAAAAATGTTTATAATAATATGCTTGATCTTGTTTTTTGTAATGATTTAAGTGTTATTACGGAAATGGCTAATGATAACTTGTTACCATGTGATAAATATCATCCGGCTATCTGTTTGAGAATATGTTTGTCTAATTCCAATAATGAAATAGAAACTGAATATTTTTACTTTGATTTTAAAAATGCAAATTTGTCTAGTCTTAATGAACATTTAAATATTGTTAATTGGAATGTTGTTTTTGCTAGTAATGATGTAAATATTTGTTTGAATTCCTTTTACGAAATTTTAAATTACATGTTTTCATTATATGTCCCTAGGAAGAAGGTAGTAAAGCATACATTTCCTCTTTGGTTTTCAAATGAGCTAAAACATCTTATTTTCCAAAAAAAAATTGCTCATAAAGAGTTTAAGCGGTCCTCTAGTCATTTTAATTATAATAAATTTAGTGTTCTGAGAAATCAGTGTAAAATCTTGACCGCCGAGTGCTATAGATATTATATAGATTCCCTGGAAAGAAACATCAATTGCAACCCTCAATATTTTTGGAAGTATGTGAATACTAAAAAAAAGAATAACCTCATGCCAAATAAAATGTCTTATAATAATGTTACATCTGATAATACTTTTGAAATTTCAAATTTATTTGCCGATTTTTTTAGCTCTGTTTACGTAAAAAATTGTGATATTAAAGTACCTGATTATAATTATGCTAGTAATTTACATTTAAATAACTGTAGTATTCGTGAACGTGATGTATTCGATGAATTGTCTAAATTAAATGTTTCTAAGGGTGCTGGTGCTGGTCCTGATGGTGTCCCTTCTTTAATTCTTAAAGAATGTAGGTTTTCCTTGGTTAAACCCCTAACTGAGCTGTTTAATATGTCTCTAAATAATTGTGAGTTTCCGGCCGTTTGGAAGGAAAGCTTTATTATACCTCTTCATAAAAATGGTGACAAAACTAATATTAAAAATTATAGACCAATTTCAAAAATATCCCAGATCCCTAAGATATTGGAAAAAATTGTTAATAATAAAATAACGCCTTTGTTTAGAGATGTCCTAATCAAAGAACAGCACGGTTTTTGTAGAGGTAAATCTACGGCAAGTAATTTAATTCTTTTCGAACAAGACCTGTTGAATGCTTTGGAAAATCAAAGTCAAGTAGATGCTATCTACACTGACTTTTCCAAAGCATTCGACATAGTTAATCATAGTATTCTACTTAATAAATTAAAAGCCTTGGGAATAACTGGGAAATTATTGCATTGGCTAAAAAGCTATTTGAGTCATAGGACACAGATAGTACTTATTAACAACCATTTTAGAAGCAAAACAATTAGTGTTACGTCTGGTGTTCCTCAAGGTGGTCATCTCTCTCCACTTTTGTTTAATTGTTTCATAAATGATATTGGTGATAACATAAAATTTTGTAAATATTTACTTTTTGCCGATGACTTAAAGCTTTACAAAGTTATTAAAGATATTGAAGACTGCTGTGACATCCAGGAAGACCTAAATCAAATACAAATATGGTGTGATAGAAACTTAATGAAACTAAATGTGAATAAATGTAAAACCATAAACTTTTATAGAGTTAAAAATGCTGTTGTTTTTCCGTATAGTTTAAATTCTGTTATTTTAGAAAATGTAAGTGTAATCAAAGATTTAGGCGTTTACTTTGATACCAAGGTTACTTTTAATGAGCACATTGATCAAATGGTAAACAGAGCTCTAAAAATGCTGGGGTTTTTAAAACGTAGCTTAAGAGATTTTAACAATATTTATTGTATAAAAAATGTATATATGTCCTTTGTACGTAGCATCCTGGAATATTGTTGTGTTGTTTGGTGCCCACATTTTTCAAATTTGGAAAACAAAATTGAAAAAGTTCAGAACAAATTCCTTCGTTTTTGTGCTTATAAGTTAAATGTGAGTACTGAAAACCTAGACTATATGTTTATGAGAGAGTTAATCGGCCTAAAATTACTTTCTGTTAGAAGAACCGAACATGGTCTGGTTTTTTTGTATAAACTTTTAAATAATTTAATAAACAGTCCTGAGCTGCTTCAAATGATACACTTTAATATTCCTCAAAGGCAAACGAGGCAAAAAAATTTGTTTTACTTAAAAACACAAAGAACAGACTATGCTAGATTTATGCCACTAAATCGAATATGTGCGAATGCGAATAAGCTAGAAATAGACTTTTTTAATGTTTCTTTGCCAACATTTAAACATAAGCTCAGAACGAATTTTTAACGTGTCGTAATATATGTATATGTGTATATATTTATTGCATTGTTTACATTGTGTTGTATAGGATTCTTGTATTTGTATATATATTGTAAATTGGCCATACCGTTAATAAAGTTATTATTATTATTATAAAACTTAATTTAGAACAATATACTGTTTTGCCACTCTACAGAGTGTCTTAAACTTATGGTAAAAAACATATTTTAGTTTAAACCTGTATATTATAAACGTACATCTATTTTTTGGTGATTTTAAAATGTGAGCGATTGTCCATGAATTTATCTACAATATTCTTTAATATTCGTTTAAATCCGACATCAAATAAAAAAGTTATTTGCGATTGAAATTCATCGAAAATTTGTGTGGATCGATTATTTTGCCTGTGAGTGTGTATAAATAATTTTTCTCAAAAATGGCGGATGCGCCGGGATAATATCTAGATATATTATCCCAACGCATCCGCCATTTTTGAAAAAATACCTACAATTTGTACACATTTTATTTTTAACATTATAAAATAACCAGTCTGCCAATTTTTTTACAAATTTATCCAATGAAATTGAATTAGGATTGTCTGCTGAGCAGCCTGTTTCAGCAATTTAATAATGTTTCATGAAAGTGCATCCTTTAATTCATTAAAACAAATATGGAAAACCCGTGAATTTTAAAAGCTTAATAATCAAATTTTAAACCAATTTAGATAGAAAACAAGTTCCCTTAAAACCTTTGCAGTAAACATTTTTATTTACATTAAAATATTTTGTTTGTTGCTAATTTGCGTGTGTGCTATTTCTAGTAACAACAACAGAAAAAGATTTTTAATTAATTAGCATTAAAAAATACGCTTGCATCTAAAAGCTCGGTTTACTCACCTCGTTTAGTTCCGTCGCCTCCAAGTTTCCATTGTTGTTTCTGTCATAGTGCGAAAACATAATGGATACTAAGTAGTCCTTGCTATGATTGTCCTGGGACATCAGCCGTGCGTGGTTGTACAACAGCAAATTATCCTGCAAAGAACAAGCCCCGTCACCGTGATAAATTATCGAAAATTTCTTTTTGGCTCGCTTTTTCCATTTTCCGCAGTCGTTTCTTATTTCCCGCCACGTGCGCAGCAAATTGGATTATTGACAATACAAATGGAGGAGGTTTGTTTTTAAATTAATTTTCTAAGGGTTTAACAAAACAGAACGGTACTTAAAAAACTTCAGCTACTCTACTTACTAAAATATTTTAAAAAGCAAAAACAATTTTGTTTTATAAACTCGACCATTTTGTGTTTTATATCAGCTGAGTCATGAAAAAAAACAATAATATAAATGTTGCTTTGAATATCAATTTTTAAATTGTTAATTACGAAAAATTTCAAACGTAAACAAAAACTGATAAAACTGTTAAAATCATATTTTTTATATGGTTTTATTAAAGCGTAAGCAAAACATGATTTTACAGCATACCACAGTTTTATAATTAAAAAAATGTTTGTTCATTAAGTTTTTATAAACATTTCATTGCCATTTTATGAAATATAACACAGTACGACAAAATTTGATTTTTTCTCTCCCATAAAAAATTTCTATAGATTTTGAAAATAGACTTAAAAAAATGATACCCGTGCCTCGGCGTTTTTTCAGATCACGTAATTTTTTTTAAGTGCGATCCAATAAATTGTTACCCACGGTATTCGGTATATAATATAACAGCTAGACGGTATATTTTTATAAAAAATTTATTCACTGAATAACTGGACAACTATTGAAATTTTTTATTTATTTTAAAATTATTTTAATTATATACAGGGTGTTGCACATTTAAGAAATACGGGTGTTTAACGTTCATGCATGGTCCATTGAGAGTTTCTGAGGAACGGCAAAAGATATCGATTTGAAATTTTTAAAGCGTTTTTAATTCAATTAAGCATATTTTTATAAAATATTTTAAACAAAATGCCACTTCCGGCTTGGCCGGAAGTGACATCAACTTTGTTATTTTAAATGGAACACCCCATATATTTTTACACTTTTAAATTCTACATAAAATTACTGTATCATGTCCTATACCTAGAGTAAATAGTTTTGGAGTTATTAATTTTTCCGTTAAAATATGACAAATGCGCGTCAATAAAAAATAGCCTATAACTTTCTTGCTATTAGGTTTGCGGAAATAGGGGTGGAATTTTTGGAATCTTAAAACATTGTTTAAAAGATTCCATGTCAATTCCTTAACATACCGGGTGTAAAATAAAAAGTTATTAACGTTTCAAGTTAGCCCAATTTGCCCTGGGTTTTCTTGGGAAATTTGTTGAAAAATGTTAAAAAATTGACATGAATTCCAAACATTTTACCCCCATATCCGTAAACCTAATAGCAAACATCTAGAAAACTATTCACTTTAGGTATAGGACATGGTGTAGTAATTTTATGTATAATTTAAAAATGTAAAAATATATGGGGTGTTCTATTTGAAATAACAAAGTTGATGTCACATTCAAAATATTTAAAAAAATAGACTTAATTTCCGTTCCCCAGAAACTTCCAATGGACAACGAATATAAAACACCCTATATATCAAGTGGTGTTTTTAGGTTGTGATACCACTATAGATTCGAAAGCAATGTATAATCGTAAAACTATAATGTCAATATTTGTTTCCAACATATATTTAATATAAGATAAATACAAATCTGTTATGTTATTAAAAAAAATCAAAAATTAAAACCAGAAATATTTTTTTTTACTTAAAACAAAAATTAAATTGTTAGTATAATTTTTGTATTGTGTAAAAACATAAAATATTTAAAGAAAAAAAAATGATTTATAACAAAATAGAGAATTAAAAATCTGTTTAGGTTAAAATAATAATTATTATTTTAACCTAAACAGATTCTTAAGAATGGCTGTGTAAAAAATTTAAATGACGTGATTTTGTGAAACGGCAAGACACGGGTACGTTTTTTAACCTTTATTTTTAAAATCTGTTAAAAATTTTCATGTACTGTGTAATAATAATAATTATAATAATAATAATCTTTATTGAAAAAGGCTCTTGGGCAACGAACACAAATTTTTATTATTTCTTTTTTCACATTTTTTTGAACTAATGACAAATTTGTTTTATCAGAAATTAATAGTATATTATGTATCAAAATTGATAAAGGCCATTTTATACACGAATTTAATTTAGGCACGAGCGAGCTTGCGAGCGAGTGCTTAAGTTAATGAGTGTATAGAAAAGTTTATAAACGAGGTGCATACTATACTTTTTCTACGACAAATACTTATTATTATCTTAAAATGATTTAAATAAAAAATTTGTATAGAGTGCCATCTATGAAACAACAGGGGAAACTGTCAAATGTCACATTTTTACATTTTATAAACACAATTTAAAGGTTATAAATCGAAATTTATCTTAAAAATTGACAGTTTTTCACAGTGAAAGTAAAGGAAATGTTTTATGAGGACTTTACAGTAGAGTCCGTGCCCGAATTAAGTTATAGTTTACTGCCGGCGAAATTAAAAGGTCAGTACAATGTTCATATAAACTTTTTGAGTATTGTCGTTGAGAAACTAATTAATATTTTTGTATTTTTGTATTGAGATAAGAAAATAATTTTTACATTTAGTATTATTTTACAAGAAAGGCACTTTATTTTAACGATTGTATGACATTTGACAACTGTCAAATAACTTAAAACTAACTTCAGCCCGTGACTAAAAACCTGTTGCTAACTTCAGCCCGTGACTAAAGCGCCGTAAAGCCACAACTTGTCAATGTGTATTTAAAAGGTCACTTAGTGTCATGGAAACATGTACGATAAAGGGCGTTTTAAAGGTGGGAGTAGAAAAAAGTTTTTATGTCTAGTTTCTTAAGTATGAATTAAGAATTGTCTATTCAAAAATAATTTTTTCCTAAAAACATTCTATGTTACTGTGAGAATTTTAAACTTTTTAAAAAATGGGCCACACGAGTAATTGGGCTGTAGATTAAATAACTTCGTAAGTTCAATATTATAGACTTCATTATTTTTAAATCCAGAATAAAATTGAATTAATTGTGTTTTTTCCTCATTTAAGGTAAGTATATTTTTGTCAATCCATTCCTTAAGGGTGTTAATTGTTTGTTTTGTTGTTTTTAGAGCGTCTTCATCTGTTTTTGAGCTTAAAATAACACTTGTTTTGTCAGCAAAAGAAACAATTTTTCAACCTATTGAGTGGAAATATCAGTGGAAAATAAAACGAATATATAGTGCTAATTTTGTCAACAAATTTATTAACTATTTTAATCAAAAGTTAGCAATGTTAAGCAGATAACTTTGTACCATAATTAAAATAGGATTTTCTTTCTTTTTCCCTCAAAAAACCTCTCGAAAATAAATTAACAATCCGGTTTTTAAGAGTGCCTCCAAAAGAGTGACTTTTTTGAGAAAGACAAACTTAAAATTCTTACCTTCATTATCTCATATTCTTGCATTGAGCAGTCCTCCTTTTCGTAGTATAAATCAGATTTTCCGTTTTCCTCGTCCACGGGTATTTCGTTTTCCATATAATTATCTCCAGTGAGTGATTCGGATTCTTTTGACTGATACTGAAGCGAAAAGTTAAATAAATGTAAGTAAAAATACATTTATGTGTTTAATTTTAAAACAATTTCTTATTATATTGCCCTTTAACCAAGAGAGGTTTATCTTTCTTAATTATGTTAATTTTAACTACCTACAGAGCAACTTACATAAAGTTTTTTTACAGTATTTAATTGAGATTCCTTGACTGATAATACTGCAACAAAAACTTAAATAAAACCTTTCTTAGTTAAGCTCGAGTAAATTAGTTTTAAAGCGGTAAAGGGTAAAATAAAAGGAAGCCGGTGATTTTTGAGCTTTTAACTTTAGGAGGTTTCGTTGCTTTTATACTTAATGCATGAAAAGCGTTAGGTACCAATTGCAAAAACAAAATTTACTTTGTCATTTCATAACATTAAATTAAATTTTGATTTAAAAATCAGCCAATTTTCTATTTTTTCTTTTAGCGATTTTTTTTAAATCTATGTAGGGTAAACCACAGTTATTGGACACTTAAGGAATAATATTTATTTAAAATTTATATATGCCGTTGTTTTAAAGATTTTTGTTTTTTTCTTATAAATATATAAAAAGGATAGTTTGTTTGTTTAAACTTTATTTACCTTTACTTTAAAATAAGAATAATAGTTTTATAAAAACATGCAAAAAAGTATAGTAACAATTTTACATCAAATAGCATAAATTGTTAAATATTTTTTAAAGATAAATTGCTGTTTCAGGATTCTGAAGGTAACTACTAATTCCTTGATCTGACTTCTGAAATAGTTTGTTGCAAATATAATTAAGTGTGGTATCTCTAGTTTTTGAAGCATTTATAATGTTTAGTCCGGAACAGGATGATTTAAATATTATATATCTAATATTTTTTCGAGTGGTATGTTAAAAGTATTTTCCGAATTTATTAATTTTGTTGCTATTAGTTTTTTATGTTCTCTATCATGAACTGTATTTACATCACTGTTATTCTGCAAGATGTCCTGTGACGAAGAAATCACTATATTACTTACTCTCTAAAAATGAATTAGTCAAAAATGTCATAGCGAAAAAGCAGCCACTAATAATTCTCGTCAACAGCAATTTGTATCCAGGACATTTAGCAGTCAATTCCTAGGAAATATTATTCGCTGAATCCGAAAATATCGTCAAAAGTTATAAAAGTAGAACATTTTTTAAAATATAATCAATTTTACATATAATATGGAATTGTCTATATCTCAAAAACTGCTGAACTTTTATAGTTTTTGACGGTCTTTTCGGATTCAGGGGACAATTTTACATAAGAATTGGCTGGTAAATGTCCGGGATACAAATAGAGTATGATATTGGACATAAGTCCAATAATAGAAATTTAAATTTTTTACCAACCAGTAATTGGACACTGACCATTTTACTGTTTGTTTTCAGAATTAAAATTAAAACGCATTAAAGTGAAAATGTTTAAACCATAAGGAACACATGTATACTACACACTGATCTGTACACTTTTTAACAATAAAACAAAAATTTTACCACCAAAGTAACGTGCGAACTTTTTCGTCCTATATTGGACCCAAAATAAAGTAGTTCTATATTATTACCGACTGAGATAGTTATAATTGTATACAGCGTCATCTAATGATTTGACTTTAAGGTAACTATTTATAGAACTCTTGTTTTTACGGTATTAATGTTAATTGTCCAATAACTATAAAGTGTCCGATAACTGTCTACTTTAGCATACGATTTTGTTATCCATGAAAAAAAATTGAAAAAAATTAAACCAATAGTAACATGGTATAAATATTCCTATGCTTAGTTTTGGCAAATAAAAAGCGCAATATATACTTAAAACAACAATAAAACAAAAAAAAAAGAGAATTAAAAAAATTCTCTACAATTATAATTATAATTAAAGATTTTCGATTTTCTACTGCACAAGAACGACGGGCTAGGGTAATACAAGCCTTGGCAGCCATTATTCCAGAACAAATATGAAAGTTTATTGAAATAAATGGTGGATTAGTAGAGGTGACGAAAATCTTATTGTAGAGAATTTTTGGAATTCTCTATTTTTTGTTTCATTCTGGTTTTTAGTGTCTATGACGTTTTTTATTTGTTAAAACTAAGCATAAGGATATACCATGTTACTATTAGTTTTAATTTTATTTAAATGTTTTTTTTTCATGGATAACTTAACAGAATAATTTTTTGTAGATATTAATTATTGTCGTTCCTACTTAAAATGTTTTAATAAAATTTATAGATTTTTTTTTAATCTTAAAAATTTACTCTTAAAAACTGACACAGTAGGCTTGGTATTTAGTAAAAATATTCAAAGGCAGTGACAGTTCTATATGTAGTGTTATATAAAATCTTAAAATGAGTTGTAAAACAAGTAATTATGTTCTGTAAAATAAATGAAGTCAACTACAAAAAAAATATTAAAAAAAGTTATGGAAATAAAAATACTTGTATTTACTTAAATATAAAATTTCACACAATTTTCTTAGCATTCTTAATATTTAATACACATCCAACGAATTACATCAAACCTAATTATTTCAAGTGTCAATTAATTCAAATCAGTGCTTCTTGTTAAGCTGTCTTTTGAATTTAAATAGAACCATCAACGGAAGCCCATTTGACATGATTTGGAAACTAACAGAAACAATTAAGATAAATTACATCAAGCTAATTTGTCTCGATGTAGAGTTTATCTTTATCTACTCAATTAAGATAAGCTGATAAAATTATAGGTTACTTTTTGGGAAATTACTTTAACAAAGTTTAATTTTATAATTAGATATTTGGACTGATAAAAACGTTTCAATTAAAATTGTTAAAGTGAAGTTCAATTTCCGTAAAGTGGCTCGTTTATAAGCTAAATCTTGGTCTTATTGAACAAGACAATAGTAGTGAAATTATATATAACTCATATTTTCAATCATTCAGTCAAATAGGATCAGTTATAAACCAATATTATCAATCAACATGTGGATGTCGATGATAATTCAGTAATAATTAGTTATGCTATATGGACTATAATATGTATTTAGTGTTCTAGCGGGATTTCAGACATAATAATTGCGGTATTAATACCCAACAATGAAGGTTGAATGCCATTTTTGGGAGTACGAGGTGTGTTCAGAAAATAACGGGAATTGTTAAATTTCGCGGGTTCAGAGGGTCCGGTTGTCATAAAAAAAATTTTATTATGTTGGTATACATGCCCCCGAAGTATGATAAAAACTTTAGATGTTTTCATTGTTTACTTTGTCTGTTTCAGCAGCTAAGGTTAGACGTGTTTTATGAGCTCGGCGATTTTTCGTTCGTTAAAACAAATGTATCAAAGAAATTGCTTAAAAAATGAAAAAAATTCTGTGAAATGTTAACAAAGGCCTATAGTGAGTCTGCTTTAAGTAAAACAAGAGTTTACAAGTGGTATAAGAGTTTCCAAGATGGCCGTGAAGACGTTGAAGATGACGAACGCCCCGAACGAACAAGCACATATACAACCGATAAAAACATGGAAAAAGTGGAAGAAATGGTTGTAAACCATCAGAAAAGTCGCTGATGATGTTGGTATATCGATTGGCTCATCCCATGAAATTTTTTCGAATGTTTTGGGTATGAAACGCGTGGCAGCAAAATTTGTTCTAAAATTGTTAAATTTTGAATGATGCCCCAGCCTCCATATTCGCCAGACATGCCTCTGTCTGACTTTACCCTATTCCCAAAAATAAAGAGAACCTTAAAGGGCCGTCGTTTTGCAAGCATAGATGACATTAAAAGCGCATCGCTGAAAGAACTAAAGGCTATCCCAAAGATCGAGTTTTATAAGTGTTTAGAGTATTGGAAGAAGAGCTGGCACATGTGCATAATATCCAATGGGGACTATTTTGAAAGCGACAACATTAATGTAAACGAATAAACAAATATTTGTTTCAAAAAATGAAAATTCCCGATATTTTCTGAACACACCTCGTATTTACTAGCTAAGTTCAGTACGTTGTTACCCTTTCGAAATATTATTACAGTTTTTAACTTACAGAAATGGTTGGATTCCAGTCGTCCTCGTCATCATCGTCTTCCGGCTCTTCGGTGGTAAAATCTCTGTATTTGGTAGCTACCGTGGTTGTGGTGGTTGTAATCATATGGGCGGAAGGGACAGGGGCCCATCCTTTACCTAATCAAAGAAATATGTTAAAGGATCTTTCCACTTTATAAATCGGTTAAAATTTGTCCTTAATTCTCTATCTTTTGACTGATTTATGTGTTGGAAAACCGTTTTTCTTTAAAAGCACCTTTTAGTGGCTTAAAATGTGATTGTTTAAATTTAATTACGTTAAGCGATGTACTGGCGTGCAGTCATTTGTTTAACAATAGTTTTGTACGCATCAAGTTTGGCCGTGTTAAGGGATTATGTCGTTAAACTGTGTTTATTTAAAGCGATTAATCTTGCCTTCGTTCGATATAAATTGTTGTATTACAAATTTCGACAATAGAACGCAGAGTCGGCCTCATCAAGAATAGAAAGTTTTGTGATATGACGTGGTGATTTATTTCAGAAAAATCTTTAAAAAAATGTATTAACTGGGTGGTTCTACAAAAGTTGGACAACTTGATGTCATCAGTCAATAGAGTAGGTATTTTAATATTTTTTGTAAATATAAAGATCCAGGTTTTTTTAACTTGTCCACCCAATTTTAATGTATTTTTTCAAAAGCACGTTTGTAAAAAAACATAATAAATATTCAAAACATCAGTACCTTGGTGTGTCACAACTCCTGAGTCAAATATTTGAGTGGTTTTATTTTAAAATTTATTCAATTTATCTTAAATTTTTCAATTTCACTATAATAGTCACAGACCTACAAACAAGGTTGTAGGTCTGTGATAATAGTATAATAAAAAACTAATGTCATAAGGCGACAAAAGGTCTTATGACATGAGTTCTTTATGCTATTTTATCTATTTTGCAAAAATTCTATAAAAAAATTAATTTTATACCTTATATTTAATTTGGTCGAATTTTACTTTAGATGGTTGGTATCACAGTCATTGGTTTGAAAGGTTAATGTCAAAATCGATTCGCCATGGCGTCCTTAATTTACTTACTTACAATAAGCGGCTGTTAATGTTAAAGAAGAAAAAAAGGATTTTTTTTGGTAAACAAAATTCATTGCCAGAAAAGTCTCGTAAGTACAAGAAAAATCATAAAAATATTATAACCAATATGCAAAATATTATTTTACCTCATTACACCACCAAAAGCGGTGTTACAATGAAGTCATTATGACCGCAAAATAGATTAATATATTTATCCATCCTGAACAAAATGTATTACAGGTATGTATTTTATAGGCGTTATACCTAATTGATTTGTCGATTCTTATTTACATTCTTGCTTAGTAATTCTAAACATCGAAAAAGGAAAGAAAAAAATGTTTTGTCTAGACTTATATCGATGCCTTTAGATTACTTTGATAAATAGTTTGCTTTCGTATACATTGTGACTTTATGGCTCCATTATCATCATTTATTTTTATCATACTGTCATCAGTTTTTTCGGTGTTATTTTTTGCATCTTCCTTTTGTTTTTTAAGAGATTTGGTTGCTCTTTTATTAACATTAGGTGCAAAGAAAAGTGAGACGAACTACTTTTTGCACCCTTCAAAATTTTTAGAAATCATCTTTTTATAGAATTTTTAATTGGATCCTAGAATCCTCGTTGCCATTTTTATTTTTATTTGTATTCCATTATAATTGCTTTACGTAAATTAATAAAAAAATGTGCCAATTAAAATAAATTGGGTCAACAAGTTCTTACAAATTTTAATTGATTATACAATTTAGAACTTATAGGAAAAATTATTAAAGGAGTAAACAATCAATAAATACATATTTAATTATTTATTATATTTAATAAATATTATCCAATTTTTCTTTTCTTTCAGACAGCTTAATAGGTATGGATTTTTTGGACGACAGATTGTCTACAAAAACTAAAGAAATAATGGTAAAAAACCTTGAGGAAGTTGAGGTTTTAACTTTAAAACAACTTTGTTCTTGAAGCTGTCATAAATTTTTATTAATAATATGAAAACTCTTTGACCAAGTTATCGATTTTATACTTAATTTATAAAGCTTGCATGTAATGTACATGTATATTTTTATAATATAAACCGATATACATAAGTATAACCTATTATAAAAGTTTAGTCAAAATTAAAATCTTTACTTTAAAATATCATCTCGTGGATAAATCCTCATAATTTCATTAAATCCTTTTTTGAACGCCTATGGTCATCAATTATTTATAGAAAATTAAATGCTATACAAAACTTAAAATCTTAAAACTTGCAGAATACTTAGGATTTTAAAATAAGTAGTGACTAATCCACAAAAATTTTTTTTTTTAACTTTTTAATTGACCTAATTGACCAACAAGGACCGCGCTGTCCACCTGAAATCGGTGACCACGCGTCCAAGTGTTTGTTTCACTCCGTATGTCAGCCGAATAGACTAGTAGGTCAATTTTGGGTTCTCTCGTAAAATTTCTGTAAATTCGTTAATCTAAAGCGTAAGCTGATCTGTAACTATAATGCTAGGGTGTTCCTTATTTAGGGGTCGGAAAAAATTTAACAGAGCCGCCCCCCAAATCGGTTCCAAATCATAAAAAAAAATTCCTGCAAAATTTTAGGTCAATCGGTCAAAGGGAACACGTGCCCCACAGGGGTTTTTTAATAAATAATTGAGAAAATTCGGAAGGCTGATATAACTCCGAAACGGTCCATCGTAGGAAAAAAAAGTGTATATAAATTTTATGTGTTTTGTTTAGATAAACAACTTTCGTAATAACAGTCCTGCGTTAAAAAAATTTATTCGGGGTCAAAACGCGATAAAACGCTTTTTTGTGTACTTTAGCGCTACCTACTTTTTGAATTTTCTGTCCTAGAGCATCGACCCAATGACATAAATTGTAGGGGACAATGCACCCTACATTTTTTGTTGACAAAATTTTTTTCTTAAACTAACCGATTTTGAAAAAAATTAAATCCAAAACTTTTTGAGTTTTCACTAAAAACACGTTGTGCTCCGAAACTACGAAACGGTTTATCGTAGGAAAAAAAAGTTAAAATATATTTTGTAGTTTTTTTCAAGCTAATCAACTTTCCTAATGCCTTTGTCACAATAGTGTTAATGTTAATGGTAATGTTAATAAAGCATAGACAAATGCGGGTATCAACGTAACCATCAACATTACCATCATTGTGAACGGATACACGCATATTTCTATGCTTTGGGTATTAACATTAACATTACTATTAACATTAACACTATTGTGAGGTATAATAATAGTGCTGCGTTAAAAAAAAATCGAGTTCAAAAAGCGATACAACGCTTTTTTTGGTACTTTGGCCCTACCTACTTCTGAAATTTTTTGTTCTAGAGCATCGACTACATTTTTTGATTAAAAATTTTTTTCTAAATATTATCGTTTTTGAGAAAAATAAAATATAAAAAAATAAAAATTGAGTTTTCTCCTTAATCCGGAGTAGGATAACGCAGTTGAGTTTAGGCTTTTCTTATAAGGCCACAATGATTCACGCAAAAAAAAATCTTGCAAAATTTAAGATTAATCCGTCAAAACTAACACGTACGCACGCAAAACATTTTGAGCTTATTAAAAACTATTTAGAAAATTATATAAAGCTGAAAGAAGAACAATTAGGATTTGAAATGAAAAAAATTAAATTTTTAATTTTGACCTATTAATTTTTGACTAATTAGAATATTTATTTATTTTGTTGTTTATTTCTTTTTTGACCGAGTGGTTTATTTTTTTAAGAATATTATTTTATTTTATTTTCATATGTAAAATAAAAATATAGAGGTTTTATTATTATTAATTATTGTTTTATTTAGTCAAAATTGAAATTATTTCCAATGTAGTTGGCCCAGGCTGCTTGTCCCAATTGATAAATATTCCCATTATCATATCCACATTAACAATATTAAAAATATTCATGTTTTTAATCTTTAAAATAGTTTTACATAACCTAACAAAAACAAACTGTAACTAGCAACAATTTGGGAAACACCCGATCGTAAATATTTACGATTCTATAAGATTTTCTGTAAGCTACAGGAAGCGCAGAATTGCAAATTGTCTATAAGCTTATAGAAAGTTACAGATTTGCTTATAGATGCTTACAGATGTGCGCAGAATGGGGTAGTTCAATTTTTTCTGACCTATACTTTTTATGGTTTTATTCAAGGCGTTTTGTAATTTTAAACATTTCTGTGAAATCGGAATTTCAATTGAGTTTACCGTTTTCGAGATATTTACAAAAAAATTACGTCACTAGGCTATTGACAACGTTGCCAGCTTTTTCTATGGTTGCCAGTATGTTTAGTTTAAGATTCTTACGATAGATGGCGCCACGTTATAATATTTTAGTAATATGATACCTCATAATAAGGAAGATATGTAGGTATTTAATGAATTTTTTTACTATCTTTCACTCAACTGACAGTGACAGTATTTGTACATAACCTCTTCGGGTATTTTCTGACAATACCGAATGAAATAATTAACAAGACAACTTGACAACAGGGTAATTTTCAACCAATAGAAATCTTAGAATGTTGGTCACATGGCGAGGTTTGTCAAAAAAAAATTTATATTTTTTGTAAATATCTCGAAAACGGTAAACTCAATTGAATTTCTGATTTCACAGAAATGTTTAATATTACAAAACCCCTTGAATAAAACCATAAAAAGTATAGGTCAGAAAAAATTTAACTAGCCCATTGACCTATAAGTTCTTATTTCTTACCGTTTTTGACGCAATGCACCCCTTGCTGAACGGTGACGGCGGTTGCCGTCAAACAGGCGGCTCGGTGAAGTTCGCAGTGGTTCGGGTATATGTGCCCGTCCGAACCGCACACGAGGCGCCTGTGCGGCGGACACGATCCCTGACAGATGCACTTTGGTTGGTCGTTCTCCACGACGCATTCTCGTCCCTTCATGCAGTACTGCACCAGGCATGGATCTGAAAAGAGAATGCAAACGATACATTAAAAAAAAATCATGTGCACCATGTGAGAAATATCCTTGGCATAAAAACAGAAGCGAATTTGCTTTCGGCACGCGCCTAAAGAGCGGCATGCTTTTAGCGCGCCAGACATGTATATTACTTACTTAGCTTATAAGCTATATAGGTTGACTGAAACGTAAACGGACACAGTAACAAACTAATATATACAAACTAGAGTTGAGTACCGGTCCTTTAGATGTATAAACTTCGTAACTATCTAGCAGACTTGCTTCCCTAACTTCCTTAGTAATAATAATAATAATAATCTTTATTGCCCAACAGGATTCTCCCAATTACAGGACAATGGTATAAATATATATATAACAAATATATCATAACACATATTTAAAACAAATATATCGAACATACAATACAAAAACTTAAGAAATAAAATAAAATAAAACAATATTCTTATTATTTAAATATATCAACTAATAGCTCATTTCCATTTTTGCACATGGTTGTTATTGGTGATTTTGATAAAATATTTGTTCTGGCAGTGGGAATTTGAAAGGAGACAGAAGTTCTTGAGTTGTTCTTCGGAACATGAAACTGAATCTTCGATAGTAAGTATTCGCAGTCAACCTTACCAATTTCGTTAAAAAACGTGCACTTTGCAAATCTCGCCTTGTGTCCAAGTGCATTATTTTGTTTTTACTCATAATACTGTCCAGCTGGACAGTATTATGAGTAAAAACCTAGGTTAGCATTTTGTTTTGGGTAGGTTCCATAAATTAAGACATACATGTATTTTAAGAATCTTCTTTAAACTTTATAAATATTTATGCAATGGCATGTGTATATTGGGTACCAGATCAAACTTGCATACTCCAGCTTGCTTGCTACAAATGACATATAAAGAGACCTTATTAAGGAAACATTTACAAAATCTCTTGTGGATCGAATAACAAATCCCAATGACCTTCCGGCTGCTGAACAAACATTGTTTATATGTGATACAAAAGAAAGTGTTTGATCAAACAAGACGCCCAAGTCAGTTACCTCATTCTGACTTCTTAATTTCGTGTTGATGATCTTATACTGGTTTAAGTAAGGAACCTCTTTTCTAGTGTATTTCTCAACATTGAGTTTTAATGAATTTTTCGTGCACCATAAGAAAATTGTGTTAAGGTCTCGCTGTAACAATTCAGTTTAAGGTTGTCAAATTCTATTCTATGACCATCATCAAGTATATATTGGGCAACACTCGATTTCTCTGTCCTACCAAATCTAGCATGGGTCAAGTTTACTTGGATGGATCGTTTAGTTTGTTCAACATATTTCTTGTAACAGTTTATTTCGTAGATCCCCGACTTTTCAATTTTAGGAATCTTATCTTTAGGGTTGCCCAAATGGGTCTGAAGTGAGTTACTGCTTGAACTAAAAGCAAATTTGAAGTCCAGTTTTCCAAAAATGATGATATAATAGGATATGACAACCTTAAACCTATTAAGGAATTTAGAGAATTAAGTCTGCTAGATAGTAACGAAAGTTTATAATTTGTATAAATATGGTAGATTTAGCATTTAGATTTAGTTACACTTCAGTTCTGAAGATCATTGGTGAAAAGTACTTTAAGCACTTTGAATTTGAATTTTGTTTTGATGGTGGGGAATATTTCTAATATTTGTTTTCCAAAAATTATGATGATGGTCATATAATAGGATTTGACAACCTTAAACTTATTAAGGAAGTCAGGGAACCAAGTCTGCTAAATAGCAACGAAAGTTTATAAAGTTTATATGGTAGATTTAGCATTAAGATTTAGTTACATTTCAGTTCTGAAGATGCCAATATCATTGGTGAAAAGTACTTTAAGCACTTTGAATTTTGTTTTGATGGTGGGGAATATTTCTAATACTTGTTTATTACTTACTTGTTTCTAACAAAGTGATGTGTGTGGTATCTGGAGTTTCAGATGTCATAGAGTCCCTGTGGTGTCTAGATCTCTGCAAAGAAAAAAACAATAGATTACTATCAACGATACATCTCGATTATAAGCCATAAAATCAGCATAGAATCACCATTACACGTATTTCGGATATAACGATCAATTATATGCTTAAAATAAAGCTGCAAGATGTGGATCAGGTCGCAAATCACCGCTGTTATTTAAAATTTACGAGGGACGTCGTTGGGACGCGCGACCGTGATTCATGCATAAAATTAAAATTTAATCAACAGCAGTCGATTTCGTTGGGCTGAGATATTGAATCATAAATAACTTTTTGACCACGTTTTAGCCATTTAACGGTGTCGGGGAGCAAGTCTGCTCTTTTGTGTCGCCCTTTTAATATTAATTACAAGCTAAATATTCATGTATTGTCTGACAGAGGCGGTTTCAACCCCAAAATAAACTTTTATTGGAAAAATCATTAGATATGTTGTATTAATATAAAATACAAAATTAAATTAAAAACACCCTCGTCAGCAAAGTGGCAATTAAAAATGGATGACGTTGATAGATTATATAATTTTTTGGCGCTGGTCACTATTAAAGGATGATGTGAGGGCGCCAATGACATAATTCTATTTTAAAACCGACAATTTTATACCCGTATCCACTTGATAGGTTCGTAATAAATCAATCACTCTAAATAGCTTCATATATTTTTCAACGAAAAAATATCCTAAAAACGACATTTACATCTTTTTTCTCTCCAATGTGCTTTGAAGAATGGTACTTTTGTGAATATACTTAAAAACAATTTTAAGTTTTAAGTTTCCACGCTATTTTTTCTAGGACAATATTTTAAGGTGCGTACGGAAATCTGTGCAATTCCTTTTTGTTCAATAATATGTAACTAATTTTTTATTTGTTATTTTCTGAATTTTTAATAATATTAACTGATTTATTATTATTATTGGTTGTGTTCTAGTTGTATTGCCACATTCAATTCTATGTGTTTCCGTTAAATTTAAATACTTTAAATATTTTAAGAACGCTAAAATATATATATATATAATAAATCTATTACTAAAGTTTTTAACATAAAAAAGTTAAAATTCTAAAATTCTAGAAGAATATTTTGAAAACACATACCTACTTGGAACCATGTTACCTTGAACCTTTATAATCAAAATACCAAAACGCGATTTATGGTGGGATGTTTAATTTTTATTTGTAATTAAGTAAATAGCCAATAAAAATGAGTAAAAATATATAAAATGTGCAGAAAGGAAAAGAAAATACGTCTTGGACAATTTCATAATTCGGTAAACCACATACATATGTAGTTATTGGACACTTAAGGAATATTATTATTTATTTAAAATTTATATATGCCGTTGTTTTAAAGATTTTAGTTTTTGTCTTATAAATATATAAAAAGGCTAGTTTGTTAGTTTAAACATTATTTACGTTTTCTTAAAAATAGGAATATTTGAATTTTTAATAATAGTTTTATAAAAACATGCAAAAAAGTATAGTAACTGGACATTTTATATAGTAATTTGACACATGGACCATAGTTATTGGACATACAATTTTTATATAAACATAACAACTTTACATCAAATAACATAAATTGATAAATACTTTTTAAAGATAAATTGCTGTTTTAGGTAATGTTTTTATTTAGTTTTAGTAAATATCATATAATTCATATATTTCTTTCTCGGATTCCTCATCCCTTTTTCTGGATTCTGAAGGTAACTACTAATTCCTTGGTCTGACTTCTGAAATAGTTTGTTGCAAATATCATTAAGTGAGGTATCTCTAGTTTGTGAAGCATTTATAATGTTTAGGCCGAAACAGGTTGATTAATTTATATCTAATATTTTTTCAGGTGGTACCTACTGTACATATGTAACATATGTTAAAAGTAGTTTCCGAATTTTATATTTTGTTGCCATATAGTTTTTTTATGTTCTCTATCATGCACTGTATTTAAATCACTGTTATTCTGCAAGATGTCCTGTGACGAGAAAATCACTATATTACTTACTCTCTAAAAATGAATGAGTCAAAAATGTCATAGCGAAAAAGCAGCCACTAATAATTCTCGTCAACAGCAATTTGTATCCAGGACATTTAGCAGTCAATTCCTATGAAATATTATTCACTGAATCCGAAAATGTCATCAAAAGTTATAAAAGTAGAACAGTTTTTAAAATATATTTAACATATAAAATGGAATTGACTATATCTCAAAAACTGCTTAACTTTTATAGTTTTTGACGGTCTTTTCGGATTCAGGGAACAATTTTACATAAGAATTGGCTGGTAAATGTCCGGGATACAAATAGAGTATGATATTGGACATATGTCCAATAATGAAAATTTACATTTTTTACCAACCAGTAATCGGACACTGGCCATTTGACTGTTTGTTTTCAGAATTAAAATTAAAACGCATTAAAGTGACAATGTTTTAACCATGAGGAACACATTTTTACCACACACTGATCTGTACACTTTTTAGAAATATTTTTATTGTAATTTAAACACAGCCCTGCTCTTAACAAAAAAACAAAAATCTTGCCATCAAAGTAACGTCTTGTTTTATTTATTTTGTTTCATTAACAACTTTTCTTCTGTAAAACACAGCATTGCCGAGTTTTTTTAAATCAAATTCAAATTGAAAAACTGCAAAACTTAAGATTAAATGCACTTCCTAACTTCTGTATCTATACGACCGGTTAAATTTGAACAGCGCAGAGATGCGTCTGTTTTCAAGTATTCAGCCTGGATTACGATACTTAAACATCTTTTAGTCGGAGTTAGAGCTCAGTGCTGAACTTCCTCTCGCACTTTACGATCTTAATACGGGCCCGACAAGGAGTGAATAGGAACGACTCTATTAAAGACAGTGGAAAAGGTGCACAGCCAGACCAGGCTTTGAGCCACAATGATATCAGCAACGCAAATTGTATGTGTAATATACGTTTGCGCGGAGTAACAACCAACATTCGTTATATAAACTGGAAACTTTGCTAAGCACTTCTGAGATATTAGTTAGTTGGCTCCGGAATTAACTGCTGCTCCGCCAAATGACGACATAAATTACCGAACATGACACCACCTAATTAACATACTTAATAGCGGTGGCCTCTTTTCACTTTCGAGCAACTTCAATTAAGCCGAACATTTATTTAGCCAAGCGACTTGGTTGTTCATCTTATATTACTTCTTCGCATAAATAACGGTCTTTAGTTTTTAATTTGGGGATTATTTGCATATTATCCGACTGCCGGGCGCCAGTGTGTTTCGAGTGTGTACCCAGCACTGATGAGGTCCAAAAGAGCGAATCAGGCTGTCTGAAAAAAGACCCTTTGGTGATATGTTAAACAAATATTAGAAATATTTCCCAAAACCAAAACAAAAACAAAGTGCATGAAGGGACTCCTTGTCCTGTCTTGAAAAATACTTGTTATTTGCCCAATTATCATTCCCATTTTTTCAATGCGGCCTATATAATATTCAATTTAATAATTGCTAAAATTCAGAAAAACGCGCTAGGGCATCCCCTGCCACACCACACATCGGCAACCTGCAATGTGATCAACTGATTAATCGGTATTTCTGGTGACGCCGATTGATGTAAGTGTATGGGTTATCTCTGGTGTAGGTAGTGTTTGGTTGTTTGTTATATTTGCTAATTTCTTGGTAAGTTGTACCTACATGTTTTTTAATTGTATGTCCGCCATGCATTATCCAGTAATTTAATTACTCAATTAGATCTAAATGAGTATGAGTATAAGAGACGTATAACCAGCCCCATTTCCTCTTGACTCTCGAACCCCGTACAGGCCTATGTTTACTTACGCCGATTTTTGTTCTTCCCCAGCAACTTCACGGCTTCACCCGTGTTTGCTGGGTGCGAATGTCCATTGCGTTTCGTACTGTCCCCTATTTGGAGCTCGAGAGCGAGAGGCGAATAGTTATAATAGCCTTTCCCGGGTTCGCCGAGCCTATGCTATACGCTCAGTGGGGTATGGAGAAGGGACGGGAGGGTGTTGGTTTTTGGGGGACAATTACGCCGACTTAAAACTAAGTACGACGCGGAATCCCCCTAGACCAGTCGATTAATATTACTCCAAACATTTGGGATTACTATTTGGAGTTGGGGAGTTGTTATTGCTGCAGTGTGTAGTTACCTAGTCGCGGTCTTCGTCTTGTTCATTATTGTCATTATCCGTGTCGGATAGTTCCTGAACTTGGTAAAGTGTGTCGGTTGTTTTTTTTATTTTGTTTTTATTGTTGCTAAGTTGCTCCCAACTGGTCTTGTTAATTTGTGAGAAGTGCATGTTTTGTGCTAACGTGTCATGAAATGTGAAGCATGGTCTCCCGACTTTTTTGTCTTTAAGGTCTAGTTTAAGGGTGGCTTGTAGTATGTTGTTGCGTTGTCTACGAGTGACGTGGGCCCAGTATTTTAGTTGGGCTACTCTTATCCTTTTGGTGATGGTTTTTCCCATTAGCAGGTCGCGGGGATGTTGTAGATGGTAGTCGGGTAAGTCTGTCGTTAGTAGTGTAATGATCTTACGTTCAAGTTTGCGTAATTTTTGTCTGTTTGCTTTAGTTAGCGCGCAGGTGTTTAGGCCGTATGTTGCCGCTGGTACGATTACCGTTGTGTAGATTATCTTCCGGAGAGGCCACGGGAGGTTATATTTCTTTGCAAAGGAGTTTATCATGTGGGCCGAGCGTAAGGCCGCGGTAATACGTACAGTGCTGCCAGATGAACGGATTTATCCGTTTTTTACGGATTTTCCAGGTCTAGAGAAATTGGAAACGGATTTTGAACGGATTTTCATCAAATACGGATTTTTACGGATTTTTAAGATAGCTTCATACTAATACTAAAAAAACATCATTTTTGCCCCGTTTTTTGATCATCTTTGTCACGCTTCTATTCCTCTTCCTTTTTACTACGTTAGACAGAAAAAGAAAGCGGATTGAAAAAGGATGTGTTCTTAATATAGGGTTCTTAAACGCCGAATATATGCGAAA